TTGTCTTATTGCACTGTAAGGCTTTGAGCACTGTGACGCGATTGTACCCTCTGCTAAATCGCATTCAAACAATGCAAATTTGGTCTAACTGTCGGCGGTCCAACTAAATTAAATTACTATTTGAGTCCGGCATTCAAGATGACACAATGCTCATGTGTACATGAAGAGCATATTGTATATACAGCCATTTGTCCACTGCTGGATGAGGGCCTCCCTATGCGGTGGAGGCTTGTGGAGGTTATTTGGCCATACTTCACCACACTAGCCAGTGTGGGTTTGTGAAGGCAGGAAGCATCGTGTTGTGACTGAATAGTAGCACTGAAACGTATGGTTCTATTCTTACGTGTGGCAATACGTTCAGGACCTAAATGCCAACGTCTGCTCGCCATGAGAGGACTTCAGCAGAGTGTGCGTGTCGTTTGATATATGGTCCATAGTTTGGGTTGCATGGCCACAGTCGCAGTGTCGTATCTTTTACAACATCCTCTATGCATGCATGGTGCTTGCCTGTCTGCTCATCATACAGGATTAGCCCGTGCGAAAGCTTTAAAAATCCGATGCTATTGGGCACATTGTGGGTGATTTGTTCATGGGCAACAAAATCAAATGTTAATTCGATAATATATTGTGCCTGTTCGATGAATGGGTTAATCATAAACGATTGACAGTGGTGCCTGAAGAGAAGGAGATTAGCACCACTGCTTTGCTTTAATCCCACGAGAGGACCCGTGCCCTTTCACACGTGGCATTTTCGCCAGCATTGATTGAAGCAAGTCTGACTACTGATGCGACACTGGATGTCTAAACTAGTCCAGAGCTTGCTTGTACCGAATCAATGCTGCTGAAAAGTATTCAAGGTCAGAAGGGTGTGGGGCCCATGGGAATGTGTAAAGAATAACATATGAAGGAGACAGTGGCTGCTGAAATATTTTGCCAATGAAGAATATGGTCTTAAAAGTTATCATGAGCGCTACAAGTGACTGGCTAAAGGAGTTGAGCGAGACCGAGATGGTGATGAACGGATGAGTTGGAATGAGATTCGAGGACGGCAGACGTGACCGAGAGAAGAGGCACAACATTGAAGCGCATGGGGAAAGTAAATCTGAGCAGGTGACCCCATGCAGCTATGGGATTTTATGGGTTAGAACCAGAATTATAATCACTACCAACCTCCTAGGGCCATAGTGAACACTTGAACGGGGAGCACACTTTCACAATTGATTACGGAGAAACTGAACACATTTGTCAGTGGCACTGCCGATATATAATACAATATCGCACAGCACACGTGACATGAAATAGGACCGATGCCCATAACGTCACCCATTGTATATATTTCTTTTTTTGCCAGCGTTATTGACCAAATGTGTCGCGTTTGTTTTTGTTATTTGTGCTTGTGCACCTTTGACAATGTAGTATCATGATTGAATGATAGTCTCTTACACCATTGTAGAAACCAGGCTCAAGTGTTTTCATCTGAGTGACCCGGGTTTGTACCGTGTCGTACATACCAGACAATGGGTCTCATGTTCTGGAATACAAATGGTGCAGTGTATGAGGGATTTGGGGATGTATTTTTGCACAAAGCTGGTCAGCTCAGATATGCACACACTCTTGCAAGTCTTGAGTTTAGGGCTGAGGCATCCATTCCTGACTGCTTCAATAAGATAATAGAAATGTACAGACTGCAATTGCAGTGGTGCATGAGCAGATGATTTTTTAAAAACCTTAGCACGTTTGTAATTAACGCGACCTCATGAGCAGACGATCACGCAAGGGTTTCTAGAAGGGCTCAATGACTTACGGCTCGAGGCAACCTTTGTGCGCTTTCACAACTCTGAAATTAAGCTATAACACAAAATGGCAGCTTATGTTCAATGCTATGAGGCAGTGTTCGTGAATAATTTTTCTTTATGTCTGCCCCATGTTGTATTCATTTTTTTTCACCAGGAGTAGCCAATTGAGTGTAAATGAGAGTATTTTATCACCCGTTATATATGACTTATTTAACGTTGAACAATGTTCTACTCCGATACAACGCACCAAAAAGTCGTAATGCTGCAGTACCGGAGCACCCAGTTCCTACCTGACCATTGTTGTTAGAATTCAATGTGAATCAGTCATGTTCATTGACGGTCCAGCACTCACCAGTTCACTCCGGTCACCAGCAGTCAAAGTCACCTCCTGATTACTCTTCTCTCGCGACCACTACCGTGGCGACGGCTCTTGTGAACCTCACTCACCGGCTCAACGCACGCGGAGGCGTCCGCCTACCAGACTCACTTGTGTCGTCTTGTCCACAGTTTTCAACCACCACACTGCGGGTCCAAAACACTCTTCATTCTGCTTCTGCCCTCCTGGTCTGTTTCCCCAAGTTCGTATGATCTCGCTCAATTCAAGAAATATTTTAACTTTGTTATATATTTTTTTATGCTGCTTGTTGCTGGGCTATGCACAGTAACAGTGATTTCATTTTTAAACACTGCAATATTTAGTAGCTACAGCCAATACAAAACATCTTTATAGCTCAACAAATCCACCAACACTCCACAGAGGCTATTGAATGGCGTAATAACCCCGATATACACACATCATGTTATTTACACTTGCCATACAAAAAAAAGCTTTCAAAATGTGTAGCACATACCAAGGTTGGGCTGGAGCAATGCGCCCAGGCTCAGGGCATGAAACATCAGACACGAGGTACCTGTTCTCAATCCATTGTATTAGCCACGTGACGCCTGTATGAGTCACTTGCACGTCAGATCACCGGGTTCTTAGCGACCAATTAATTAACGGGTTTGTGCAGCATTTCTATACACGACATGCGAGCAATAGGACATGCAAATATATACTCAGGATTGAAATGCTATTTCAATTGTGCAATCCGCAGCTGTCCATAGTGCGATTGGAAACGTGATCAACGTTCCTGTTGAATAAAATAACGTGCTAATTAATGCATCTATGAGAGTACTGACATGATTCGCAAATGTCCCTGCTTCTGTAGATAAATAAATAATGAGAAATTGCGCCTTTGCTAATCTTCGATCCGTGACCACAGTCATGAGACCATATAGCAGTGAATTAAAATTATGGATGGGTCTAACCTACAGCATACACAACAATGCCACATTTACGACATTTCATAACTGCCCTTACCAAGTGACCACCCACACCCAGGGCAGTGTTTGTGCACAGTCATTCTCTATGGACAGTCACATATTGAACATTTTTATATATTCGCCGATAGCTCAGTCCCCAGTTAGATATGCGATATTGTACTGTACCAAAGTAAGGCATTAAAATGTGTATCCATTCTATGTTTTTTTTACTTCCTGGAAAATGCAATGATGCTTTTGTCTGGAACCGAAGTGTGGGCACAGTGGCAAATTGAATCACGCTTTCATCTGCACTGGCGGAAAACCACGAACAAAACGTGCATGACGTTATATTTCAGCGCGTTGTGGAAAATGTAGAGTAGGCAGCACCTGGCACAAGAATGGTTTGTGTGCCTTATGTCAGTTCCTTTCAGCGTGTATTATTAATGTATGAGCATTGGCAGCTAAGTTGAAATGAAAGTCCCAATGCAAGCCAAGGTCAGCTGGAGAGAGTCGTGTGATGTATGCACAACCCACACACTCTACATTTATACTCCTGCCCATTCTTGCCCGAAATAATGCATGCCCTACTGATTTATTGTGATTTATTTATCCTACGGCTTATTAGATTTGAAAAAAAATAGCGGCCAAAATTACACCGTGCATTTTAATGTGGATTAAATATATTAAGATGTATGTGTAGTACATCTATAATTTACATGGTTATAATTAAATTGTGTGGTGCTATGCTGCCCCTAAAGCAATGTTTAAATACTGTACAGAAATTGGTAATGTTGGTGATTTTTTCTTTACTAAAATGAGCAAATCAGAGACCAGTGAAATACAATCATAAAATGGCTTTAGGGCTAGGTACATTTCAAATTTTGCTCGTTAGAATACAACTGCAATGAAAATAAAATGGATATATACATTATCTGCAGTATATTTTTACAAATTTCATCAAAACCATAAATATATTATAATATCAGTTCTCAAAAATAATTTTGTAAAAAACCAAATATCTATGGTGTATATACAATATATATTGGAGGTGTAATGATTATCAATTAAAATGTACAGCAGTAGACAATACGGTACATACATTAAATTATACCAAGTATCTTTTTAGTTTACAAACTATACAAATTAAATTTACACCCATGTTTTTTTTTTATGTATTCCAATTGCCCTATTTGAATTATTCCATACGTCTCAGCGTGCAAATAGTGAGGACCCAAATGTTATAAGATTGAGCGTTTTATGCAGTTATTTTTTGACTGGACCCATGACCATCCACTCGCAAGGCAAAATAACTATTTCAGCATGGGTGGCTGCCTGGATTTTAACCCAGGACCTTAACGATGCCAGCTCAGCCGTCTGACCTCCGAGTAGCCCGGCTACCTTAAGAAAAATGTATTGTAAGGGTTGGAGGGTGGATCGCTATTTATAAAAGCAACATACAAAACACCATCAGCCTCCTACTCAGGGGATTGATGTTTTTCCAGTTTAAAATACGTCATACAAAAAAAAACAATTAAAAATTTAGATATTCACCAAAGGCTGGCTCAGGTGTTTTACAAAGCTTACCATGCAATCGTTGGTAAATCAAATAAGAAGCACAGCAATTCGGTGGGACATGGGTGACCTTCTGAATGGCTATCATATAAGCCAAGACAAGTGGACGCTTCAAGCCCTTCTATTCTGGGATGGCAATCATGACTGGAATGACATCTCCAAGTCGGAAAAGTCAATCGAGAACGCTGTGGATCGCATTTTGTTTATAATGCACAGCACAAATATGAGCACACGCATACCCGAAAAAACAAGACACCAGTGAAATGTTACAAAAACCAACTGACAGCGACCCGTAGTTTTGATTAATAAATCAAGGTGTGGACAATGTGTTTTGAAGGTGCTTTATTTAGAGTCCACTCGTATGTACACAGACATTTAATAACAGCACGTGACCCAACGTACATCGGTAACATGAAAACACTGCAACACCAAAGACAGCAAATATACTTAACGTGTGTGCATTTAGATTTAAATTGTTTAAGATAAACAAACAAAAGCACATTCCCACTATACATACAGAAGCAAATATGTAATTTTCCACCAGACCACACCACTTGGCTTATTTGTTTATAACAAAAGACACGAAGCTACACCTTTGTATGATACGAGTGGAAAATACCACAGTATACGAACTTGCACACCTTAAAAAAACTAAATAGTATTTGATTAGAAGAAATGAATGGTGATATTCCCCATTGATAACAATAATAAACAGCATACATTATCGTTCAGTCACATAATTTTCCGTGGAAAATTAGACATTTACATTCACTTGCAAATAATAAATATTGATGTGTGCCATAAAACATTATAGAAAACACCTTTGAGCACAAAATAAGCTGTGCTTAATATTCAAAACCAACCGTAATCACAATCACAAGATTCATTGTTGCAAGCAAGAAAACACATTTGAATGAATTATTGTACATTTTGTTTTATCCAGCCAAATACTTTTTTTTTACCAAGCTTATCTTGTTAATGCAGTTTGATGTACAGACCTTTAGAGCAGTTGCTCGTTTCTAAATCATACCTGACATTTCAATACCGCAGGCTTAAAATGTATCGGAAGCCGACACCCACTGACAGCAAACCGAGTGAATCTGTAAAGGGGCTGTAAATACCCACTCGCACAGAGACAATATATTTTATTGATAAGTGCTTTAAATTAAATATAACCGGCCACGTGTCTGTAATCACTGGTTTAGTGGTTGTAATCACTTAATGCAATGTGTTCAAATTATAAAATTTGGCTGAATTGATATGATGCACACTAACTCTAAAGAGTCTGATGATCTCCGCATGTCAATTGCAACCTCTCGTGAACTTTTATCTACAGATATCGATGACAATGGCGATTAAAGCGAGTGGTTTATTCACACTAACCCTGTAACATCACCAAAATAAATCTATAAGTATTTCCACTGTAACAGAAAGATCATCACTTCCATCCTGTGTCCACAGGGCACAGATAATAAAATCACAAACTACCATCCTAAGGCAAGAGCAGTACAGCTGTCATCGTTTTTCACATGCCAAATGGGAAGTAAAAAAAACTTCCTTTCTTTCCCAGACAGCTGTCACATGTGGTATAAACGATTTCACAAGTTTGGATCACGAATCGTGCATGCGAGCGTTGACAGTTTGTGCATATTAATGATGTCATGAAAGTCAGAGATGATTTGTGAAATGGGTGAGTGGCACAATCGGAGAGAGTTGAAACTGCCGAGTGTCAATGCTGACAGCGTCACGTAGATAGCAGTAACTGAAGTAAGCCACCATGCGGACACAACTTTACATTCGAGAATGCAGAAATTGTTGCATTTGGTTTAGGTGTCATGAAAGTGTCGTGCCAAAATTATTGTAAAAACACGTTATGGACATTAGACCAATATGTCAGTATTCACGTAAAAAAATGTATGTGCATGTTTTATAACCGGAAAAATGCACACCACCTTCCAACGCCACTGCAGATGGTTGTAAGTGGAAACTCCTCATTTATTTCTCGGACAGTATCAGCATTAATACTGCAAGGAATACTTTTTGTTTAAAAGCACAAGTGTAAAATATAATTGAACCAATACAATTATTGGCAGTCAGCTTTAACAGTTTTCTTGCCAGCGCAACAAGCCAACCGGATTTCACGGACTAAATCGGTTATAAGACGCGCAAAAAATTCGAGACGACGTTAAACACAAGTGCCAATCAATCTACTAACCAATCGGTTAAGTAGGCACTAGCACGCCATTTAACCCGGTGTGCTCGTTTCAGGCATGGAAGGCGATCTCCACAAGCACCGAAATATTACATTTACGATGTTTGTTGTGTAGAACAATGTCCAATGAAAATACAATATACAGTACAAAAAAAACACAAAGTCCCCTGATGTTGAAAGCCAGTGATATGACTGTGTGTAACAAAATACCACATTTCCCAATGTGTGCGCGTTTAAAAAAGAAAAGTGGTGTAAAAAAATATTCCTGCTGCGACAATGACGCCAAACAACTGTTTACACTCCAAGTAATGTGCTTAGGGGATTAATTGTTTTTTTCGAATTCTTGGGTCTTTCGGTAAAGTCACATAGATAGGTTAAAAGAAAAAAATGCAAGTTATATAACTTCATTGCATGCAATAAAGGACGTTTTAAAAATAAGAAGAATGTTACCGCCAAAAAATGTGAACATTGTCACGTGCAAAAACTTAATCGAAGCATAGAAAAATAAAGCCATCAACAACAGCAAAACAGAAGGCTGTCACATCTGTTTGTATACACGTGTATAAACTGCATTATTTTGCTTAAAATCCCAAGCATTAAACTACACGATACACACACAGACACCCACACATGTAAAACAATTGTACAATCTCCATGTGTGTGGACACATGAAAACAAAAACGCATAGGTTTTACAAACTTACACTGAATGAGAATAAGCTGCAAAACATTAAAAGGTAACAGTGTAATGACTGAACATTCAAATGCAACCGTCTAACATGAATGTAAAAAAGTTACGCCATGATGGTAAAAAATGCACACGTCTGACGCTTTAATGAACCATAAGGAAAAAAATTCCAAAAACTTCACTATTACGATCGCGAAAGGCATGTGCCTTTAAAAGTCGCAAATGCCAATAAACTTAACCCGCACACTATATATTCCTGGAGTGTATCTTAAAACTACTTTACTACAAATGTGCCTTCATGGCTAGCAGTGTGCAAAATAATATCTGCTCTCAAAGTGTACCAAAGTTTTCCCTGTGATTTTTTTAAATATCCAATTTAGGGGTTTTTTTGTTTGTCTTTTCTCTTTAAATACAAATTTTCGAGCATCTTTTTTTACAGGTGGCCGCCATGGAGAGGAGTAGCTTGTTCCACTGCACGGCCAAGAGCCAGGTCTTTATTTTTTGTTAGTACTCAGTTTTTTCATCCCTTTTATTCTGGACAGCAGCTCCAAAACAAATTCCTGCACGAGCACACAGACAAATATGAATGTCAGGTTTATTTCTGTTTGTAAACGAGCTGCCTGGTGTACCTTACACAACATAATTTGCAATCCACCCATGCAAACTCTAGTGACAGTACAGCCATGGCCTAGCAACGAACGATTCAAATGTTGTAATGATTCACAGCCAGAGGAAACTATGCGGGCTCAGTGCTAGTGAACGAGTGTGTTTTTATGGCAGCCTGGCCCAGCCGAACCAATCACAGACCCAAGACCCCAGGCTCATGCCTTCATTCTGTGCCACATTCTTAAGGACTCCGCCAACTCGAGAACCATAAATGGCATCACCGAGTCGGCGAGGAAATTAGACACGCAATCTACGACGTCACTCACAATGTTCAACATTATGTCCAGATTAGTCTTTAAAAAACGAGGAATATTACAAATGCGATACATTTTAGCGCAAATTAGTCTATCCTAACGACTGAGTGTTGAAACAATTACTTCGTTTTAATGTTTTTATTCAGGTACGCACACCGGTCCGGCAATAACGCCCCAGGGGCTTCTGGGGAAATGTTATACTGTACTGTATTTAAAGATCGTTCCCCGATTTGCAGAGCACGGGGAGAAAGCAGGCAAGGGCACGGAAGCAGGATGGGCCAAACCCATGGAAACTCTTGACTCGTGGAGATTGGGGACACAGGTTGGGCCAGCTCGAGGCCAGCTGAGACAAGTTCGCATTTGTTGTGAAAATGTGGCAAAGACACTACAGTGGATCAGTCAACATCACATTCACCACAGCACCACCCTCTTCTTACCTGACCTTAAAATGGACCTTTCGCTCTGCGTACGAAAATGGTTTTTTTTTCACCCACCTTTAAAAAAGGCATTGCTAATTTTAGATATGTTTATTGCCAAGCAATCCGTGACCAAATCGAGACTTTGAAACACGTTACGCATAACCTTTTTTAGCACAGGGTACATTCTGAAGTTTGAAGCCAAGAGCTCAGCAACTTGACATGGATATACACCCATTGCCCACTTACTCACCTATGCTCAAGATATTTTAGTACGCGGTCCATTCTGCAGGCTTGTGGTTCTGCTTCACTGTATGTGTTCTACATGGTGATGTATTTAACTCTCTCTGCATTCAACTTAGCACTGGCTTACCTCTGAACTGCTGCAACACTCTTGTAAAATCTCCTGCGGAGACAGACACATGGCTGTATTAGTGTATGACAGTTTTACAGGAGGCAAATAACCCTGCTGCATTTTAATGTACCCGAGAAACATATGCACACATGTTAAGGACATTAATCATATTCAAAGGGATACTCAAAATCACTGCAAATAAAATTAAAATACAGGATATCTGTTTTAAGTAAACCTGACATTCCAAGTCAAGGTCCCGCTTTGTCACTTTCTCTTGGTACAAGCAATGGCAATTTTTCTGGAAGCATCCCATCAAGTGCAGATGCTTATGCTGCTACGGTGTGAAGGTTATCACACTGGACTTGTAATCCAGGTTGCCAGCGCAATGGTTGTATTACCGTTAATCTATTGGAAGGTCGCGTGTGGTGGTGTAATATGTTGCTACTCACACCTCTTTCAAGACGTCGAAGAAGTAGGCCAAATACCCTAAACAGGGGCTCTCAGAAGCTCCCTCTACACGAGCAGCGAGTCTACCTCTTGGGACAGCATTTAGTACTAACGTACACTCACCCGTAACTGCTCAGCTCTCTCCTCATCCGTGTTCATATCCAGCAGCTGGTCAATGTCTATCTCCAGTTCAGGCATCTCCTCCTCCTGTTGTTGTTCAAAACAAAGGGCAGCATTCTTTAAGTCTATACACACTCTTGATTAGCTGCATATACAAATACATAGCACATTCATACGCTACTGCTAGAACAAATTACACAAAATAACGTATTGCAGTGTGCTTATATCAAACGAAGTAAATTCGCATCGACTGACATTTAATACAGTGCAACATTATGACATAAGCAGTGGGACCTCCAATTGTGAAGCTGTTAAATAAACTTAACACAAACCACCTATGCAATCGTGCATGTAACAACAAATGCATTCAATCAGCTGTAATTGAAACTAAAAACACAACCACCAAGGGAGGCCATCATCCCCACTGAGTAGCCAAGGTTATCTAATCTGTACAAACACCCCACGCCTTCCTATAATCATTGGCGGCATGCATTATTGAAGCCAGACGGAAACGAACATGAAAGCAGGCCGAAGCCACGGGGTTTCACTGCTGCACATCACATGAGACGAAGTGAACTGAACATTACAGACCTGTGCACGATTAAAAATGCATGGCAGTGCGGTTATTGAAAGGTCTTTAACTTGCTGCTCAAAAGAGACCTTTGCCGTTATGGCTTTTTTATCTTGATCATTTAACCTTTTCAAATCCTCGGCTATTTCTCTGTTATTCAAGATTCTCTTTTTTTAGTTTTCCCTCTTCTAGTTCGTGTTATAGATTATTCATAGCTATGCAATTTCACAAATTAGGCAATTTTACAGTCACAATGTAAAAACATATCCTAATACATATGAGGTGTCATTTTAAAGTAGTTAATTACATTTTTTTGAAAAAAATGGTCTACATGCATGTTGAACTTCTTTCACACCGTACATATAAACCGTGCTGGAAGCCTTTAGTTTCATTTACACAACTGAATCATGATCCCAGTACAAATATTTAACCTCATCTGAGAAGGGCTGGCACCAGTATTCTATAAGCATTTCTTCCGTACCACTAAAGGTGGACACAATATTTAAATCTGAATGACAGTCCTATTTGGTTGACTTACTATGGCCATGTTTATACTCATGATTAATCCCATATTTCAAGTATCTGAAAGATACATGCAAACTTGTGCAACTGCCCAGTGACAAAACAACACTTTTCCAGGAGTGCCAAGTATATTTTGTTTAACCAGGTTAGAATTCAAGAGACACAGGATAGTTTAATTTGCCAGAGTAAGCTGGGGCATCAGTCTGCCAGTAAGGGCAGATCATGGCTATGTATAATCCCAATTGAGTAATTTTAAAGTAATATTTCAAATTTGGGCCATGATGCCAGCACACAATGGCCTAGTTTTTTTGCGAATGACATCAGGTGATCTTTAACATCCACTCTGAAGGAGACTGTCGTGTATGGCTTTACACCCGCAGTAATAATTAGGGCGGCCGCTAGGTTTTAATCCTGAACCTCTATAACAGGCTGCGAAATGACTACTGCTAGGCCATGTTACCATACAATTTCATTCATGCCTCAATATTTTTCAAAAATATCATTTCAGAATGTTTATGTCTGTAAAAATAACAATGTGCATTTATTGACGTAACAAAAAATACAAAAGTTAATGCATAACATAATTAACTGAAGTAAACATTTGCTTGTGAAAATAACACATTGTTATATATAAATGTCAAAACCAATACAATACCATACATATAAGAAGTGATTTGTGCTGGCAGTGATGCATGTATGTACTGCTGTTTGTAAGACACTTGGCCCCGTACATAAAGGCCAAGATTGTAGTGGACTTTGAAAAAGAATGCAGTCACATGTAACAAAACATTTACGAGACTACGGTATTGTAAAATGCAAATCCCTGAATGCTGGTGAGAATGGGCTAACTTTACACACTCTCTAAATGGAGGACCACATGGGTAGATCGCGTAAATAAATGTGTCGTTAAAACCCACCACCACCCTACACAGGCAACTCGTAAGGGTTATTCAACGTAAACAGAGCATGCCAATTCGTCACTAGTACAGCACACCGGTGTGTTGGAGAGCCAAGCCACAATAGAAGCCGACGTGTTAAACTGACCTTCCTGGTAATATGCAAATTTGTAAAAAAAAAGGAAAAATTTGTACAAAACTAAATAAATAATTAAACTAAATAAAATGTTTACTTTTGTTCATAATCTCCCTTTGCTTTGGGATGTTTGCCTGCAGCTTAAACAAAACGAAGTAATATCTGTCCAAGGAATGTCATGTCAAACAACCCAGTTCCACAACAGCAGCAAACCCACAGGGTGAAGGATGCCTGACAGTTATTGCAGTTTCCAGTGGCACGATCCTATTATTCTTAACCCGGCGGCCATAGGCAATGCCATTTGTTACACTGATGTTCTCGCAGTACTATGGCTGAAACCTTTTTCCAGTGATAATGCGCTGAAATAAGAAGATGAATGAATGTAGAAGCAGTATGTGTAGAGGCAATTGCTCATGTGAGTATTGGGGCACACTCATTGGCAAGAAGTTGTGCTGACACATCAAACAAAGAATTGCTAATTTTCCTCAGTTCTATTACATTGCGTTTTAAACACAGTTACTGCTCGACTTTGAAGGATGAGCAAAATAGCAACTATGCTATGAAGTATACTACCAAAAGTAAAAAAAATGATTTTATCTGGGCCAAATAACTTCTACTCTTACATAGCTCGAGATCAGGCAGAATTATTTAAGTCTAACAGCTACTGGTTACAAGACAGGACATGAAGGTAATAACAATAATTCAATCAAGTATATGTCACGATATATAAGAATAAGTACTGCCAACTTCAGTTCTTAAAAAAGGATGCCACACCTAATGGTCTAACCACAGCACAAGTCAATCTTCGACTTAACGTGGCCTCACCCAGAAATGCATGAACGTCAGAGTCTTCTTAATTTTCACAAGTAACCGTGAAACTCTGACCCCATTGACTCAGTGGTGGTGATAAAGCTGGCACTTGATATTCTAGTTCATATTTTCCAGGCATTCAAACACATCGTTGTTGTCAATGATTGCCAAGGGACACCAAATGTCGGTGTTAAAATCGCCAAATCCCGCAGGGAAAGGAGAGCATAAAGAAGTAAAGTATTCACCCCTTGCAAAGTGCAAGCAGCACACAGAAGCCCTCACTGAAGCTCCATTGATCGAAGTTGACTCAGCGCAAATTCTCTGAGCTCATTAATGTGTCTCGCCGGACTTCTCCGTGACCTCTGCAAGGATTAATTCCCTGCACCAGTCAGGCAGCCATTTGTTTCTGAAGGACCGCCTGTGTGCAATGGATAGGTAATCTTTAACGAAAATAGAGTTGCCTTGAATGCAGCTCTGCTGGGCATGTTTTCTTACAACGCGATGCTTCTCTGTTCCGGGCTATATAAAATGTAAGGGAGCACATACTTCTGTAGTCATAACCATTCAGACAAAGTGAGCCTCTTCCAGCAATGGCACAGCTCTTCTGATGGACATCTTTGCTACACTGCAGATTTAACATTTTTCCAAGGTCCCATTTGTCTCGGTAGGCAGTTATTAACTTGTGATCTGTCAATGAATTACACCCGAGTAGGATGACAGCTCTCTGCATGACTACATCGTGGGGCAGCAGTAGCCAGCAATCTTTCACGATGTGAAATATTGTCAATGCACAATAATACATTATCGCTGTGTACAATGCCCATACGAATATATTCCACCACAATTTTACTTGTTAATACTAAATCCTTGTAATACAACAGTGGTTGTTCCAAGGTTGCATACGATTGGGCAGCACGTCAAAGAATGTTGCGATAACATTTTAACACTCAAAGGGAATGGTCAAGGTCACCGCATAAAAAAACTACAAACATCATTGTTGAAGAATGTTAAGTGCCAACTCTTTAAATTCAGATATGCAACTTGTGAATTATAAAGTACAGTGCCTGTAGTTTTTGCACGTTGCTGATTTATATACAATAATTTGATTGAATTTAGCAGAAACCTTTCAAAACGCCAAATAAACATTACTAGAACGTGCACCACGCACAAGAAGACAATTGTAATTTGTGGCTTTTGAATATTTTGAAAACCCAATATTACATAAGTGCATATTTTCGTCATAAATCTGCGTTGCAAGTGCAAATAACCACACCCATGCCTTCAGCTGGCTTATTATATAAATCCAATTCATTCCTTGGGACACATTCTAAAAATCATCACTCCAAATGAAGGAGTTTATTTTTCAAACTAAGGATTATTTGAAATAAAATTTTCTAAATAAATAACATTTTATCAATGTAGGATTAATATGCGTTTCCATCATTCACAAGTCTTCTTAGGTTTCGCTGACAGTTTGGCTGGTTGACCTTTCCCAGGCTCCGAAACCCAAATGTTATTACAGTACTTTAAAAGGTCAAACAGATGAAACTTTAGACCTGTGCATATACCAAATAATGTATGGATAATTGCACAACCTTTTCACCAAGGTAGGGCCACTGGCTAGGCATGTTGCTGCCACGTGTACGAGTGTACTGACGATACACAATCGTTTCAGTTAGCCCGTGTGGTGTGTCTACCGAAATTACAAACACTGTTTGTGTGCACTGTTAGTTCCAGGACTATATAGTCGTTATTATACAGGGCAGAACTGCGCACAAAAATCAGTTTGCACACCTCCAATGGTACATAATACTGCACTTGTACAGCAAATACACATAGTGCAATGCGGTATAGCGTATTACACCATCGTCATCCATGAGCAATCCACTGCTAGACGAAGATCTCGATTAAAAGCTGCTAAAAGTTCCACGTGTTGATGTTTCAAACGAGCATGAACGGAAAGGTGATCTCCTCTAACAGCCCCGAGCTCCTGTAACTTCCATACTCCTCTGGCCATGAGCCAGTGACTCGATGCAAGTTCTATATTCTATAAAGCGTGCATGTTGTCCTGTGTAGTGCATGTTGTACTGTGTAGTGCATGTTGTACTATGTAGTGCTTATACAGTGAGTTGTGTATACAGTGCACAATACGGGATATAAAAAATAAACTACTCGAGTATACGCTCAATACTGCCGTGTATTGTGCACTCCCGTTAATATTCATAGTGTAGATAGTATCCAGTAGTTTATTTTGTATATTTGGCACAGTACGCCATATATGTTGCTGTGTATAACACAGTACACGTATTGTGGACTCTAAATGGTGCACGGATACACAATACATTGAAGCCAGCATACGGTATTGTACAACAGACAGTATGCTGGACTACACACACACAATCCCGTATAAACACACTACAATGTATAATGCTAAATAGTATAATAGTCCATTAGTACTATGCCGCACAATGCACCCTGCACATTGCCAAGCTGAGAGTGTACACACATATAGTAGACCAGTGTATGACTATAGTCTTATACTGTGCAGTACTGTACATAGTGTATTCTTTAGTATACAATATATACAGTGTTATACTAAACAATACATTATATTAAACAATAAACTGTACCAAGCACTTTTGCACCATGTGGCATGCACTGCAATGTGGACTCACTCACTCACTCAGTACACTGCTATATAGAGTAACAAGCTGAAGGTAATAAAGTATTTATATGCACTATGCACTCTATAAACAACACACTCTTTGGGGTATGTGGCTTCTCTAAGTTTCCACGCGACAAGCCACTTCGTTTAGCTGTCATTGGTGGCCAGGTCGCTGCTGAAAAAGAGCGACATGAGAGCTCAAGTGGGCCTTACCTAGTACAAATAAATATAACGTTTTGAGTTTAGTTTACTATACAACAGTACATCGTACACTGAACATACTATTCCATACCTGTCAACCCCTTATCAATGCCTCCCTTATTACAGACCAATTCAGACCCTATTGGTCACCTCGTGCCCTTATAAATCTCAACGTTCACCCTACAAAGTCCCATCACAAGGGAGAAACACAAATAGACACAACACAATTTTGCAGGTATTGAAACAGCTGTACATATTATGGACCTGAAAACTCAATTTCCCTTTACAAGAATTCGAGTAAACCGTATGGGTTGGCAGGTATGCACTAATATACGATACCACTAAGATACTATAACACTACACTACCACACATGTCAACCCCTTATCAGTGCCTACCTTATTACAGACCAATTCAGACCGTATTGGTCACCCCGTGCCCTTATAAATCTCATCGTTCATCCTACAAAGTCCCAGCACAAGGAGAGAAACACAAACAAGCAGACAAAAACACATTGCCGTTCTTGCCCGTAATCGAAACGTCTGCACGTCGCACGGACCTGAGAACTCAATCCCCCCCCCCCATACAAGAAGGACAAGGTGTTGTTGGACACGGTATGATGATGGCTCAGTTATTCACACTCCATGGAACACACACACACACTCCATGGAACACACACACACACTCCATGGAACATCCACACACACACACTCCATGGAACATCCACACACACACACTCCATGGAACATCCACACACACACACTCCATGGAACATCCACACACACACACTCCATGGAACACACACTTACAATCACTCCATGGAACACACACACACACACACTCCATGGAACACACACACACACTCCATGGAACACACACACACACACTCCGTGGAACACACACACACACACTCCGTGGAACATCCACACACACACACTCCATGGAACACACACACACTCCATGGAACACACACACACTCCATGGAACACACACACACACACTCCATGGAACACACACACACTCCATGGAACACACACAAACTCCATGGAACACACACACACACACTCCATGGAACACACACACACACACTCCATGGAACACACACACACACACTCCATGGAACACACACACACACTCCATGGAACACACACACACACACACTCCATGGAACACACACACACACACTCCATGGAACACACACACTCCATGGAACACACACACTCCATGGAACACACACACACTCCATGGAACACACACACACACACTCCATGGAACACACACACACTCCATGGAACACACACACACACTCCATGGAACACACACACACACTCCATGGAACACACACACACACTCCATGGAACACACACACACACACACTCCATGGAACACACACACACTCAATGGAACACACACAAACACACCATGGAACACACACACTCCATGGAACACACACACACTCCATGGAACACACACACACACACACTCCATGGAACACACACACACTGGCGTCGTCGACGTTAACCCAGCGACTGACCAGGGTGCTGAACGGACAGCCGCCGCCGCCGGTGGTGGTGGTGGCGAGGCCAACACGAGAACCACCACGGGGGCAACGCGAACGAGAGAGAACACAACAACTACAACAACGTGTAGTGGTGCTGGTGGTGGACACGTGCGACAAAGCCAGGGAGGGAGGGGGGGTGAGACAGGCGAGGCGGCGCCCTACGTCGCAGTCGTAGAGGAGGTGCAGCCGCTCGTCGATCCACTCCTCCAGGTCGAGCCTCTTCTGCAGCTCCTTGCGGTTGTACTTGACGGTCACCTTGCTGCCCGCCCGCCGCCCCGGAGGCATCGTGGGCGGCGCTGCGCCTCCACCAGGGAGGACCGGTTGTTGTTGTTGCTGCTGCTGCTGCTGTTGTTGTTGTTGTCCATGTCCCGGTTGTTGTTGTTTTCCGTTCCCTTGCCCCGCCTGCGTGGCGGTGCCTACCCCTGGCCCGGCCTCGAAGCAAACTCTGGCAGACATCAGCAGAGGGCCCAGTCCTCCTCGTGACGGTGATGATGGTGATGAGGTGGTGATGGTGATGATGGTGATCAAGCGCCGACTTGTATGTGCTGATGGTGGCGGTGATGATGCTATCAGTGGTAAATATCGCGGTGGTGGTGGTGTTGATGCTGCTTATCGCAGGTGATAATGACGACGGTGATTAGTGTGTGACAATTATGGTGTCGATGATGTTAATGTGTTGGCGGTGATGTGGGTGGTTGGTGGTGGTGACGGTAATTACGCGACTGCGTGCTTAATTGAAGCGATGTTCAAGCTGATTGTGCCGACACCTATCGACTCGGCGTATGACGACGTCGATGACTTTAACGCAACTGCAGTGAAGCCACTTCACGAGTTAAATTTTAACGTTACCGCCACTTCGTATAAATCACGCGTCTGCTTTGTTCTTGTTGTTGTTGTTCTTGTTGTTGTAAACGACGTTGTTTACTTGTCTGTGAGGCCGCGTTGGCGACAGCGCGGAGTGAGGGGAGCGCACAGACGGCGCCTCCTGCCTCAGCCTGGGGCTTATATAGGGGAGGTGGTGCCGCTGTGGGGGGGGGGGGGGTCGGAAAGAATCGACGGTGGCTCGATTCAAACTAATCGATTCCCCCGCCCATTCGCACGTATGAGGGATCGCACATTGTTGCGAGCACGATTAATCGAAAGGGAATCGATTACGTTCGCGTTGGGGTTCCCTCTGCAGCAGAGCGCTGCCCCCAATCTCTTGCCCCCGACTCTTCAAGCGGCTGAGATTTGATCTTGATTTGATCTTGATTTGATCTTGATTTGATCTTGATTTGATCTTGATTTGATCTTGATTTGATCTTGATTTGAAGCTGATATTTGGCTTTAAATTCCTACTCCCAACAACGTTCGTCAATAATAAAACTGCCTTCTGCTTTAAAGGGATATTTACATGGAATGTCGAGGATGCGACGTTTCGAGCAATGGCCCTTCTTCATGGCGCGTGTGAATATAATTCCTACTGAAGGGCAAATCCGGTCCTATGGACGAGTTGAGCCTTCCCCATGAGCCTTGCCACCCCGATCCATCCTACTAAGCCCTCTCTCCCTTTGCCTTGTCGGCTCTGCCCTTTTGCAGTTTGTTTTGGAAAATAAAGAGATACATATTTGGAATATAAACATTACACAAATACAAACAAATGCAAGCGTGTGATAACAAACAAAACACAGTCATTCTAGATTTGATCTAGATTTATCCCATGACCAAATATCATAGAACCCGCCCGATCTCGTCAGATTTGTTGCAAGCTAAGCAGGGGTGATCCTGGCTTTAGTGCCTGAATGGAGTGACCATCGTGCCTAACAGGTGCTATAGACTGCTGCGTGGCTACTGTGGTGGGCAGCAGAAGAGGCAGTGCAGCAACATCATCTGTTGCCCTGGACCCACGTCTATTCTCCCCACTTACAGAAACCCGCACGCATTGACTGGCGTGGTGAAGTATGGTCAAATAGCCTCGATGACCTGCGACGGTTTGGCCAGGTCGTCATCCAGCAGTAGATTAACAAGGAAGGATGGGAGGGGTGGGGCTGGGTGGGGAGGGGCTGGTCACCCCGTGGTGCCCTTATAAATCTCAACGTTTAACCTACTCACGCCGACTTGTGCCCACCCTCACAGTCGAGCATATTTGCGGAATACACCACGCCGCCGTTGACCCTGGCCATTGACCGAGCAACCCAACGTTCCTACCAGCTCCCTCCGCAGGACACGGCCAATCAGTGAAGGTTTGTCACGTAAACAAAACGTGTGTCAACTCGTTACTAGTTCAGCACACCGGTGTGTTGGAGAGTAAATTCGCAATATTTACAATTCGAATACTTTATATTTACGAGATCTAAACCGAAACAAAACCTTGATTGTGGATAATATTGGTCACGAAAGCCTACGTGTTAAACTTGAATGAAATATATCATGGGACCTCCTGTGCCAGTACCAAAATATAAGAATAGGGTTTTCTCATTTTTTCTGGCAACAAAACTGAAACCTTACAAGGAATCGTGTCTGCATTAACCACACGGTGTTAGACCAGAGGACGCATTTTGGCGTCCTCTGATCTAACACCATTTGAGACGCGGCTCAAAAGAAAGCTGTCTCTGGTGTAGACCAATCAGTTTCAAGGACAATGCAAATATTATCAGAGTGTGTTTTTTTCTTCTTCTTGGTTCTTTCGGTAAAGTCACGTAGAAGGGAAGTAATAAAATAATAAAAATAAAACATAATATTATGTTTTATTTTTATTTTTATTATTTTATTACTTCCCTTCTACGTGACTTTACCGAAAGAACCAAGAAGATGAATCCCTGCAGTCACGAAAGCTTTAAATCGAAATGTGTGTTTTTTGTTTGCATTTTGAAGTATTGTGGTTAATGCAGACATGATCCCTTGTAAAAAGGTTTCAGTTTTGTTGCCAGAATAAAGGTGAAACCCCTATTCTTGAAATGAAATACATGAATTGTTGTGCTGCGAGTAAATGGCCAGGAGATGGCGCAAGTGTGCTGCACTTGCTCAGCATGCCACGGTGACCAAACGCGGCACGCGTGTAACAGGATGTCAGCGATTTAATTGCATTGAAACAAACTTCAGTAAGGCTACAGACACCTGAAAGTTTATTTAAATGGCATGCTAACTATGTGAGACTGAGAGCTTGTCAGCGACACTTTCATATGCCTTGGTTGTTGAAGCCAATCGAGAGAAGTTGGTGAACAAATGGGCGGGACTGAGCATTACAGAAATTACAAAACAGGCATGTCCTTCACACTTGGGATTTGCTGCCAAGATGGCAATGAACTGTAGATATAATGGGCGGTCTGAAAGTTAATATCTAATGGGGTGTTAGTGAACAAGCGTCTGTACATATTCAACAAAGTCAGAATTAATGTACCATGTAATAACATAAATGATCATTTACGGCCTTTTGCCAAGTCCCTGCTGGGTGAAGACCACCCTTGTTCAGGAGAAAGCCTGAACGTTTGGCGCACGTGGCCCAACGATTGGACGGCTACTGGTCGTGTTATCCACCTCTGAGGTGCAAATAACCCCCAGGATATATCAGGGAAAGAAGAACACTGCATCTCACAATACTGTAAGGGAGGAGCGAAACACGAGATGAAAAGAGTTAAACATGGAAATACCAAACAAAATATAAATACACAGATAATACCATTAGGAATGGAATGTGGAGGGGGGAAAAACAGAGAACACAATACAAAAGTGTTTTAGATGTCAGAACAAACAATGGGAGATCTAAAGCAAAAGGTCGTTGATTGAAAAAATCACAATTGGTAGTCCGTACAGATGAAAATGGAATCGTTATGTATGATAGAAAAAAAGCATAAAACTAGCCGAGGAATTTCATGCAGATCTCTAGCAAAAAGGTTCAGAGAGACGGAAGGAGGAACACCTACATCGGAGAGCGAAACGCAAGTTAAAGGCATAATTATGACTGTTAATGAAATTAAGCGAGCTTGGCTGAAGCACATCGTGAGCAGCTGACGAGTGAGGGAGATCACAATCAGAGCTGCCAGCTCGAGTCCCAGCAGCCTCATCGTTCGACCAGTCATGGGGGATGGACGTGATGCGTGGAAATTATTCATATCCGTGAAATTAATATCAAATAAGTGCGAATAATAGTAACTATTTGCACATGACTCCTATCTGAGAAACAATGTGTTGATGATAGGCGACTACTTCTGGGTGTACCTCTAACCCACATAAACACAGGTTACATGATACATTTGCTGCGCGACTCATGCCTTGACATGTGACAGATCCTCAGATTGGTAACGCAAAGCGTGACTTTCTTTCCACACTATATTGTCCAACAAACTTTACTGGGCATCTGTGAAAACTACTGGACATCTGTGAAAATAAGCTTTATAGCTCATCGGATTCCTCCAGTATAAATAAATATTCTGATTCTGTTCAGTCCACCATCTCTTGGCTTCAAAAGTGGCACATCACGTGACACCTTTCTCTTTACATCACCATCAGCTTGATTTTTTTTTATTCTCAACAATTTCAGGCCTCTTTCCATGCCCACGTGATGTACTTTCTCCGACATTGTTTTAAATTTCCCACACATTAAAAAGCAACCTTCCAATATGACCATTCTTCCTTTCTTCTTGGCAAGCATAAATCTGTTCCGAACTGCAAATATCATGAAGGGAGACAATGATGCTGAAATTGCATGGGCAGAGATTTATTTGGCTCACAGCAAAAATCTCTTCAGAGGATTTTTTGTATAAAAATCCAGCCAGTGCCCATGACAAATCCTACCCCTCTACTCACCTCTAGAAGAAAGAAGAAGAGGAATGTAAAAGTAGCAAAATCGTTTCAATTTTGAACGTTTGAGGATACAATCTTAATTTTAGAACTTTCGTGACTGCAGGAATTATTATTTGGTTCTTTCAGTTAAGTCACGTCTAAAGATAAAATAATAAATTAAATTAAATAATAGCATACGACGTTTCGATTGCAACACAAGCAATCATCATCAGGTATAATGAAATAGCGACATAAAATCTAACCAGAAAACTATAGACAGACACTCATTGATATGCAATTTTTTTCTCTAACCCCCTCCCTCTCTCTGCCTCCGCCCCCCTCTGTCTATTTAAGGCCACCCCACAGAGACGATCTCCCCTCTCTGTTACCTGTGTTGCTCTCTCTGTGTATCTTGGTGATATCTGTCTGCTAATATGTCTGTCTATAGTTTTCTGGTTAGATTTTATGTCGCTATTTCATTATACCTGATGATGATTGCTTGTGTTGCAATCGAAACGTCGTATGCTATTATTTAATTTAATTTATTATTTTATCTTTAGACGTGACTTAACCGAAAGAACCAAATAATAATTTGAGGATACTTCAACCCGGTTGGACGCCCCTCCTCCATGTCGCGTCAGCCGTGCTGGTTGCTTTGCCTGGCCCCTCGTCACGTCGCTGACTGTGGGTTGGTGACGGTGGTCGCCACTCAGACACCGATTGCGTAATCTCTCGCCACTGATGTTAACTCGCGTCAAAATTACACGCAAAATGTAGCTTAGCTAAAGCGAAACTTGCCGTAAAACATTGCAGTTTGGTGAATGACGTATATGTTTCTAAGAACTCTCTCATGCACGCATGCACTCAATGAAAATGAATCACTATTTTTCAAGAATATTATTGGTACCAGTAGAAGTAACTTGGTATTGCTTGGGTTGTTATTTACCTTGGATAGGTTTGAGCTGAAAATGATTAACCAGTAACAGCGAATGTGCATCCACTCTCGCATTCCTTTGTTTTATGACTAGCCCTGGGACACTAACGCAAACGGACATCACACCGATCCTTCAAATGTGAATTAATTATTTACTAATGGAACAAAATACTCAGACACAGCATTAACTGCGCATTTAAACTACTCAGGTATGCTGCCGTGGTTTAATGGTTAGCACATGCAGTGGACTTGCATCCCAGTAGTGCCAAGTGCATTCTCCCACATGACTCGCACTGCTCTGTCCATCCCGCAGAATACATGGATACACCACAGTCGGTCGGAAAGTCATGTGCGGTGGGGTAAAACGTGGGTACTGACACTTGTTCCAGAACGGTCCAGCCAGCGTGGGGAGAGAAGGCCAAATATCATTGAGATAGCGGCTCTGTCGTGCTCCCTCCAGGCGGGGTCCTTACGTCAGCAGTGGCATAAGCAAGTGACTCATGGGGGGGGGGGGGGGGGTGCGATGCAGCAATAATCATATTAATGTAAAACCTGTGCCTTCACTGTAAAAAGTTCTGGGGGATATTGTGACTGTGAAAGGCGACCGCTCAAGATGCTTTGTCCTCAGCCAAGCGTGAAGACAATTGACAGCCAAGCTGCAATGACTACAGTGCAGAAAATGCAACCCAACCAGATCTGCAAAACCTGATAATACTGGAACACTTCAACCGACTCGGTAACACTTTCAGAGAGAAAAGAGTACTAAAATTGTGATTTCCAGAGAGCAAAAGGTATGATTGATTGGAAGTGTTGCCAGCTCCTAAAAGCAGAACATCACAAAATACTTTCTGGGCAGACCTAAAGTCATCAACACTCTCACTAAACAATTTACAAATATTCACACATAGTAAACAGATGTAGGATCCGAAATGTGCACTGGAAATTGCTCCTAAATCTGCACCATGTCTTCATCGCAGAAAGTTGTTAAATGTGTTACCTCTGGTCACTTTGACAAAATGTTGTCATTCGGGAAAACTCAAAAAGTCGTAAAATCTATCAACAAAACTACCAAGTTAGCAACACCGATTACTGTGACCATGTTACAGTTCTCCCGTCATCTCTTGCATTCCACGTGAAATCACCATACTGTGTGTGTCATGCACACAGCCTTGTTATAGACCAACTCAAAATAGAAAAAAAATTCTGGCCCATATTATTTGTATAATGATTCCATCCTTGAGAGGACCGATCCCTGAGTCACACTCACGCATTTTGCCATCGAGAAATAATATTTTGCCTGTATTTTATACTCTGTAACAGTTTCCTTGAACACGACAGAGTATGTGAAAACACCTTACAATAATATAAACAGTACGGTACTGTTCAGATTTCATTGAGACTTTAATTCAGAAATAAGGGTAACGTTTCGACATTTGCAATGGCTGGTGGGGGTTGCACGCGTAACAATAGTATTCTTTGCATGTATAATGTGCTTACATCCCTCAGCAACTCACGTGGCACCTTTCCCTGTGCATCAAAAATAGGTTTCTCACCACCTGTGTGATGTCTACATATCTCCACGCAAAGAGTCGTGGGCGAAACAACCCTAAACGTAGTGAAACAATAACATTGGCACTATTTAGACACGTATGTAGGATGGACAACAAAGGTTGAATTAAAAGTGTGTTGTTCGTGTTATGCAAAACGCACCATTATAGACAAATGGAAAGAGCCTGCTTCCCCAACACTGCAAGAATGGGCCTATAAAAAAAAACGTGCCAAACTAATGGGCAGTGAGGAAGCTTACCACCAAACATGAAACCCCCCCATCACGACCTCTCCTCCAGTGGGCAGTGACTCTTAAGAGCATTCATGAGGACATTTAGGCACTCCCCGTTTCCCTCTCACTCCCTTATTGTGTTCATCACCTACAAGGGTATCAGGGTTTAGGAAGACACGGGGGCTGTACAGTTGATTGAAAGAGTTTATTGAAACATGCGGTTTAGACAGATTTCCATTGCATTGTAATCCGTAATGTGTTTGCGCTGGTGTCAACCCCTTTCATATCCTCTGCGGTGTATACCTGAATCATTTTGTTAATAAAAAATATATACTTTTGTAGTGTGTTGTTCTGGAAAATGGAAGGGACCGGAAAGAGAGGAAGACCTGACAGAGCACGGCTTGACGATGACATTCGAGCTTGGTGACAGAAAGACGTGGCCACAACTTGAGCGATTCGGCACAAGACAGAGAGGAAAGTGGAAACAAATGGCGAAAAGTGCAGTGGACACCTACGGCCTATCTTCCCACATGGATCGTGTTGATGATGTTGACAGAGCACATTACGGTATTAATTTAATCATGCTTCAAAGGTGTGGTGGTAACCACAGACGCATTCTGTCTTCCTCACCACGGGCTGATGCGTCTTGCCCATTGCGTGATCACTAGCGAAGAGCGTGGGCACAGCTTTTTTCTCGTTCTGGGGGTGGGGGGTGTTTGTTGTTGTTGCGAAACTTCGTTGTGCGTTGACGGATGGTGCCACACCCTCCTGGCTCCGCTTCTTGTTGTCCGTGCCATGGCCCTGTTTCACATGAAAGAAAATTTATTCAGAGACACAAGGCACTTTTCTCCAGGTAATCTCAGATCTCTGTTGTCACTCTGAAAGGTCTCGTTGCCACCTTCCAAAGACACTGAGCTTGTGTGCAGCCTGACAAAGCTGCACACATTTCAATGCCATGTCTAACAAAGTACATTGTATATAAAGTGCATTTTATATACGCACTATGTTGTAACGTGAAAACTAATTTGGTAATCATGTTTTTAGTTTCCCTATATTGGGATGGGGAGCAGAGGTAACGTTACAGGGTTTAAGCTCCATAATCAGCCACGGCTGACATCCTGAGCTCTCCCTGCATCAAACCAACCTGACGAGTTTGGTGAAGAATGATAATAAATAAAAAAACAACCCCGACGAACGGCACAGCGTGCTAAGTGTTATGTTTTAATTGCTTATGCCTAAAAAGTTTATAAAATGGCTATTATTCCCAACAAACTTTGCTTTTGTGACCAGGACTTTATGTGAAGGAAAGACACGAATGCACACCACGTTTTCTCATTGAAAACAGGTACATTTCTAAATATCACTGTCTTAGTCACAAAAGCAAAGTTTGTGGAGAATAATAGCCATTTCTTGTACTTTTGAGGCATAAGCGATTAGGAAATAACACTAGCTACCCAGGAACAATTGTTTTTGTTACACAGTATAATCAGTGGTAATTTGGCGTACAGGAAGATTTCTGCCTAGAATAGGAATGTGGAATTTGCACCATTGGCCGACGATCACAACCGGTGATTAAAAATCAACCCGTGCTCATTTGAGTATGCGGACTTTGATTTTTGGATTCTCTGTAGTTGCCTTTGGCACCATTTTTATTCTCATGTCAATTTAAATAGCCTTACACACTGACGTGATAATTTGGCCATTTGGTTATGCAATCTTAGTAGAGACATTCCATGATGTCATTATTTTTAAAATGCATTTGTATTTCAGAGTTTTTATCAATTTCTATGGAATAAAATGCTCTTAAAATTGCCCCAAACGCCTGGCATAATGGTCTTTGATATTCAATTGTCTTTTCTCGTATCCAATTGTTAGTATGCATCTGGTTCATTGTAGAAATAAAATCTAAATCCAGATTGGCCACAAAGTTTTACTTTAAAATGCTCATTATTCGGTTCCCTATGATCTTCGTGAACAATGTATACATGCGTGATATGGGGGATAATGGCTCTGTAATTATGCAATTCAGCTGTCTTACTTTTTGAATAAAATAATGATTTGGACATAATTCCAATTTCGATTGTACTCCTGTGCAAATACACACTTAGTCGTCACAACATGGGTCTGCGTATTTTGTTACGACTGGTAACGCTTCTTTGACGATGTCCACAGTTATTCCATTCCGATCTGGGGGCTTTCCCATACATTAGAAGCCATTTGAGAAACATTGAATTAGATAATTTCAGACGTAAACATAAATGTAAGGCAGTATAACTATGTAGGAATTGTTGACAAAGTCGTCACTGTAAACACGAATGAAACTATTTCAGAAATGGATTGAAAATCTTAAAGAAGGCTGTAAATTTTGGCTAATAATAATAATTATCTTTTACAAAACAACAGCCATGGACATAGACATATTAAATGAAATAAATGCTGGAGATTGTGCAAATAAGCACAGAGAGATGAAATGACACTGGAAGTGGGACATCTGTATCAACAAGACATTTATACTGTTAAGCAAATGAGCTTGTCCAGTGGATAGATAATTGCTGATGGTAATGAGTGTCGTCTTACGAAAACAACGTTCACAAAATGTACTCTGAGTGCACGTTTAAAAAACACAATTCGAAAAGAAAAATTGGTCAAAAGTAATTATTAATTTCTGTATTTAAAAAAACGATATTATTTTTTGGTATTCCTATACCTAAAGTGTAATATTTAAATACTGCAAAGTTCGAATTGTCGTCAATAAATGCATAAAATGCTTGTTTTTATTACCTTTAAAGGGCAATACATATAATAGCGTGTGATATGTAGATAAAATCATTATTTATTCATCAGCCATGTGGGGGTGTATATCGTAATTGAATAGCGAGGTGGTTTTCTGCGAGTCTGAACACGTGGGAAGCGTTGGTTTTCCTATAAAGCCTCAAGGCATACCTCGTAAATAGAAGCTCAAATTCCATATGCGTCGAGACAGGTAGGCGTTGGTGTTATAAGGTGAGAGCTGCCTTTTTGAATGCATTCAGTCGTTCTGACTGCTGCAGCTTTTTTCGCAGCTCACGTTTGATTTAACTGCCCCCGTTTTAAGTACACATCTTGCCCATCGCAGTCATGATTCGGAACTTTAAAACAAAATCGAGGACGTTTCAGGAGATAAAGGAGGAGTGCTTGCAGCGCAAAATTATTTTTGAAGATCCCGACTTCCCAGCAAGTCTGTCCTCACTGCATATTAAAGTCCAGCCGACGGTCATCACACAGTCTAGCAATTTCATTGAGTGGAAGAGACCTTGGGTGAGTTCACATCCATTACATGCATACACCGATATTAAAACGAAAATGTTCCCCTTTGATACGAGCCACATCGACAAATGAAAGTATAACTTTTCATCAAATGTATGACATAGTCAACGTGAGTTATGAATAAAATGTTATTCACACAGGGTAAACTTCTACATACGTTGCTGTATTTAAGTGTGGAAAGGAGAGGGGGAATAGAACGGTATATATTTGAGGAATATCCAAATATGCTCTCTAATGAATGTGATTTACAGAATATTATATGAGAAATGACACCGATCTGTCCCACAGAACGATGTTTAATGTGAGTCAATAACCTAACACGGTTTGCATTTATAGGCTGCTTAAGTTACTCAGTATCTTAACACACTTTGCACCACATCTGATCTCAAACATTCATTCCATTTCCCTGCGGTAGTCTTGTGTAGAGGAACCCCATTGACATGTGCCGCTATGTGGCATACGGTGTATGCAGCAACCGCTTTAAATGTTATATAGTCTGCCTGCAGAGGGCGATGGGCTTTTGTTTGGAAAATCTGGACCACGATGTCGAAACAGACAGCGTATTTTTTTTTTCAAATAACTTCATGGAATATGTAATGTCCACTGTGAAGCAGAGGGCACGTATTTATGGTTGATAGACCCGCAGTATTATCTTAGAGCCTGTACAACAAGCAGCAAACATGCTACTTGAGTGTTTTATGCAGTCTAACCCACAGCCAAACAATAACATAGCAATGGATATGTTGTAAGACAAACGCTGCTCATGGCACATGTTTCATAAAACATTCATCTCTCCGCAGGAACTCGTTCGTCACCCAGAATTCATTGTGTCTGGAGCCACCAGAGCTGACATTAACCAAGGCATTCTACGTAAGCCTTATATAATTACATTAGAATACATACACGCTCATCATCATCATCAGCTATCATCTATCCACTGCTGGGTGAACACCACCTCATGGTCCTGCAATACCACAAGCCATCTTGCTCCTGCACGTGAGCCGGTCCCATCGCTCCATCTCCTTGGCAGTCTTCCTCTCAGGCCGTTCCCTCCTTTGACTGCCATTTCTATACCAGACTTGACCATTGGCCATCATCTCCTATAGCAATGTCCTGTCCAAGCCCACTTTCTTTCCTTAACCGTCATCACGATGCGTATAATTTGCATTCGGCTGCTGCTGCTGCTGATGAACATGATGTGACATTTGGAGGCCGACCAAACCAATGTTAGCAAAACCGCCAAAGCCCTCCTGGCCATGGCCCGCCCTCGTGCAGCCTGCCTGAGTGGCAGGCTGCACTCACGGCTCCCGTGGGGCTCGTCACGGCGTGACCCGCGCACCGGCGACCACGAGGCGACGTGGCAGCTCGCCCACAGCCCACGTCGCCTGGAGTCGACAGGCAGCGTTGGCCTGATGCTCGCAGTTACAATTGGCATTCGTATTCCGCCTCCACCCTTTAGCCGGTGATGTACGCCTGCAGTTGAGGACTCGATCCATTCACATTTAAATTTAGTGGCTTCCCTAATCCCCGGAGATTTGCTTCACACCTTTCAGATCGCTGCTTGGCTACCGTGCGCTGGATCCCATTTGAAACACGGTAGCACCAACACTTCTGCCGTGGCTGATCATTGTTTTAATGCGGCTGGCTCACGCGAAATGTATTTCTCTAAGGTACTTTGCAAACTAAAGATTCGTTCACGAAGCCATCCATATATACAGACACAGGCACAATTTCAACCGAGATGATGGCTATAAACTCAGCAGTCATTGGAAAGATGTCATCACCCGCTTTGAGTCATGATTTGATTGGTTTCTCGTCAAGGGAGCACAGGTTAAGTTATGACTTGATCTGTGTTGTTTTATTGTTTGTCTTGTAGTCTTGCCCCAGGGCACATCGAAACGTCGCTTTATTATTTTCAATGTATTATTTTTATTTTTAAAATTTAATTGTATTTAATTGTATTATCTTTTATTTTTATTTTATTTTCTATCCACGTGACTTTACCGAAAGAACCAAGAATACTGAAATGTCAGTTCATGCCAATAAGTGTCTTATGTAATCTCAACCGCAACAACGATTTACCGGTTATGGTTGTAATGACGAGGAACACACCTACAATAGCAATTCAACTACAATTATATTTTGAAAATGTGATCAACAATTACAGTATTTAATTATCACAAATAAGTATTCATATAATTAGATTATGCAATGCACACTACAGATTTGCTTTGTCCACCCACTGCTGGATGAGGCTCTCATCACACCGTGCGGATCGTGGGAGCACGTCTCCGTGGCGAGATGTTAACTACCTCGCCTGGTATACAGGAGGTCGTGGATTCGATCCCAACCCTGACGCCTGTTAGTATATTTGTAGTTTAAGTGTTCTCTCCGTGGTCGCGTGGATTTTTCTCCGGATCCTCTGGGATTTCCCTCCATATTTATAACCAACATCACGCGTTTAGAGGATTTGGCCGCTGCTATAAATTTCAACAGGATAAGCCACTTTGTTGAGCTATCATTTGTGGCCATGTCGCTTATGAAAAATAGCTCAGTGGGCATTACCTGGTAAAATAAAAATAGTTTATAGTTACTTGACCACCCTTCACTGGGTTCGTGAAGGCAGGGAGAGAATATGGTGAAGCATAGCACAGTACAACAATGGATTGTTCTGCATTGCCCTGTGCTGACAATGTAGCCACCACAGCAGCCTACAGCACCTGTTCCTGTAGCCGTAGTGGTTGCCCATTAATTCAAAATCCAGGCTCAAGCCTGCTTGGCTTCCAAAATCAAACTCATGGATGTACAGATGTTTATTGGAAGAGGCGATCTAACAGATTAAGAATGGACCCTTTCAAACAGGGCTTGGCACGCAGCATAAAGGAGTTCACGCGCGAACTGCAGATGTCAGCAAATGCTCCGGTGTTTACCATGGTCTCAGCATAATTAGCGTCAGGACTCCTATGTTATGTTGGGTCATGTTCTCGCAGATAAAGTATCGTCTATTCTATTGTTTGAATTAGCCCCTACTTGGTGTACTATTCATCACCTGAAAAAGTTAGTTGATAAAAACATCCCTTGCTTTCCTTTTAAAGTAAGGCTGTGGGTCCTATGTAAGCAAATAGAAGATTATATAAGACTAGATTTAAACACAACATTCCAATTTTTTTGCATCCAAATAATTGGGTTCCGAAATAAAAAATGACGTTTTTCTGATGTTTATAGTAATAAGCATACGCTTGATGACTCTACTGTATTCCCAATTCCAGATGTCTAACCCTTCTGGCACATCATTAGAATAGTATTTTTAAAACATATATTTGGTGATGCTGTTGGAAAGTTGCGTACAAGCACAACAACAAAATAAACTACACAAACTCGTCGACAACACTGCCTTAAAACTACATTTTAAAATGTATATAATCGGCTACATTGTGGGCAAGGCCATTTGCTGCTATGAATAAGGACCATTGCTTGACAAGTCGCCAATTATATCTTTATTTTAAAAACAATACTGTTGACGAGTGTGCTCGTGTTTTGTTAATAACAATTTACATTATTCTCTTCGTCTTTTATTTATCATCATTATTAAAGTAACCAGATGCCACAGTTGCCCTGCGAAGCGCTTTGTGCAGTCTGAATCCTAACATATGCACTAGAAAGGTAATAATGCCTGCTGTTGTTGGTGTTTTGTTGATGAATTAAGCGCGTGTTTTACCCCTGTCCCTGTGTTGGTTCCAACAGCTGACTGTTGGCTCCTCTCCGCCATCGCATCGCTCACCCTCTACCCACATCTGCTGGCCAAGGTGGTGCCCATGAAGCAGAGCTTCCACGAGGACTACGCTGGCATTTTCCTCTTCCGTGTAAGAGAGCAAGGTCCCTTCACACGTGGCGTGGTGGGACCTCGCGGTGACGCGCACGCAGAAGCAGTCTCGTAAATCCACTGCTGGATGAGGGTCTCCCCGCACCTTGTGGGTAATGAGGAATATTGTGTTGTCATCTTGCTCTCTACAAAAAGCAATGCCCTTGAAATGTGGTGCACGCTGAAGACGACAGAGCAATGTCTATAGCATTCACAGAAATTCTTATTTCAGTGACCTTGTCAAAGTGAAGGAGTCATAAATTGTATGAATTAAAGTACACTGCGCACCCTGCCAGTTTAATATGTGAAACGTATTACGTGTTGTTGAGTGGCATTGTGCATGTAAATAACACGTTCCTGCGGAGAGAGCTGATAGGAACGTTGGGTTGCTCAGTCAATGGCCAGGGTCAACGGCGGCGTGGTGTATTCCGCAAATGTGGCCGACTGTGAGGGCGGGCACAAGCTGGCGTGAGTAGGTTAAACGTTGAGTTTTATAAGGGCACCACGGGGTGACCAGCCCCTCCCCACCCAGCCCCACCCCTCCCACCCCCCACCCAGCCCCACCCTCCCTACCCGACCCCTCCCCACCCAGCCCCTCCCCACCCTCCTCTCTCCACCCAGCCCCACCCCTCCCATTTTTGGATGCACGACGGACAGACGGACGGACACAATAATCCCCTGTGGGCTGGTGTAACCAGGAGGTTCCTACCAGTATAATAGTGCATGTCCATGCCGTTCTTGTTACTCCAATGCAGCATGAGGTCATCCCCACGCCGTGCTGGAAGGGAGATTGCTTCCTCCACACGGGTGGAGGAGGCAGCGAGGAATCACGGGGAGAGTCGCAATGGGGAGTAGCGATGGAAAAGTACTCAGGAAGCGACTGGCTGACATTGTATCAGTTGCGTTTATTGTCCAACAATCGACAGGAATGTAAATGCTTATGCAATCTGTACTTACGTTTATACTTAATTTATGCTTATTTATTTTAGTGACGTGCTTACCTTTCCTAACTTTTGCACTCTTAGCATGTGTTTGTGTTGTTTGTTGTTGCATCTTGCTGACTCGCCCACGCTGGACATCTGTAAAAATATATGCATAGCTCATCAGATTCCTGCAGTCTAAATACGAATTCTGATTCCGAGTGCCCGACTGCTTTAAGTTGAATTCTATAAAATTGGTCGAATCGGAGCCTCCTTGGGACCCACTGGCACTTTCCACTGGCACCTTCCCTTGGCAAGGGGCACGCGGCGTCGTGTGCACGGGAAACATTTCCAGAGCTCAGACTCTGGACAGCCCCGGCTGAAATGAATCCCTGGGTGGACGTGTATGTCAGAATCAAAATCTTTATTTATACTTGAGGAATCTGATGAGCTATGAATATCTTTTTCACAGATGTCCAGCGTGGGTGGGTCAGAACGTTACAACAACAAACAATACAAAAAGTCGACAGGAGTATTTTTTCTTTTATCGGTTAAAGCTCACTGAGCTATTAGCTTCTTTTTAAGAGGCGACCTGGCCACACTTCGTAGCCGATGTTTGACCACCGTGCGCTGAGCGTGGTGTGGGTCTCTCTCACCCGGCGCAGTTCTGCCAGTACGGCGAGTGGGTGGACGTGCACGTGGACGACCGCCTGCCCACCCAGAACGGGCAACTCGTGTTCGTGCAGTCGGGCACCGGCAACGAGTTCTGGAGCGCCCTGCTGGAGAAAGCCTACGCCAAGTACGTGGCACGGAGACATCGAATCATCCACAATGTTTGGATCGCGCAAATATAAATGTGTCGTGAAACCCCGCCACCACCCGATGCAGCCGATTGGTAAAGGGTTGTCACGTAAACAAAACGTGGTAATTAGTTACGAGTTCAGCGCACCGTTGTGTGTTGGAGAGTAAACCCACAACATGTATTATAATTCGAGTTTTGTGACGTTTAGTCCGGTAATTACAACCAGCCTCATCAGGCGACAGTTGGGACTCTGGAAGGATCCTCCTGTTGTGGTCAAGCAGGTGCAAAGACCAGAGGGGGGTTCAGGTTGTCATATAAATGACATCACATCATCATCACGATCCATGGGCGGATAGCCCGTAGGTGCTCACTGCACATTTCATCATTTGTTGTTTCCACTTTCCTCTCCGTCTTGTGCCGAAATGCTCAAGTAGTGGCCGCATCTTTCTGGCACCGATGTCTCGTGATGTTGTCAAACCGTTCTCTGTTAACTCTTCCTCTCTTTACGGTGCCTTCCCTTTTGACAAACAACACACTTTTAATTGTCGTGCTGTTGTCCATCCGACATGTGTCCAATACAAACCATCAAATACACACAGACAAAAACAAGATCCCCCATCCCGATAGGGACAGGTACAGCCCTTTGTCAATCCACTGCTGGGAGAGGGCCTCTCCTAGGCCTTGTAACCCGTGGTGGTTAGTTGACCATACTTCACCACGTTGGTCAATGCTGGTTGATGAAGGCGGGAGCGTGTGTGTGTGGGAGTGTTCGAAGCGCAGTACGACAGTGGATGTGTCTGCACTGCCCTCTGCCGCTCACAATGTAGCACAGCACCAAAGATGCCAATAACTAAACTAAACATAACAAAAATTGGTATTTTGTCAGGTCAGGCCCACTGAGCCTATACCAGTCTCGCTGTTTTTCAGAAGCGACCTGGCCTCAAACGACAGCTCAACGAATGGCGCATCACGTGGACATTTATAGCGGCCAAATACTCCGAACGCGTGTTTCTGAATGTGGAGGGAAAAACCAGAAAAACCCAAGCGACCACGGGGGGGGGGGGGGGGGGGGAGACTTGCAAACTCCAAAATACAACAGGCGTCCAGGGTCGAGATAGAACCCACGACCCCTTGTAGACCAGGCGAGGTGGTTGACATTTCGCCACCGCCATTGGTGTGCATGACAACGTGGCGTGGATGGTGGTCGCCCATCCGATCACTATCCAGGCTCAACATTTTGGATGATTTGTTCACAGGTCTCCTTTAACATACTGGGGGGAAATGTTGTCCAGACATGATGTTTAGAGACTGCACCATTTTTATTCTGATACCACTTTTCACTGACGTTTGCGCTGGCTGGGAACGCACGGTTGTGTGTTTCCACAGTACTGTACTGTATTAGTGGCAGCACTTTACTAGGCAAAAAGCAAACGAAGCAAAAGTGTAGGGCTCCAAGTAGCTGAAGGGGCCTTGGATTCCCAAAAAATTGCGTTAATCAAATTTCAACTGGAACTCATATTATATATATTTAAAAATAAATTATCAGCATTGTAATACCGCTCCCAAAATAGTATAACGTTTATTATTTTACACACGTGTGACATAATTAATTGGTATAGCTTGTTTAGCATATAATGTGTGTAGTTACCCGAGGCATACCCATAATTTATTTATGCTTTGGCCCCCAATGGGCGAGCACTCCCACCGAGATCAATTGCTCTTAAAAAGAAAGCTTTTTCAGATCAGCTCCTCATTACCAACAACAACAACAGCTGCCATTCGCCACTAAGTGAAGATGCTGTCACCACAGCTCTTGTGCCAGGCTAGGTGCACCTTAAGGCCCCGTGAAGTGTTGAAGGCTCCCTGGCAGGGCAGGGAACAGACCCAGGTTTTGCGTGCAGAGACAAATCTAGAAAGTTCCTAAGGGTGAGGGCAGTCGGAAATTGTATATATTTTTTATGGGGCCCTATATTAATAACAATAATATAAATTAACCAGATCATGTTCATTTGTTCCACAGAAAGTCTCATTTAGCCAGTTACCCAGATAGTTTGAAAGGAACATCCGTGGTGGATCAGCAAAAAAAATACATGAAATGTATTGGCTCTCGTAAATATAAACCAAATAAAAAATTTCGGGAGTTCAAGGGTTGAGGGGGGGGGGGCATCACCCCCATCGCCCCCCCCCTCCAATTCCACCCTAGATCCATCACTGGTTATAAGTTAACTGATTGATCTAACTGGCAGATGCACCACCTGTGCGCCCCATTGCTGCTACCTTGCTCCTCATAACCAGCACCAACAAACGCCATTCCCCACTAAGTGGCGGTGACGTCACCACGGCGCTTGTGCCAGGCTAAGTGCACTTTGTGCCCAAGGCTGGAGATCACGGAAACAGACCCCGGTGCTTGTGGGTTGACTGACTTAGATGACTGGCAGATTGCGCCACGGTGCCAGCATCGCACACACACGTGGCCAGCTGTCTGTTCCCAGCCTGCTGACGGTCAAGTGCTGCTTGCGCAGGTTGAACGGCTGCTATGAGGCGCTGGCGTACGGATTCCCCGTCGAGGCCCTCTGTGACTTCACTGGAGGTGTGGGCGAGACGTTCACGATGGACCGGGCCCCCCACGACTATTGGGACGGCATTTCCCGTGCCATCAAAAAGGGCGCCATCATCTGCTGCGGAATCAAGGCACGTGTTCCCCATGGGAATGGAACTCGCGCGGTGTTAGAGCAGTGTTCTTCACCAATTTCCAGCGAGAGGGGCTCACTTTCGCCGATAAGACATCATCAGTGTGAGGGCCGCCACACGTTTTAAACCGTTGTGTTTGACAGCAGCACGATGGGGATTGGTGAAGTGAACAGGACTCGTCCATGGCTGATGATTGAGAAAAAATGCTAATTATTTTCCAACCATTAGATATGCACGCACACGCATTAATAGAGAGCGAAGCACAGTCATTACATTTGCCAACATTCCTGTGCATAGGAGAGTTCAATACCATTTAAAGAAATTGAAATGTTTTCAGTTTAACACGTAGTAGGCTTTCGCGACCCATATCATCCATAATAGAGGTTTTCTTTGGGTTAGACCGCGTAAATATTGAAATGTGTCGTTATAACCCGCCACCACCCGACACAGCCAACTAGTAAGGGTTGTCACGTAAACAGAACATGCCAATTCCTCCTCTTATTCAAACGTTCCCTTTTCTGCCTCTCAATGTAATTCAAAGCATACACCTCTCCAAACGTGGTGCACCTACCGCTTTTTGTTCCATTTTTTATCGAGGTGTGTGGGTTCAATCGCATAAATACGTGTTAAACACTCTGCAAAAGTGAAAATGCTCAGATTAATTCGTGGAAATTAATCCATAAACCATCGTCATCTGGTCCAACACCATGTGAGACTAGGCTCTAAGAAAAGCTGTCTCGGGTGCGGACCAATCAATTTCAAGGACAGTGCATACATTATCAGAGTTGTATTTTTTTTGCATTCCGACCGCAGGTATTGTGGTCAATGCAAACATGACTCCTTGTAAAAAAAAGTGTCGGTTTTGTTGCCAGATGAAAGGGTAAAAAAACAATTATCTCATTAAAAATATTTAAGGTGCCACGACAGAGTGTGGTACATAGAACTAAAGTGAGGACATCAGATGATATTGATATGAAGTAAACATACAATTTGATGTCCTGATTCACAATTAATACAAACCTGTAATATCACAACAGCTGCCCGGCATGATGCCCAACATGTTGGTCCACGTGCTGGCAGCTTCTTGTTTAACCGAATTCAGTAACTAAAGATTTTTATCCCGAAATTATTTCGTCGCTGAAGAATCTCTCAGCACGTGGAGCAAAACGTCGTACATCACGCCGAACAACACGCGGTACAACCCGAAACCACATCGGAGAGCCGCAATCATTTTCCCTGGAGTTCAAACGAAGCCACAATTCCCAAAATAATGAGGCATCTCAAGCCTTGCACATGAGTGAATGAAAAGCTCACCAGAATGATCTAATCATACTTCAAACATTATCATTTGTCTTTTTCTAGGGCCGTGGAGAGAAGGAGACGGCAGTGGGTTTGGTGGAGGGACACGCCTACTCAATAACAGGCGTGGTAAAGGTATTGTACACACACTCTCATCTGGTTGACACAAGCTAACGTGATTGTGTTTGTTGACAGCCAACAATAGGTCACGGGATTTACTCCAATGCCCTACTTATCCATTAACAATATTTATTCACTGACGTATGTGTCTACGTATATGCACAGTGAAGTGGTGTTGCAGTGGTTAGATCACTGCTCTATGAAGCCAGCAACCCGTGTTCGATTCCCAGCTACAGCTAACATGGACAAACACCCTTGACCGACACCGTTGTGAAGAGAGCTGCATTGACAAAGAGCTGTACATTATGCACAGTGAAGGCTGAATTGGTGATGTCCATTGCTTGCTTGTGGAGTTATTTAGGCCATGAAAATCCATATGTTTGTGTACGTTTTAAATGCCATGTTACCATTCGATTCAAGAATATATGTTTTTAACGTTTGGGTTTTACAACCAATTTGATAATTTACAATAAATTGTTGGGTTAGGGCTCCTAATGACCTGGCCGAAGTTGTGGCATAAGACCCTCCACCACCCGACATAGCCAAACAAATTAAATTGTCGCGTGTCCAAGCGCAAGTGTTTAACGTGCCGTTTTTATTGATTCATTTCGCCGGTAATTTTAAAAACAATTATCAGAACCAAATTGAGCAATTAGAAATTACATTTCATTTGAAAATACGCCGGGCATCTACAGGTTAAAATCCATCGCTATAGCTTGCCACCCCTTGACACCACTAATGCCTTTTGTGGCTGTGTAATATCTTTAAAAAACATTCTTATTAAATTAAATTGGAAGAATGCATCATGAGCTGAAACATCGTCACTATTAATTGTTCAAGCAATGCATCGTCCCAACTCTTTTGCACATTATGATCCACTTCAATATACAGGCGTTTTACATGAGCATGAAATCTTTGAGTATATTTTACAGCATTTACATTGAATTTAAAATCATGAAAAGCTATGAATGTCAATGTTGTTCTTTGAACCTCACGTTCGGTCATTGCCAAATTAAATGATGATTATTCTTATGATGATACGTTGATAATGAATCCAATTTTTTCCAATGACTTGGAAGATTTACCCATTTGCCATGAGATTACATCACACTCGGGGGGGTAGGGGAATGCTGCCATCGTGTGATGCTCAGCATCCAGCACTTGCAGTCCAGCAGTCGGCACGTCGATTGCATCTCCAGACGTGGCATTGCAAACAATGGACACATTTCGATTTAAAGCTGTCGTGACTGCAGGGATTCATCTTCTTGGTTCTTTCGGTAAAGTCACAACGCAAGCAGCCGTCCTCAGGTGAAGAACATGTCTGTCGATAAGACAGAGTCTGCTTGCGTTGTGGCCGAAACGTCGTGAGAATTGTTTTAATATGTTTTATTTTTATTATTTTATTACTTCCCTACTACGTGACTTTAGCGAAAGAACCAAGAAAATGGGCACATTTATGCAATAGCCCTCGCCTCTGTCTACCTAGCAGATGTATACACCGCCAGTTGATCGTTAGGTTGTATGAGGTGGGGTATAATGTGGGTACTCCCATTTTTTCTAAGACGTCGGGGGCCAGCATGGGAGAGGAAGCCAAATAATCTTTTGCTCCCTCGAGTGAAGGCCCTGCCGCCAGCAGTGGTTTGCGCCCGCAAACCGCAGGGCTGCACCTTCACCTGTTTACCTTTTGGCATGACTCTCACTATCCGTTGCCTCTTGTGTCATCCTTGGGGCCCAGCTCAAATTCCCGGAGAAGACAGTTCAGTTGATACGAGTTCGGAACCCCTATGGCAAGGTGGAGTACACGGGGCCGTGGAGTGACGGGTGAGCGCTGTCGCTGCTACGAAATGAAACATCGCTTCCGAGCCGGCTCGCGTGGCTCACACGAGTCAGAGCATTGAGCCAGCACTGCCGAGATTCTCGAGTTGGATCCGGGTTTCGGACACGTGTGGCTACACCGAGTTCTCAAGTGCACAGAGAGTCGGACGCTTCTGAGAGATCACTTTAATTACCACTCATCCACAGTAGCCGATCGTCCTTCCCACATGCCCTGTTATCGATGGTCACAAGACAAAGAGGAGGTTTTTGTTTACTGAATTCAGCTTCTATCCAGCTGTGAGTATTACGGGAAGAGAAAAAAATCCACGACTGAATTCCAGCTTTGAGAATTTAAAACGTGACCGTCATGTAACGAATTTGACGATGTGCAGTTGGGCGTTTGTAAAAGTGCTGCCGCCCCCTGCCATGTGAAGCAGAGGTCACCTGACAGGATCTCAGAGGGAGCTCTGCCATACCCCCCTGGCGTGGGCCATATCCCCCTGGCGTGGGCCATATCCCCCTGGCGTGGGCCATACCCCCCTGGCGTGGGCCATACCCCCCTGGCGTGGAGGGTGGCACTGCTGTGCAGGAGATCAGAATGTATTCTTTTTCTTAATGACATTTTGCCGATAGCACAATCGAGATCAAATTGGGGAAAAAGACGAAACAAAAACATCTGACACGTGAGGTAGAGCCCCTGTGCAGGTGTACATGTTGTATTAATTAATTGATTAATTGATGCATTTTAAACCAGGCAACAATCTGTTTATACGAAGGGGAAGGGGGGGGGGGAGTTGTAATCAAACTGACTTATAATCTACCCAGCCAACTATGTGTCGAAAGTTACAACTTCTTGAAGCAGGGCGTCTGTTCCAATCGTGTTGGTCTCCAGTCAGCGCAGAGTCTGCACAGGGCTTATTCAGTTCACAAACAGCTCTGCCGCTTCCACGTTTCCCTCAGATCCACGACGTGGAACGAGGTGTCGGAGGAAGAACGGAAACATCTGCACGTGAGAGCGGAGGATGGAGAGTTTTGGTAAGTCCCCTGGGTGAGTCCACTATGCACTGAGTGCCTCTCTGTAATTCCGTAATTCACTTTTTTCACATTGGACAGATTGATATCAATGAGTCGTAACTCTTTGCCACTCCACCACCCCTCGTGTGAAGGTTTCGTGGCTTGGTTGGGAAGTTGGATTTGTGGTCACGGATGTGTAGACCTTTGTTTTGGTGACATTTCTTCATTTGTTTATTGGGTTTCTTTTTCTTGGTGGTAGGGTTTTCATTTGCTTGGAAAGTGGCTGTGTATGGGATAGGGTCATAATATAATAAATGTACAGCGTTATGAGATGCTATTAACATAAAATGAAAGTATTATTGCATTACATTCAAAAGGACAAAATCTCTGGCCTCTCCAATGCGAGTGACAATGATGTAAGCATTCCAAGTAGGACCCTTTGAAAATGACCCCGAATCATAAGTCAACAATGCCGTATCATAAACAATGACATATTTTCTCTTCACGGACCTTCTTGGAGTGAATACATTCAGCAGCATTGTTTCAAGACATTTATATTATATTCATATTTACACGATCTAACCTAAAAAAAAACCTTTATTATGGATTATATTGGTCGCGAAAGCCTACGTGTTAAACTGTTTCAAGACAATCGTACTCTGGACCGGTTTGCGGAATTCAGTGTCTGATTGCAAGAGTGAGGCATGTTTGAACCAATTATAATAAACTACCAGATGTTTGGAGGCAAGGAACCTTTCTATAAGACATGGGTCCTGACTTAAAACGACATAATGCATATTACAAAATTATTATTAAACTTCGTTGCAGAAAAAAACACACACAACGCTTTAGCATGTGTCTTCTCACATAAGATATATCCTGTGACCACCATCCTAAGTGATTCTTTGCAATGTATAGATTTCTTAAAAATAACTCATAATTCCATTATTCGTTTGGAATTCTCTTACAAGTGTGTTAGATATTAGATATTCTCATCCTCTGTCCAGCAAGCAGTATGAATGGGTATACCACAGTCAATCAGCAGGTCGTGTGTGAGTTTGGGTTAGGTGTGGGTACGACCACCTCTTCCAACAGGAGCTCACTAGACTTCTGTGCAGTGGAGGCATTTCCACCAGCATTGTTATTAACAAGTGAAATATGCGCGTCACTGCGAGATTGCCAAATAAACACATTCAGATTGATGCCACTACCGCATAAGTGACTGTGCACTGCAACGAATGGCAGGATTTCAGACAAGGACTTCAGGAAGAACTTCCACCTGGTGGAGATCTGTCACCATGGCTCGGAGGTGGAGATCGAGCACAGGAAGAAGAACGTGTGGATCAGCGAGTCGCACAACTCCATGTGGCTCAAGGGCCTCAACGCTGGCGGCAGTCGCCGGAACCGCGGTGAGACCCCGAGCAGCTCGCAGCTCCTTGCAACGTCATCTTCGTCGGCCGTCGTCTATCCACCGCCGCGTCTGAGCCTCCCCACGTCGTCGTCATCCCTCGCGAATGCTGCACACGCCACGATCCTGCGCGTGAACCGGTCTCATCACCCAACCCACTCGCTTGTAGGAAGAAAAATAAATGTACACGTCCGTCAATTGCATTTTGGCCTTACAAGGAAAAATATCTAAGAGGTAACGTCTTGGGCAATGGTGCTTCTTCGTAGCACACACAGAAGTCAAAGTGGATAGTACAACTTGGAGATTGGACTTGACATCGTTGAGGCTGATAAGAATGATATTTTTTAAATATTGCGTGATAAACGGTTTTCAAATTGGCATACGGAGTCACTCTTTGTTATGGAAGCATGCAGGGTACAGGTGAGCTCTGCATGGAGCTCGTGGTACTCGGAGGAGATAGCTTCTGACTCTTTGGGTTTTTCGGTAAAGCCACGAGGATAGAAAAAAAAATCACGACGTTTCGATCGCAACACAAGCAATCGTCTTCAGGTGAAAAATGCAGCAGGCGGACTGCTGAGACAGGAAGAAATGTAGCGAGAGAGCTACTGCAGCCAAAGGTGATATCGGTTTGAGATGGCTTCTCGCTTCAAAGCAGCGTTTACCTGATGGTGCCATAAAATATCAGCACACGTAATGGGTTGGGATGGAGTCACCACTACATTTATTTCGGTAATCGACAATAATTGAAAATCAAAGCTGTTATCGTATTCATCTTTCACCTCCCTTATGAGTTTATTTTGCTCAGTTCAGATATTGAACAATTCCTGGCCATTCATTGTTTGAAACTAGTTTGCAAATCCTGTACATTTGCACTTCCCCAAGGCTACAATATTTCATTTTAAGTCCTTACTACATTTGAAGTGAAGTTAAGTGATTGATGTCCATGATTCAGTAATCATACAAATCTTTTGTGCAACATTTCTCATTCCAAGAAACCAAAACCCAACAAATATTAAAATGGGAATCACATTTTTGTATTTGAATTCCACAACCGCACTGGAATCAGAGCATACTATAAAATATTATGAAAAAACTCCCCCTCACCTAATAATGTCCTCGTTCAATTCAATAATCTGTATCAATAGATTGGATTTTGAAAATCTAAGCTTAAGACGTACACATTTTTCGTGCATTTTTGGCTTATTTTAATACCTCTCATTTTTGTTTTCAAAGAATTTCCACTGAACTACCAGTTCTTCCTCACGCTGTTGGAGGAGGATAACGTCATGGACGTCTGCCATGGCTGCCACTTCCTCCTGTCGCTCACGCAGAAACACCGCAGGAAGTTACGCAAAATTGGAATCGACTTCGTCCCCATCGGCATTTATATTTACAAGGTGTGGGAGCCACCCCCATTACCCCTTCCACCCTTCCGCAGTCATTCCACAAGGAGCAGAACTGTCGCATTCATTGATCATATCACGTCAATGCTTTAGCGCACATTACAAATGTTGAATCGCGCGCGTAAGAGTCGATTGTTGTTCGCTTCATGTATGCTACTGGCTGCAAACATTACACGCCCGTGCGTATGTAGTGGAGCGATCAGCACGCTGTCCTTCGAACGCGGGTCGCCGGGTTCGAATCCATCTCGCGGTCAATACCAATGACGTTGATCTGAACCGATCTTGGGCCTCCCCTAGGTCGAGTATTCGGCTTGTTCCTGCACGGCGTTTAGAGATGTGGTCACATTTAGACGCTATGTAAATCCATATAAAATTTAGAGTGGTAAGATGGTGCACTGCGCTATAAAGCAGACGACCTGGGCTCAATTTCCGGTCGCTGCTAATATCAGTGACTGGTCCTGAAAGCTTGCCTACACACTGTCGAGCAGAGTGAAATATAACGAAACAACCTCCACGAACGACGTGGCATGGGGAGGCTTTCATCCCGTATTGGATTGAGTAATGGCCATAAACGAATTCATACATCCGCGTATCCGCACCGATTGCATAGGCGGTGGTGCCCGGCAAGAAGCTGACCCCACAGCAGTTGCGCAAGGAGAAGCCCTTGGTCGACATCCCAGAGTTCATCGCGCGCAGGGAGGTGACCATGCGGGCGACTCTCCCGCCTGGCAACTACATCATCATTCCCTGCACCGAATCGGCGGGCCAGGAGTCGCAGTTCCTGCTGCGCATCTTCATGGAGAAGGTTCAGCCGCACCAGGAGTGAGTGCTCCTATGGCCCGACTGCCTGGCCACGGACTCAGTGGTAGACCTCAACAGGCCCCGGTGCTCAGACCGCTTTTAAAATTCAGTGTCAGTTCCGTTGATAGTAAACTCAGCGCTGGGAATGCTATTGAATCGCACTAAAATTGGTGGAGATGAATTCTGCAATCGCCCTGTCCTCTGGCTGCCAGCAGTAAACGTGGGCGCACCACAGTCAGTCTTCCACAATGCATGGTCAGCATGGAAACATAGGGCAAATACTATTTACCCTGTTGAGAACGCGAAGCAATCACAGACCACTGCCTGGATTCGAACCCATATTGTCAGTGGAAGCCAGCTCAGTGAGCTGACCTCTAAGCCACCTGGCCATCTCTTCATATGTCAAAAGTTAAACTTCTGATATCATGGTCACCAGCCTCTCCCATAGTTCGTCGACTGGAGAATCTAATGTGGTGAGGTAAAGTGTGGTTACTCCCACTGCTTCCATAGCTATCTGTCCAACGTGAAAGAGTAGGCCAAATATCCTCCAGATGAGCTCTCAATGGTCACCGCTAGTGGAGGCCCTTTATCTATCAGTGAGGTAAGCTAGCAATACCAGGGCTCTACCTTTACCTCTGAAAGTAATTCTATGCACCTATGTCTCTGCTCCCCACCTTTGCCAATGTGTATTTACCAGTGAGGAGAGATATGGTCAAATAACCCCCATGGCTTTCATTCAAAAGTGGATTAATAACAGAGCGACTTCTTGCATTCTGCAACAGTGATAATTGGCTTTTTATTCTTTTATCTGGCAACAAAACTGACACCTTTTTTTACAAGAAGTCATGTTTGCATTGACCACAATACCTGCGGCCGGAATGCAAACAAAAAACACAACGCTGATAATGTATGCAATGTCCTTGAAATTGATTGGTCCACACCCGAGACAGCTTTTCTTAGAGCCTAGTCTCACATGGTGTTGGACCAGATGACGCCAAAAGGCGCACTGAAAAAAAGGTGTCAGTTTTGTTGCCAGATAAAAGGGCAAAAAAACAATTATCATATTTTGCTCCTGGCAAAGGAGGTTCCAATGGTGTAAATTCTTCAACAGTATTCGTGTACCCGTGTCACAAGCGACTGGACAGATGTGCCTCCATGTGACAATTTTTCTTTGTTTTAATTATTTCTGTAACTCAATTCATTTTGGCTGGGCTGGGACTGAAGGCTTCCCAGCTATCTTGCCCCACATCAATGCATAATAATTCGTGTATTCTAATACTAAATGATCACGGTGATTTCAATAATAAGACAATCCGAAATAAGAAGTTATTTTTCTTCTTTTACCAAACAGACCTAAACCACTCACCGTGCCAAAGGTAAGCTGTCATTTGATTTATTTTGCATGCACAGTGCAATCCTGTGCAGCCGTTTTCCAATTAACTTTGTTTTATCCACATGAGTGTCGTTTATTTGAACGAAATTTATTTGTAAATCTGATAAGATGGATAAAAATCGACGTCCTTCCATGAAAAAGTATGCTACTTAGGAAGAGGACAAAACATTACGTGCTGTTGTGCATAAATGTTTTTTTAATCAAAAATGTTGAAATGTTGTAGAACAACAGTTTGTATCATGTCAAGGCCACATTTCCCAAGTGAGGTGCTATTCAGGCGATACTGTCTACGTTTAGCAAGTCAGTTGCAAGTAACGCCATATTTTCCGCGTATGGAAAGTCAGACGGTTGTATTAATGTCAACACTTTCCATGTGTGGCAGGTCAACCCTCCTGCCGCAGATAACTTTGATATGGAGGAGTGCTTCCTACAGCTGGCTGGCAAGGTACCCCAATTCATAGCGACTCTTCAGCCTCCGTATACAGAGGAGGTTATTGAGTCATACTTCACCACACCGGTCAATGCGGGTTGATGGAGGTGGGGAGGGAACAATAAAGAAATTGGAACCGCAATGGATGTTTCTGCGCTGCCCTCTGCTGCCCAAAACTTGCACGTGCATGGAAAATACAAAATGAACAATCAGCCACCAATGACTGCGTGGGGGTTCACTTGAATCCATTACATACATTTTACAGATCAAACACACACTGATTCTTCCACGTGTGATTCAATGCGCACACCGTGAGTTAGAGCATTTGCTCAACTCCTACAAGCCACTCGACCAATGTCCTCCATTGATAGCGCAAGAACATAAATTGTACATCAATTTGTTGGGAGGTGAACCGTGCCACGTTCTATTACTGAACTCCGATATGAAACCCTGCAGCCTGAGGTTGATTTCCAGCCGCTCTCAACATCAGCGGTAGGGACAAATGAGCTGGTCCCGCAACCCCCTTCACTGCCCCCACGCGAACCAGCATGGTAACGTCGTGGGTCAAACAAACCTCATGGCCAACACGGCACGGGGAAGACTTCCTCCAGCAGCGGGTTGATGAAAAGCGAAAATACGGCAACACATTCCTACGGAGGGAGCTGGTAGGAACGTTGGGTTGCTCTGTCAATGGCCAGGGTCAACAGCGGCGTGGTGTATTTCGCAAATATGGCCGACTGATAGGGCGGGCACAAGCCGGCGTGAGTAGGTTAAACGTTGAGTTTTATAAGGGCACTACGGGGTGACCAGCCCCTCCACACCCAGCCCCACCCCTCCCCAACCCCCACCCAGCCCCACCCTCCCCACCCAGCCCCTTTCCACCCTCCCCTCCCCACCCTTCCCCTCCCCACCCTCCACACCCCTCCCATTTTTGGATGCACGACGGACGGACACAATAATCCCCTGTGGGCTGGTGTAAGCAGGAGGGTCCTACCAGTGTGATCCATTTATATATACCCCACTGAAACAATAGGGAGGAATGATCAAGCAGCCATGTGTTCTCTCGCCCACCGATCTCAATGTGCTCTTGTCAGCGGAGAAGAGAGAAAGAGTGTCGTTGGAAATCAGTGTGGCATCTTCTAAATGGATCACCCTGTATTCTTTTTTGCTTCGGTAATGTAATTGACAACTGCATTTCTTAATTTGTCCACAGGAACAACTCGTCAAGGCAGACAAACTTCAGGAGCTCCTCAATCTTGAAATTCAGAAATGTAAGTCTGTCCATCCCTGGGTGGGGAGGGAGAGGCAGGGGGCCAAATCGAGCTTTGTGAAGTTCAACTGCAACAGATGACAGACGGAGCCCCGGGAGGAATCACGGAAGCTGCCTGTGGAGTCGATAGATTCCTGAGCTGCTGGGCACGAATGGCAGCGATAGAAAGACATTTTTGAGATGCTCAGATTGAAGTCCATATAAAGGCGAGAATGATGCTGATGCTGTGTGTCGGTGCGTTCGCACACCTTGTATTATGTACCCATAGTGGCAGTGTCGCTGGAAGCAACACTGCTACGGACCCGAACACGCGAGTTCGATGCCCGCTCACGGCCATGGCCATTGATGAAAATGTCAGCTGGTCCTGGGCCTCTCCTAGGTGGACTCAGCCTCAAACAAGTACCTGGTGCGGTGTGTAAACATCAGCACTGGGGAGACAAAGGCGGCCAATCGTGGTTTTGATCACCTTTTGTGGTGCCCTGCCGGCCTTGATAGATGCTTGCGAAAAGCATTTACCCCAACAACAGTTTGTTAAGGCTGTAGGAGGAGTGCTTCATCCTCGTCTTTGTTATGTGTGGGCAGGCATCACAGACACGACGGCGGTGGTCAAGTTCTCCATGGAGAGCTGCCGCGTCTTGGTCTCGCTGTTCGACGTATCCTTTACCCTCGGGTTAGCCCTCGTTGACGCGGCCAGCAACAGTGAGAGAGACTTGCAATGTTTATGAATTCTCACCAGATGGCATAATAAAGGCAGACTCAAGGGGAGTCCATCCTATAGACGGACTGACGTGATAACCCACGTGACACCCTCGCCACTTGGGTGGTGACATGGCCCAGCGGTCGCGCATTCGCCGCTTGTTGCAAGAAGTTCACGGTTTAAATCCAGCGTCTGCACTGAATAATACGTTATGTGTAGCTGCTCAAAAGGTTTGGAACCAACTCGTCTCTTCTCTGGGGATCACCACTCTGCCATCTCTCTACTCTTTTAAATAGACATTGAGATCGAAACAATACAGATGCAAAAGTACGTAATTGTTTTGTAAGATGATATGGCTTTATTTACTTGATATTGTAAAAAAGAAAATCGTGTTTACTAACTCTTACTGCCGTGTCTGTCTGCTGGCCGAGCCGCACGTGAATAAGAGCTGTATCGCTCAATGGGTAATTTACTCGGATAATAAACTTCTGATTCCGATAACCATGATAATACTTCCACGCTGTATCCTTCACAGTGGACGTTGAGAATCCCCTGATGGCATTCGCAAGAGTAGGTCACTGTGTGCCAGAGTGACGGTCCAAATGTTTGCTACTCAATTGGGATTATACATAGCAATCATCGTTCGGGGATTACATAGCAATACTGGCAGGTTAATTCCCCCAGGTGAATCTTGCAAATGAGACGATGCTGGTCTCTTGGAGTTGTCACCTGGTTAAACAAAATCAACTTGAAACTCACCATGCACCACACACACTGAGCATACGCAGCTGTCAAATCAACTCTTTACATTGCATTAAGTCCAGCGTTTGACTGCAAACGTCAATCCGGCAAAGCGTGGATTACGTGACCGTCAGTGATATAGGACCGATCGACGAGGGTTGCGATTGGTCAGTGGTAACAGACGGACAGACACCGGGAAGTAGCATTTTAACGGGGCAGTGGAAGACCCAAATGTGTCAAACACTCCTGCAGCAGGTGGCACAGTCAGCAATGACACGCAAGGGACAGCATGGTGGCCGAGCGTCTAGGACGGCGTTCTTCATCATCGCAAGGCCCGGGGGCTACCGGTGGCGCCTGTTGGCCTTCAGTGCGTCCCCCGACAGTGCGGCCCCTGACAAGACACAAGAGCGACGACAACAGCCCGTGCAGGCGGTGTGGGGCCCTCTGAACATGAGTGAAGAACACTGGTGTAGAAGCTGCCATTTCATGGATAGGGTGTTTCTGGATAATTACAGATTGACTTCTCCTCTGTTTGATCCTTACAAGTAATACGGCCAGATTGACAACTCTGGACAGCTGGGATATGAAGAATTTATTCACGTCTGGGAATTCATCAAAATGAGTCTGGCAAGTAATACATATATAATGTACAAATTGTTTCACTCTTGCACAAGATAAAGTAATACACTGTTCGTGGCAGCCCATAAACAAATTGTAACTGCATTCACCCGTGTAAGGCATGGTAATAATGAAGTTCAACCAATCGAGATGAGTGCCCTACATTGCTCGTTTGAGGAGGGAGACACTTTCACTGAACTTGGACCACTGGATACACTTGTTTTATCCTAGAACATAGAAGGGGAGTAGAGTAACATGAGAGAGGAGAAATATGCATGGACATTGACGAGTGAGAGTATAACACGGTGATAGTCCACCTCTCTTATTCACACACAGGTCGAATACCGCTCTCTTCTTCTCGGCCTATGCCAGGCTGCCCCTTTCTCTGTAGAATCAGATTGTTACAGGGGTTCGTATTTTGATGCTCTGTCCATGATTTCGTAAAGCTCTCTGTATCTGTGTCTACAGAAGGCCTACAAGATGTGCGATGTTGACAAGTCGGGTACCCTCAGCAGTACGGAACTTCCCATGGCTTTGGAGCATGCAAGTGAGACATATGGCCCCATGCTGGACACTTACCACACTGCAAATGTCTGGGGCGCCACGGTGGAGAGATATAAACTACCTCGCCTGGTATTCAGGTCATTGGGTTGACCCCTACCCTGACGCCGGTATACTTGGAGTTTGCATGCCAATCTCCCCATGGTCACGTGGATTTTTTTCTCCACGTTTAAAAACACGTATTTTAGAGTATTTGGATGTTATCAATTTGCGCGTGATAAGCCACTTCGTTGAGCTATCACTTGTGGCCAGGTCACTTCTGAAAAAGAGCTACATAGCTAGTAAAATAATAATTATATAGTTTAGTTTTAATATGGGACCTTTCTTGCCAGTATCAAAATATAACAATAGGTGTTACCCTTTCTGGCAATGAAACAGGTTTCAAGATGTTAAACACAAAACAGAATCCTTTTTCAAGGAATCCTGGCTGCATTAACCACACCTACTTGTGACGAACATGCAAACAAGAAACATGCTCTGATAAGAAACACGCATTGTCTTTGAAACGGATTGGTCCACACCAGTCTGTTGTAGTGCCAGAAAGGATGCAACCTATTATTTTAGTTTGACTGTGCCGTCAATCCACCAAACCCCTCCACAAAGGACGGCTTCTCTAAGTCTCTCTTCGTTGGACAGGAAGGCATCATGACCAATTATATCGGTACGACTTGCACCTCACCACTGCTTCCTTCCTTCTGCGAGATCCCGTAGTTGTAAAGTCAACTCCCACCCTCATGATCTGCTCCTACGACATGCCACCATCTGCATTTGGGTCGTCACCTTCGCCGCCACTCTCCGAGGGCTAAACCTCCCAAAGCAGGACCCTCCTGAAAATGTCCTAAGCCTCGGCGAGGCTTTCCTGGATAAACAACAAACCTCATTAGTCATTTTATTTTCTCCTTCATTAGTCGTCACACAGTGGACGACGATGAAGCTGGATCAACGTCTTGCACTGCTTCCTTTTAATGGTCGTGGCGATCACTTCATGTAGGTCTATACAGTATCTTTCTGTCAAGTCCTCCTCCTCTATACCATCGATCCACCTCTTGCATGGACCTCAACATCTCGTTCATTCCACATGGCCACTGACTCTCATGTGTTTGTCTTCTGTTATTTACATATATCCCAACCAAAAAAGTTCGTCTTCTTGGTTCTTTCGGTAAAGTCACGTAAAAGGGAAATAATAAAATAATAAAAATAAAACATAATAAAATAATTCTCACGACGTTTCGTGACAATTATTTTATTATGTTTTATTTTTATTATTTTATTACTTCCCTTCTACGTGACTTTACCGAAAGAACGAAGAAGATGAATCCCTGCAGTCACGAAAGCTTTAAATCGAAAAAGAAGTTCGTCTTTTTTATAATTTGCACCAAAGTCTTCTTCCAATCTCGCTCTTTTCTTTAAGGATTAATTTCTTAGCTTTTGTAGTCTCAACACTCCCAGGATCCTTCTGAGCCAGGTTGCAGCTGCTACCACTAATCTCTCTTTCATCATGTCTCCTCAGGCTCCAACAATTCATATCTGTCAAGTGGAACTCGGATCACCAAACAAACCTGTGGTCTGATTTTGATCAGCCTTGAGCCTTCCTTGCTTGATATCAATATGACATGCACCGTCCTCGGTCATTGTGCTTCCTAGATACACAAAAGCATTAGTTGCCACAGTGTTCCTAAACGCAGGGCTTCATTTCTCACCGAATGTTTGCCGGGTCGCTGGTCGCGACTGTAGCACGGCACGCAACTTCTAGCCGCAGCCACAACCAGAGGTGTGATCGGCATTGCGTGCCGGGCTGCGGAAACGACTTCCCATTTGCTCATCTGGAGAGAACTGGATGAAATGCATCTCTGCGTAACAGCATCATCAGGCGTTGTGCACATCCCTCATTGGCTCTGCTACCTCCTGGCAGGATTCAAGGTGGGCAAGCTGATGCAACGACTGATCATGATGCGCTTCTCCGAGCCAAACCTCACCATAAGCTTCGACTGTTTCGTCTGCTGCCTTGCCAAGATGTACGCTGCCTTCAGTAAGTGTTTTGGGGATTTGGGGGGGCGGGTATGAGGGAGCTTACTGTGATATTATTAAATCCATACCGGGGATGCGGCTTCATGGTTCGCACACTGAACTTTCGATGCAGTGGTCGCCGACTCGATTTGATCGCCCAGCTCGACAGTTCAAACAACGGACGAGTTTCTTAACCCCCCCCCCCCCCCCCTTTTGAATACAGGCGATCAAATGCTCACTGCCTTAGGGAAGGTTCTGGCAAAAACATTGCCAAGCTGCAGCGGGTACAACATTCTTTGGCACGTGCAACATCTGACCATGCCCATCCAGTGCTCGCTCAGCCTCATTGGCTTCCGGTTGCCGAACGAATACATGACATGAGTTCGCACTCATTGCACACAACGTTCTTGCCACAAATGAAGCACAACACCTCGCTGATCTCGTCAAGGAGCATGAACCACCATCACGCGAACTGCGCTCATCCTCGCAGCGGCGGCGGCTTTTGGCTGCTGCCATCGAACAAAGACGGCGGTCACCGCGTCGCGCGCTTTCAGATGCGCTTCTGCGGCCGTCTGGAACGCTCTCCCTTCCGAGAGCTATGCACTTTAAGATCTCGATTGAAAACTAATTTCTTGAGAACTGCTTTTTGTGCTTAGTTTGTTGTCCTCCCCCCACACCTCCGATTAGAACGGCGGGCTACGTACGGTGCGAACGAAGTTCAACATACAAAAATACATGTTCTCTCGTCACAATTAAACGATGAATGATACCTTCATGGTCACTGTGGATGTGCATTTTAAACACTTAGAGCTGGGATGATAGAAAAAAACATCGAATTAAAAATGTTCGATGTTGTGTAAAGTCACGTATCTGGATTAACCTTGGCTGCTTGCCTTCATTGCTCTCATACTGATTGTTTTTTTTGTGATGCAGACATCTTTAACTCGCTTGATGCAGCTGGAACGGGAACCATAACCCTGAACCTCCATGAGGTGAGCTCCATCTATCATCGATGTTGTGCGTGACGATAGCAGTGCTCTCTTTACTTTCTGCTTGCAGCACGTGGGTTCCTTCACACTTTCCAATTTACGGTTTTCCAAAAGCAATAAAGCCTGCTTCTCAACCACCTGTTTAATATATTTTCTCCCAATTCACATTCCAGTTGTGTTGCTCCAACAATAATTATCTGTATTTGTAAAACGTGGACTTTACTTTGGTACCATTCATGTGTTTTTTTGTATTGAGCCCGACTAAATCGCCTGATTAATATGAAATTATTCATTAATTTGAATCGGTTGCTTCAAAAAATTGTCGTCAGCAAATCCGAGATGGTTAATGCTTTTTACGAAAGTGTTTATGCCTTTTTTTATCAATCCAATTTTCATTTTAAAAAATATTCAGTCCCTGGATATCCTTGTTGGTGGTGTCTTGCATGACTCTCAAAAATGTAATAACTTTCTTCATGCAATCTCAGTGAAGCTGTTCCATCTTTTTTTTCATGAATGCCTTGTTTTTGAGAGCGTGTATGATGGCATCAGTTTCCATTCAATTAAATGTTTTGTTTCACAGCCGAGTGAAATCAGTGATAATGTTAGATTCAATGTATTTCATCTAATATGATTGATGGTGTGTGGTCCATTGCTGCAAACTTTTATTCAGATTTTTCACAAAGTTGGTTAGCCTCTAACTGTGCCATTAATCAGCTCCCTCTGACCTTCACGAATATTTTCTATGCATGTAACATGAGACTAATGTCTGTAAGAATTCAAACATCCGTTTTTTGTCTCCCTTTTTCAATATAAAAATGTATCGTGCAAAATGCTTAGTAAAGAGGTTTGCAAATTGCATATCCCCATGATTTATATCATGTTGATCCTTCTATTCTGCTTTGTTTGTGTGTGTGCAGTGGATGAAGTTCATGATCTACAGCTAAATCGACAGGAGAAACAACATAACCATGCTTGCAGCTTTTGCTTATGTATCATGACGGGTGGCCTGCTTCATGAAAATCAAATGCTCGTGAATACGTTTATAGTTAATTGCAGGCACTGTACACTGTGGCTTCCACTCTAAACATATGAGCTGACTGTGAACCTCAGAAGCACTGCTGGACTTCTAAATTCAGCTGAACAATTATCAGGAACCACCTAAGGTCCTCGATTCCATTATCTGGGGTGCTTCCAAAACCACTTTATGTTTGACCGCCATTTTATAACTTTCAAGGTATATTGTACCTTGTTTTTGACTAACTTGTCTTCCCACAAATGTATGTGTTCAAGGCAGTGTGCACAATACAGCTTTGATGTGTACCCTTGAACTAGGAAGACCTCCACAGTATAAGTTTTCAGGAAAAAATTTCACTTTTTAATAAACCAAGACACTAACTTGATACGAACAAGATGCTGTGCATATGCAAATATTTCTGTTCATATTCATTCACAATACGCATGCCGAGTAAATAATAATTAACCATACTTGAAAACAAACATAGTAAACTTGGAAATGTGATGCAATACAACACAGAGTCGGCCAAAAAAACAGTCAACACCCCACCTGTTTTCAAGTTTACTATGTTTGTTTTCTCATTCATTCGTACCTGATGATGGTTGCTTATTTTGCAATCGAAACGTCGTATTCTATTATTATTTAATTGAATTTCTTTCTACGCGACTTTACCGAAAGAACCAAAGAGTACTTCCTGCAGTCACGAAAGCTTCGAATAATAATTGACCGGTTTACAAACTGCAATAAAATTTAACTTGATTACTCACCTTTTCAAATTTTGTATTTGCTAATACAGGGGACCCCTTCCCCGCTTTCAAGACCTTTCCTGTGGTTACGAAGACCCCCACAGTAACGCCCAAAGCTCGTATCGACGACCACCGAACGACTGCTTCCGACGCAGTGAATTGGCGACGAATCCGCGCATGCCATGCTCACACTCGTCGCCAGACTCCCCTGCTTTGCTCTTCCGCCGTATGTGATGTAGAAGAACCCGAGTCTTCATAGCTGTCAACCCATACGGGTTACCCGTGTTCTTGTGCAGGGAAATCGAGTTCAGGACCATACGGCGTACAGCCGTTTCAGTACGCGCAAAAACAAACTGTCTGTATTTCTCGCTTGTGATGCGACTTTGTAGGATGAACGTTGAGATGTATAAGGGCACGGGGTGACCAATGTCTGAATTGGTCTGCGCCGAGAGCGAACAGCAGCATCTCTCTCAACGCTCTTCGCTTTTGTCAATTTTCTGCAAAAATTCGCCTTTCGCGACGTCTGAGAATAGAAAATGTGATGCACATGCCTCAAAGTACTTAACGATGTTTAAATGTTTGTTTTTACTTCATGTTGGGAAATGTTATATTGAGCTACCATGTTTCTTCGGGTTATTTTCATTTATTTTCGTGGTCAATTTTGGTATTTTTATGGAATGTAATGGGTTTCCCGGAACGGAACCACAATGTATAACGCTGCTGCGCCTATGGGAAATGAGGGTTCCAATTACGACGGCTCCACTTGCGAGTGTCGTCCAGGAACCAATTAGGTCGTAAGTGCGTGGCTCACCTGCATACTCGCACCATATTTTTTATAATTTCACTAATTGTAACACTTCCAGAGGTCGTCTACTCACCATTGCATGTTCAAGGAAGAACCCGTCTCTTCATCAGACCTCCTCCTGGTCGTTTTCCTCATCAGCCGAAGTCACACCACTGCCAGATGAAGGCCTCCCAACCCGTTTCCATCTCTCACGATTCCGCGATGCAATAATCCACCTAACACTTCCAAACGAGCTTTCCTCGCTCCATCTCTTCAATGAATGTCCTCTCAGAAGCCTCCCGTTCATTGGATGTCACTCCCCTTCACTATTCTTGACCATCTTCCATCATCCGTTTTTTGTTCATTAAAATCCACACACCTTTCATGAAATAAAGGATCTTCAAACGACTTGCTTATGGACATGCAATTTGCATGCACGTCTTACTCTTTGGTTCTTTCGGTAAAGTCACGTAGAAAATATAATCAAATAATAGAATACGTTTCGATTGCAACACAAGAAACCATCATCAGGTATGAATGAATGAGAAAAACACAAACTTAAAAAATTAACCCGTAAAAACAAAGTTTTTCACTATAAATCCTTTATATGCGTGGCGGCTAGTCATCTCGTCCTCTGGCTTGAGATGGCTGCCACCTATGGGTCAGATGATTGCCTGCCACCATTAAGCAATTGGTAATTAAATATAAAAAAAAATTCCCTACAAAGTGTAAAATTTTGAAAAAAAAAATTTCACGAAAATTAATTGTCACGCACAACGAGTCTGTGTGGAAAATGTCAGCTCGATTGGATCACGGGAAGTGGGTTAAAAAACGACCGAAAGATTTGCACAGGTCGTAAGCGCGCAAGCAAGTGAACTTAATATAAAGGATTTAAAAATACAACACAGAGAGCCGGACAACACAACAGCCAACACCCCACCGGGCTGACCCCGCTCTTCCAATGACAGAAAGACAGAAAGACAGCGCCTCTGTGTCGAGGCTTTAAATAGAGGGGGGGGGGGGGCAGCAGACAATGAGAGTTGTGTGGAATTCCGGACCATAGCGGCCGGAGGCAGACCACGCTCCTCCAAAGAAATTGTGGAATTCTGGACCATAGTGGCCGGAGGAGAGACATGCATGTCTTGTTTGGAATACCCAATATCGAACACATTAACACAATAATCAAGTTGGACTTTCTCTTCAAACTGCATTTAGCTCATTGTGACTTCTCTGTAAAATGCATTTCAGGAAAAATTAACACTTGTGCTCGTATGCACTAACCCAGATATGCTTAGAATATGCATATCAATGTATATACCCTGCAAACACTAATAGAATTTACCCCAGCCAACATGTGATGTTACCATCAGCCAATATGAGGTAACTTGCTGGGGTCAGAATTTATTTGACATGAGAACACAATGCAGTCCATGAAAAGACAAAAAATGACCCGAAACATTTTCCTGCATAACCAATCCAGCCCTTTATTGACAGGTACTGCGACATGAAATACTGTAACTAAATATCAAATCACATTAAAAATCTGAGTACGACGTTTCTTTTGAATTTTGTGAAGCGGTAAAGAAATACCTTTATACATTTGGTTACTTTCCATACAGACCACAACATAATTAACCGCCTGTACAAACCAAAACAGACTTACATTCATTTTCCTGGGGGGAGTCAAAAGCAATAAAACTACCATCTTTCAAAAACAAAATCCTTTACCATTTTCTTAAAATAACTTGTGTGCGAAACTTTTGCTCACAACGTGGCCCTAATCGTACAGTATCGGGTGCATTTTGCACCTTTGCATGACAAAAAGACGAAAAAAATGAAATCAAGACATGAAACAAGTTTGCGACATGGGTGTAAGTCGTTTGCGGCTTGTCGGACTAAGGGCTGGACTGTGGGTGCGCGGTGGGCGGTGCAAGTTGACGGCTGTGCGGGTGAGGGCGGTGGGAGGAGGGGCGTGCGTGCAGGAGGGTGCGCGGACTCGGTGGGGTTTCTATCTCTAGTCCCCGCGTGCGTTTGCCCCGCCACGGGCGCTTCATGCCACCTGCTGGGCTGACGAGAAGCAGAGCTTCAGCGTGTAAGCGAAGAACCCATCTGTAACGAAAACGTGCGCGCAAGCACGCAAACATTTGAACACCTGGGTATTTGACACGGTGTGCCACATGCCTATTGGGCTCAGTGCGCGTTGGAAGCAGGTGATGGTGGAGCAGACCTACGCATATAATCGTGCACTTGAGTTCACAGTAGAGTGTATAGGTTGCAGATGTAAAGTATTGAATTTTTATTTGTCCCATCATGTGGATTTTCTTTGCATAACCTGAGACACTCGTTAAGAAAATAGTTTGGCATTCCAATGCAGTACCCATCTGAGGCTTTCCCAAATAATGTATACAACGGTTGATGAAAGTTGCCAAAATTGTACGATGCAACAATGTATACAAACGGTAACGTTAATAATATTGCCCATTATAAATTAACAAGGAACTGTGGATATTAGCTATAAACACAATTTGTACAATCAGGGTAATCAAGATAAAAAAGCACGCAGAGGTGTCAGTACTTACTGGGATTCTTGAGCTGATGGTGGTTCACCACCGCCACGACCTCTGTAGCATCGTTTTTAATGTCCCACTCTGCCAGACCAGAGGATGTCCTTTCACCTGTCAATAATGTATTCGCAAAATCTGTGTGAAACGGACAATTGGGCTTTATTTACATTAGTCCACACTCAGACAGCACAACTTTAAAATCAAGAGTACAAAAAATGATTCATCCGTTATTATTTAAAATTAACAAGTCGTACATTTGACTGCATCAATTTTCGGTTGAGAATTAGCTAAAATGTTTACAGTAGTCTTAATTTGAGGTGTAAATCCAATGAAATCTAATCACACGCATCAAGTGCTTTTCCACTCATTCTGGATTTAACCCAGATGAAAGCAAGCCTTTGTGGAAACAGTAAAAAGCGTTAGGTGCTGAAATAAAGTTACAGTAAATTGGGCGTCTTGTCAAGCGTAACATTTTCATTCCATTTTAAATGCTTTGGCAGCAATGAATCGTAATGGATTTTTTACTGTCAAAGGCGATTCCCCATCTCTGTAATGCCGCATGCTCATTTGCACTTTTGAAAGCGTTCATAATCTTCCATCGTAGAAGACATTCCGCTCAATATTATAGTTTTGAGTATTGCACATATCTCAATGTGATTATTAGTCCGACGGTAATGGCACACATTTGTTTTTATCGGCAATACCAGGGTCTTTACAAAAACATCATTACCATCATGGTTACTCAAGTTAATTTAACTTCTGTTTTGCAAATGCTTTAAGAAAAACTCACTCTTGGATGAAAACAGCTTGAAGGCGTTTGGCTTCTTCACGCCAGTTTCTTCACAAATCTGAAATAAGAACCGATGCATGTTACCACTGCAGTTGAACCGCATTCGCAAGAAAAAACATGAATTAACCACAACCAGTTATGCAAAGATAGGCAGTGCCACGTTGAACAAACTTGGCTCATTGTTCATCGTAATGACGCGTGCCTGGATGAAAGCCTGCTCGGAAAACTCTGGCGGGGCGCTGTAGAAATGCAGGATGGCCGACGGCGGCAGAATGCGGTTCTTGGAAGCTTGCTCGTGAGTGGAAAAACGGTTGTGGCGGGAGCCCACAAAGTCACGGAAACTGTCCGAGCCATCCTCCAGCTCAAAGGCCTGGCCTGCCACGATCTCCTGCTGCTTCGACACCCTGCCGTCAAGACCAGAGAAGTAGACACGTTAGGAGTCTAATCGAACAAAATAACACCTAACAACTTCAACACAATTGCAATGAAGAGCTCAGAAACACATCAGTTATCTATTAGGAGAGGGCTACTTTTGCAGAGGAGCTCAATTTAACGCCAAATTTTCTGCAAAGGGAAAATCTTGGAGGGACTGGCAAGCCTTAGCAAACATTGGACATCAGCTTCCCACAAATATAACAATAAACGACACCTATTACACCAACAGGAACATGTATAGATAATAAAAGCAACAACTGTACGTACGAGAGGCTGAGCTTTTGGCCAAACAGCTGTGCCGTGTTGAGGTTTGCAACGGCACGATCCACTGAAGCTGCATCGGCCATTTGAATCATCCCGACGCCAGGCTTGCTCTTCAGAAACTTGATCTGCAGCAGTCACATGCATAACACGACAATTTGCAACCTTTTACACTGCAAGCCTGAGACAGGGATACTACACTATCCTGCAGTCAATTCCCTGGCACAGTTGTATTACATTTGAGGTTTTACTTTAATCCATACAGTTTAAAGATATCAATTCAGAATACCTTCACAGACCAAAAATAACTGCATGGGCTTAGTAAATGACTACTTTCTGGATAAAATATGAAATCATTAATGTAATTCTAGCAATATTATCAATGATCAAAATCATGATTATCATGATGGGACAAATGCTACCCATACTAATTCGAATAAATATAATCCGATGACTTTCTTGGCAAAAGATTATGAAATTATAATGCTGGCAGACAGAAATTATCTCAACAATTAGTATCATATCATGACAAATTCCACGCATGCTAGTGGAATCAATAGAATGCAGCCAAATTCAATAACGGTCACACGAAGCCAAACGACACCCAGCTGGTCACAAAGATACTAACGACTGCAAAGTTGTGCCTCTAACCTTCTCAACATTGCCATACAGACAGACGAGGTTGAAGAGGCGGCTGCAGTTCATCACGCTGGGATTCATGTTGTACACCATCATCACGCGGTTGGCAGCTGAGCCCCCCATGGGGCATGGGTTGTTGTGGGGGGCACAGGTGCCCGGTCCACTCATCGGTGTGGTCGGACGCGCATTGCCAAACTGCAGCACGTTTAAAACAAACAAGTAAAAATCGGTAAATGACAATAGCAATGCAACAATTTGGCCCATTGCTCAAGCCACAATTCCATGAATTTCCCACCTTTCAAGGTGAGATTCTATTTTAAATCAATCCTTTCATTTCCATCTTTAGTATTTGTTATCGTCCGTTTCATCTCACTGTTAGTTGTGTGGTCTATTATAAAGGTAAACTTGGCATATGTGCAAAACATCACTTCTTACATGAACATTTTTATTAATTCATGAGTGCACACATCAGTGCATCATTATAAACACTATCAGCCAACTAAACACTGCATACCATAATTTTTAAAAAGCTCATTATCCCCAGATAACAGAAAGGTAATGATCGTAATAATGCTATGCAGCCTAAGTATGCAATTTAATGTACAATGGCAGTGAAACATAAGCAGATTTTCACTCCTGCAGTTAAGGCATTTCACAACTAAATCATGCAGTCAGACCACAACACGTACTTAACATCTACTGCCTCGAAAAACATTTGAGTGAAATTTAACTGGACGTCCAATGCAAGCCATTACTCTGAAAGGTAACCCCAAAATGGCTGTTGACAGCCCTGCTCTAAAACCTGCTAGATACAGCATGCATACCCCCAAACGTGCCTCCGCAGTGTGGTTGTAAGGGCTTCCAGGAGAGCCAGAAGTGTAGTTATTGAACGAGTAGTTCTGGGCGCAGTAACTTCCTTGCTGGTTTCCTGCAGAATAAACACACACATCAAGAATTGTCTACTGAGCTGCCATTTTCATTCATGACTGGGTGCTTCTAATCTTAAAACGAGGTTATAAATTGCCCAGTGGCTCCACACACAGCATTTACCATATCCTCGCATAGTGGACGGATGGTCACCGAGCAGTGCTGGCTGCTTCTTCTGTTGTCCATCTTCAAGAGAAACAACAAGAGTTTGCAGCCGTCAACAGTGTAGAGGTTACAGAACCACTTCCTGTTTCCACAGTGTGGTTTCAATTTTAAACTTTAAGTGATGCTTCATTCTGGGTATGTACTGTATGAAACTATGAACCCCCAACTAAGTTTAATAGTGTAACAGCAGCCATTTGCAGTGACAAGCAGCTCATGTGGTCAAACACGGGTATTCATTCACGAGGAATTTTAAATATGCACATGAACGGTTGCACGAAAGGTGTCACTTTTAGCACTTTAAGTCACAGCATCTAACATTAAAAACCTAACCACAAAAGCATTTGTGGATCCTATGCCAATTCAGAAAGAAGTTCAACATATATCGATACGAATGATTACAATTTGCTACTTACTCGGCACACAAGGACCTTCCAAAGTGTAGTCCCAGGTCTCGCTATCGTTCCTGTACACATTTAGACGTGCAGGCTTCCGTTCCAACAGTAGGGTGAGAAACAGCACACACAACCAAGGCATTATTAGTAGCAGCAAATATAAGCTGGAAGTTTTTAAATCAATAAAATGAAGAAAAATAGCTGCATTCTAACCACTTTAATGTAATCAACTAAATGCAAAACTATACAACCCCTGTAGTTATAAACGATAACACTAAAAGAATGCAGCATTACCTTGGCATATTCTATCTTCAATGTGCAGCATCCAGAGTAAATATCAGCTCCATTGAGTGAGCTCTTGGCTTGCTGAGCACTTGGGATGGAATCAAACGTGCGCTGATTAAGGAGAAATCACTTAAAAGGTAATCAGTACAACACCAAAGGAAAAACATAGTAATAGAATACATTGTAAAAAAGCTACAGCCTTTTGTAATTCCACTGCTAGATGATGGTCTCCCCATGCCATATTGCTCATGGGGATTGCTTACAAACAGGACTGTTTAGCTCCAATTTGCAAATGAGGCATCCAGGACGGGTAAAGACACCACTCACCAATGACATTAACTAGTGGCCAGGAATCAAACTCGAATTTGCAGGTCAAATGTGTAGCACTTTAGACAACGCAACAATATACCAAAACATAGGAAAATTATTTACTATAATTTACACAGGACATTGCAGTCTTTAGAAAGTGTTCTAATAATGTCCTGTAGTTTGTCCAATCGTTGTCAATTAATTTAAATTTTTTACCTACGTGACTTTACCGGAAAAAAAGCTAAGAATATAATCATTGTCACATTGACAAGTCCGTCTGAAAATGTGATTGTTAATACAATCGTTTGTTTTTGTTGACCTTTATTTCAGGGAGTGGTCGTGGCCCTTTAACCTAGTCTGTTGATTATTGGTTTTTAATTATTCAAAATTGTTCATATTTAGACGGTTGTTTTAAATAGGAGGTGCAATAAAGAACTATTTGTATGACTGAGAGCCACTGTCCATGGAGAACGGCGAATGATGATAAAGGATGTTGGTGTAATGTTTCAGTGCATCTTTACTTTTGAATTTTCAGTCATATGCACACATCAGTTAACAGGAACTGCAAGCTCAATCCACATTTTTCACTCACTGAAATGCCATTATGCCTACTTCACCATATTGACAAAACCAAGAGATGTCCATCCTCAATAATGCTTCCTCAAGAGCTCAGCACAGCTACCAAATTCGAGTTTTTGTACATTTATAATGAACTCTCTCCGCACGAGCATCCTTAAGAGATTGCATTTTTTGTGTTAGGGTTAAAGGATTAATAACAGGACTGGAGGACAAGTGCTAAATCATTACCAAATTTCCACACTACTCAATCACATGTTGACTGAAACATGTTAAATTGGTCAAAGAAAAAGCATTGGCTCTGTTCAAGTAAATTACAGGAGGCAAAGTATTTCCATAGCGTACACAATGTGTTGTAGATTAAAGTTCACATCTTAACTTTTAAATTTTACGACATGATAAAACACATAGCACAATATGCCAAAGGATATTCCACCAAAGCCTGCACTCCATTCTTCTTGAAGATAACGATCCTCTGCACCACACCATATGGGCTGCAAATCGTGTGAATCACCTCCTGCACAAACAGAAGAAGAGGCAACTCAGCCAACTTGACCTTGAACAATTGATGCTCCCCAAGGAGAAACTGTATTGTTGCTAGTCAACCTGGATTATTAAACGACAGTTGTGGTCACCAGAGATGGTTCATAGCTCCCCATGTAGTGCCTTAATTATACAACAGCACTCAATAGCTAAATATCAATATAGAATTAAACATCTTACCTGGCATTTAAGACATTTTACCTTGCATACATTCTCATGCAATGGGAACACAAACACTTATTTGTTAAATATTTGGGAAAGAGAAAAAACCCCTAATAGTGATCTTGTAGTTACTTACCGAAGCTGTGTCCCAGGTTATACAACAGGGATTTCAAGATTTGTAAATGTGCAAATAAGACTATGGCACTCATCACGGGCACTATATACATTGCAATAAAATCAATGCGATAACATCACTGCAGCCCTATGGCAAAACACCTTCACCATTTAAGTATTTGTTTCTCCTAAACTAATCTTTAAACTCACATCACCACCTAGATACATAAAAACAACAAGGGGGCGAATACATAGTTTTTTTTAATTAGGTCTTTATTTTAAAGACAAAATGGAGTCCACAATCAGACAGGGCAACTCACGGTAGTGATGGGATACAGAGCATTGTTGACTGTGAGCAGCAGGATGTGGTTGGTCCTGGCCACATCGTCGGCCGGGGTGCCACCCTTGCGCGAGATCCGCTGGCTGGTGGAGAAGTTACAGTATGCGGGCTGCCCACCCACATACACGGGGTCACCAGCCGTCCCCGCCACGCAGGCACGAGCATCCTCAAGCCGCTCAAACTCCACCAGCGCCTGCCGCCGGTGTGGCATCATCACCACGTGTCTGGGGAACACAACACGCAGCCGTGATTAATAGGGAACCACTGGGTGAGGGAGATTGAGTGGCTCAGGTGGCTGAGTGTTTCACAGCACCAAGCCGACATCCGTTGGGATCCCAGGTTTTAACCTGCACAGCCACCTGTGGTTAAACCAGGTTCTCTTATGAGGCGAGTTGCTGGTCTCACTCTGTTGACTCAAAACTACGCCACAAAAAACAATCATATAGACTTTTGTTTATGTTTTTTATAATCAGAAGAAAAAATTATGTATGATTGTTTTTATTATAATTTGTCATATTCCAGAAGGGAGGTATACAATTTTTGGTTTGACATGTCATGAACACTATTCAAATAAGTGTGGCCTGAGCATGGATAAAGATGCAAATTCAAGGGACTTCATAAGTAGATCTGTACATTCATCTTCTGGGGCCGTTCCCCGATAAAAAAAAAATTACATATAACAAGAGTTCCGAAAGGAAACTTCTTCACCTGAAGTCATGATGCTGACAGCATTGGAATTTATTGTGAGGGGAAAATAAAAAAGATAACTAACCAGTAGTGTTCTCATCATAATATTAAGCTACATCATGACATAAACATCAAAGCTCACTAAATATTACCATTGATAAAGCAACACCTGTAACTCAACTTAAGAATCCAAATTATATAATATAACTGTAGTTTATTAAAAGCATTTCTGGTAACATTTTTGAGATGCTGAAATTATTCAAAAGTAATCCTGCTCAGATATCCAATTTAAAGCAAATTTCACTGAGGCTACGCAATGAATAACCAAATTTGTGTATTATAGCCAAGCCTGATAAGAAGTGTCACATATGAAACAATCCAAATAATAACGTTAAAGTGATCACCATGTACTGTTTTACTTACGGCTCGCAAGACAAATGGCTTATTTGATAACATTTGCGTTTTTAGGTTGATACATTCACTGAAGCACTGCATATTTAAAATTCCACCATCATAAATATATTTATCCTTTTCTTTAAAAAATTTATATTCTTAGTTTTATGCATAATCTGAACTGACGTGAATACAGTAACACAACAGCTGGCAACAAGACAGACAGTACCACAGAACTAAAAGTGGTGCCTGTGCCTTATGAAAGTGTAACCAAAATAATACTCTTGTCAACTCTTTCCAGTGCCATTCAATCAAAATATGTGTCCCCTGTTGCAGTGGAAATATATTGGGCTTATGATTTCATACCTGACCGTTCCAAATTCCTGCAGGGCTTCCATGACCTGCGATTCATCGGCAGAGCTAGCCAGTCCCCGGATGTGAACAACCGGGGATGGAGCCGGCTTCTTTGGGTCCTCAACATTATTCTGCCAGGAACACATGCATGGGAGTAGAACACACACAGGTAAATGTAATGTAACATCATTAACATCACACCAACCTCTTCCTGTCATAACCAACATTGCACAAGCCAGAAATAAAATTATGATATTACATCAATGACAATAAGCACATTTAATAATATAACATTAATTCTTGCTACCACTAACACTTAAGTTCAAATATTTTAAATGGTATGATTACTCTTCAATAAAAATTCCACCAACAGTGGTGAAAAGCCTTCACCAGCCTACCTAATGGTTATATAGTTTGTGTCACTACGCAACAACCCATGACTCACCACTCGATCACTTAACAACCGATGCACCACCGCCACTTGATGGAACACTTCTGCACACCACAACCATCATATGCTCCCAACATCCCACATGTTCAACATCCCCACACTCCAACAACCCAAAAGAAATCTAACACCCTCGACAACCAATATCTCACACCCCAACCACGCACCACCCCACAATGTTAACCACCATCACCACAATCATCCCCTAGATCTTGTTTTTTTGTGGCAGGCCACATAATAAAATATGCATGTGGTGTCAGGTCAAGATATGTTATTTGCCATGTGTACAGATGCTATGAGGTCACATGAAATAATGTCATGTCTGCAGAAGTGACAAATGTGTACTTTTGCCTTCAGGTGTCTTATATCATGTTTATTTCTTTTATCTCACAAATATGTACATCTCGGCGAGGGCGGGCTCCAAGTGTCTCCGCAAGCCACATTTGGCTTACGGGCCATTAGTTAAATAATCCTGCACGAGACCATAACCCAGCTATCCAACACCCCATCACACCACCCTCATCTCAGGATCCTCATGGCTTTAAGCCCCATGATCTCACCACCACATGCGCCCACAATCAACACCCCCGAGCTCTCACCATCCAAAAGGCCCAACCACCTCACCACCCCATGCCCTCATTACCCATGGAATCATCATCCATAACGCCACTACCCATGACCTCAACAAAGCTGCCCTCAAGACCTCTGACCTCACCTTTTAAGATATAATCACAGACATATTCATCAACACGGCTTCACCACCACTTACAGCACCAGCCCATGACCTTGCCTCCTCTGACGTCAACTCCCTCAAGCTCACTACCATTGACTAAAGCACCACTCAGATCACTCACTACCAATAACCGTTTCAGACCTCACCGTCCCCGATTCTTACCACCAGTGACTAACCTCGCCCTCACTTCAAATAACTCCATCACTCCTGAGCCTCACCACCACTGACCTCACAAACCATCGCCATCCCTGACCCCATCTCTACAGACCTCAGCACTCATGAGCCAACACCAATTCCTCTCCGGATCCCACAAACCCTGACCCCATCCCTGACCTCACCACCCATTATCATCCATTCACCCTGCCACCTCGCACGAACTCACTACCAACAAATAATCTTATCACCTATAAACCCCCTCCATCTATTAATGCCTCACCATTCCTCACCCCATCAACCCACACCTCACTAACCGTACCTCGAAAATCACAGATTGTAATCTGTGATTTATTCAATCCCACGCCTCACCAACCCATGTTATACCACACCTTACCAAACTCACACCTCCCCGCCGCTAGCTTCAACAACCGATGTATCACCACCAAACAACATCACCAACACATGCCTCAACACACCACACGCATTATCGCCCACACCAACCCATGGCTCACACCACACCAACCCACGGCTCACCACCCCCCACCTCACCAACCAATTGCCTCACCATTTTACGTCTTCAACCCATGCCCCCATCAACCCATGCCCTCACCAAACCCATGCCCTCACCAACCAATTGCCTCACCATTTTACGTCTTCAACCCATGCCCCCGTAACCCCTGCCCTCGACCAACCCATGCCATCCCAACCCAAGCCCTCACCAACCCATGCCCTCCAAACCACCATCCCTCACCAACCCTGCCCTCAACCCATGCCCTCACCAACCTATGCCCTCACACAACCCATGGCCCGCACAAACCCAGCCTCACCAAAAACATGCCCTCAACAACCAAGCCCTCACAACCCTGCCCTCACCAACCCTGCCCTCCCAAACCCTGCCCCATCAACCCATCCCTTCACCAACCCATGCCACTCACCAACCCATGCCCGTCACCAACCATGCACTCTATCAACCATGCCCTCAAACCCATGCCCTCAACAAACCCATGCCCTCACCAAACCCATGCCCTCACCAAACCCATGCCCTCACCAACCCATGCCCTCAACAAACCCAAGCCCTCACCAAACCCATGCCCTCAACAAACCCATGCCCTCAACAAACCCAAGCCCTCACCAAACCCATGCCCTCACCAACCCATGCCCTCAACAAACCCAAGCCCTCACCAAACCCATGCCCTCACCAAACCCAAGCCCTCACCAAACCCATGCCCTCACCAACCCATGCCCTCACCAAACCCATGCCCCCATCAACCCAAGCCCTCACCAAACCCATGCCCTCACCAACCCATGCCCTCACCAAACCCATGCCCTCATCAACCCATGCCCTCACCAAACCCATGCCCTCACCAAACCCATGCCCTCAACAAACCCAAGCCCTCACCAAACCCATGCCCTCAACAAACCCATGCCCTCACCAAACCCATGCCCTCACCAAACCCATGCCCTCACCAACCCATGCCCTCAACAAACCCAAGCCCTCACCAAACCCATGCCCTCACAAACCCAAGCCCACAAACCCATGCCCTACACCAACCCTGCCCCCACCAAACCCATGCCCCCATCAACCCAAGCCCTCACCAAACCCATGCCCTCACCAACCCATGCCCTCACCAAACCCATGCCCTCATCAACCCATGCCCTCACCAAACCCATGCCCTCACCAAACCCATGCCCTCACCAAACCCATGCCCTCAACAAACCCAAGCCCTCACCAAACCCATGCCCTCAACAAACCCATGCCCTCACCAAACCCATGCCCCTCACCAAACCCATGCCCTCACCAACCCATGCCCTCAACAACCCAAGCCCTCACCAAACCCATGCCCTCAACAAACCCATGCCCTCAACAAACCCAAGCCCTCACCAAACCCATGCCCTCACCAACCCATGCCCTCAACAAACCCAAGCCCTCACCAAACCCATGCCCTCACCAAACCCAAGCCCTCACCAAACCCATGCCCTCACCAACCCATGCCCTCACCAAACCCATGCCCTCACCAAACCCATGCCCTCACCAAACCCATGCCCTCACCAAACCCAAGCCCTCACCAAACCCATGCCCTCACCAACCCATGCCCTCAACAAACCCAAGCCCTCACCAAACCCATGCCCTCACCAAACCCATGCCCTCACCACATCTGACCTCCACCCCAAAGTCTCACCCCCCCCCCCCTCCCATGGCCGCCGTTAGCCATGCACGCACTCCAGTGCACCCGACACGCGGTGTCGCGCGAACCCGACGCGAACTCGATCATAACCCAACGCTCGTCCCGATCAATTCGCCGTGCTTTGCACGCCTCGAAACAATTGCAAATACGCCCGCGACTAATGGCAACGTGTAAACAAAAAGTAGATACGAATAGTCCCGTTACGATCAGCAAACAAGGCTGCGCGGAGGCCTAGTCCAGGCTTTAGGCCGCGGCTTTCAGCTGCAGCCAAGAGGCTCACAAAGAAAGCGCGGAGCGACGCGGGCGGCCTCCTCCCTCAAGGCCGCCCGCACGCCCTCGTTGTTTAATTTCCGTTTTAATATCGCGGTGGCTTCTTTTTCTTATTTTTTTAATCATCGCCCGTGTTGTTTTCTAACAAAGCGGATTCTTATATTTTTATAAAAAAAATACATACGCCCGCCGCAGTGCGATAATTGTCGCTCACGTTATGCTCCACGTCGTCCATTCCGTTGCTTGTCGGCGGAATCGGCAACGGGGCCCACGGGGGAGGAGGAGGAAGATGAAGGAGGAGGAGGAGGGGCGCGTTGTTTTTTCGCGGGTAATGGGAATGGCGGATTGGGAAGGTGGCCCGCTTCCCCTTCTGGAAGATGAAGAGGCCCGAGATGGGGGGGGGGGGAATGTGTGGGGCGGGGCAAAGAGGTGGGGGGGGGCATGGGGGGAGGGGTAAAGTGGGGGAGGGTTAAAGTGGGGGAGGGGGAGGGGTAAAGTGGGGAGGGGGAGGGGTAAAGTGGGGGAGGGGTAAAGTGGGGGGAGGGGTGAAGTGGGGGAGGGGGAGGGGTAAAGTGGGGGAGGGGTAAAGTGGGGGAGGGGCGGGGCAAGGTGGGGGGAGGGGCGGGGCAAGGTGGGGGGAGGGGCGGGGCAAGGTGGGGGAGGGGGCGGGGTAAGGTGGGGGGAGGGGCGGGGTAAGGTGGGGGAGGGGGGCGGGGTAAGGTGGGGGGAGGGGCGGGGTAAGGTGGGGGGAGGGGGGAGGGGTAAAGTGGGGGAGGGGGGCGGGGTAAAGTGGGGGAGGGGCGGGGCAAGGTGGGGGAGGGGGAATTAAACTCCTGATTCAGGCTGGTGGAGCAATCCAATGAGCTGGAAAGTATTTTGTTTACGGATGTCCAGTTGGGGCCGGGTCAGCGAATATGTCGATAGGACTGCAAAATATGAAGCAATGGAAGCAAGTAGCTAAGAGTAAATAAATCAGAATCTTTATCTATCATATACAACTCTATATTACAGATGTCGAGTAGGGGCGGGTCAGAAAGTGACAACAACAAACAATACACCAACACGATAGGAATTCAACGTAGGCTACGCAAGTCACTAAACGTTAATAAACGCATGCAAATTACATAAGTGCATACATTCCTGCCGATTTATCAACACCAAATGCAAGCTCGGGCAAGGCAGCAAAACAACAACAGAGTCCCTGAATGAAATAGCACATTAACATTGCACTGTCTATACACGGAGTAAGGCTCAAAGTAACAACACACATTAGCAAATGGTGGTGGTGGGGATCCTTTTCTCTTCCGAGAATGAGGTCGCCTCTGCGAAAGAAACATGCGTTTAGAGTCTTGTACGGTGTTTGGTTGCTATACATTTTAACTTGATAAGCCACTTCATTTGGCGATAATTTGCGGCCAGGTGGCTTCTGAAAAAGAGCTACAGAGCTCAGGGGATCTTCCCTGGTAAAATAAAAAAAAGTTTTTAGTTTAGTTAAATGTCAATTTTCTGGTGATGCCGATGACATAAAGAAGCACTTGTCCATTGCTTCTTTATGCACTTTTCAGCTATTGTTCCATTATCTTTGTCAATGTCATGTTACTAATCTGTTTGCCATATCATGGCAATTTAACCAAACATCTTGCCATACTCAAAGCTGGTGGTAAGTCGAATTAATGAATTTTTATCTTGTGACGAACACATCTGCAGGAGGGTATGTGGGTGGATACATAGCCCAGTGTGGATGAATTGAAGGCATCTCTCAGAAATGACGCTTCTTCCGTATGGCTGACGAAGATGGAGACTAACAACTACAATTTCATATTCAAGTGGTCAAGCCAAATAACCGCATCTGAAGTAGTGGAGTATATCGCTGTGATGTTTCCTCGTATTTGTGGATCAGGCATTGCGTCGTTATGTGTTGTACGGTCTGTTCTGGATGACAACAGTCGCACACTGGAGAGTTTTTAAGTTTCCATTTGTGCATCAGGTATCCGCATCTGCCATGGTTTGTGCGGTTGCGGTGTAGGGTGGAACGTGAGCTTCGTGGAAGATCAGACCCAGGGGTCTTCTGCATTGTGTCTTTCACAAGCTGTTTATTTGTCTTTAAAACTCCATTCAGCTCATTTTGTGACGACGCTGAGATCAGCTCACCCCACTTGCAAACCCATGGTTAATTATTTGGGCCCCTGAAACCTGGATCCGAACCCAGGGGTCCCAAAAGTGTTGCCTCGGTGCCCTGACGTGGCATTAACCTCTGCGAGCCAGCTGCCCAAATCGCATCAACGCACCCGAGGCCACGTGTGCACGCCGTTCAGCTCTTACTTCATTCTGCCCAGACACGCTGCAAGAATGCTTCAGACAGCTCAGCACAGCAACATCAATATCTGTGCACTGAACTCATCTAATTTTTTTGGGTAAGACATCACCAGTACATACTTCCACGCGGGATCTACCGCCGCCAGCCACTTGCCTCAAACACTCTGGTTGTTGCTAAATCCAATTGCCCCATAAAACATTAAAGATCTGTTACACATAAGCAGCATTGTGGGGGGAATTTGACCTCGAGCAGCAGACAGTCGAGACCGGCGATCGAGCGAGCGAGCGATTATTCACTCTGTGCCTGCAGCGTCCTCAATCCTGGGCCCCAATGTTGGCCGACCTTCTGAGTTGGTAAGAAAATAATAAAACATACTTTTATAGCAATTGGTACTTGTGCACATATTGAAATGAACGTGGTGATTTTGTTGACATGTTTTTGTTTTGATCAGTGATGACAATCGAGCTGTCTCTATATACGAGGCTGTACTCCCTTTAATGAACGTGCTCCATAACGACTCCGTGCTTAGTCCAACTTGTGTCGAATACTCTTTTCACAGGAAGGCTGACAGTGGTGAAAGGTGCTGTTTAGTTGTTATACTAAATATTATACACAGTAATTCCACTCTATAGGTGGTCTGCATTACCACAGACACATTGAGACGTGGAGTAGAAGTCTAAAATACATTGCAAACTATTATTTGATAGGCATACAGACCGTTGGGCCAAGTGCTGTCAGCAAGCGCCTATTAAGGACATCTCACACGCACAATGGGGAAAGTCTTCTCCAAGGCATTCGGGAACAAGGAGATCCGAATCCTCATGCTTGGGCTGGACAACGCGGGCAAGACCACGATCCTGTACAAGCTCAAGAGCGGCAAGGGGGTGGCCACCAAGAGCACGGTGCCCACCGTGGGCTTCAACGTGGAGACCGTGACCTACAAGAGCGCCTCCTTCAGCGTGTGGGACGTGGGCGGGCAGCACAAGATCCGCTCGCTCTGGCGCCACTACTACACGGGCACCCAGGCGATTGTGTTCGTCGTGGACTGCGGGGACCGCGATCGGGTGGACGAGGCACGGGAAGAGCTGTCGGGCCTCCTGTCCGACTCCGAGATGCGTGGCGTTTCGCTGCTCGTGCTGGCGAACAAGCAGGACGCGCCGGAGGCCATGCGGCCAGCCGAGCTGCAGGAGGCGCTTGGCTTGCCCCGTCCTGGAGAAGGAGATTCGAGGCGATGGCTGGTGCAGCCGTCGTGCGCCATCATGGGCCACGGCCTCTACGAAGGCCTCGTGTGGCTGGCGGACAACTACCAGCCCCGGCCCAGCAACGTCTACGGATGATGATGGCACGGGGGTGACCGAGCGAAGACGAACTGCCGCGGGACGATCGCTGGTGCTGGATGTTGATGGACGTGGCACCGACAGAGGTGCATGAGTTACGCATGGAATGGTTTATGTGGAGGTGGCCGGATAGCCCAAGAGTTCAGTGCATTGTGCTGGCCCCGTCGAGGTCATTGGTTCAAATCTGGGTATCGTCTGCTCGTGAGTAAATCGGCATCTCTAGTTTATTAAGTTCTGGTCACCAATGGCTGCACACAAAAATAGATTTAGGATTTCGTTCAGTTTTGCAAAAAAACAGTGTTTCAGGTTCCTAACAAATGTTGGTATAAATGTTAAGTGACCGACGTTTCTCAAGCAAAGCATGCGAGAGGCACCACCACCTCCCAGTGTAGATAAGAGGCACGTGGAGGGATCTCAGAAGTAGTTCTGTGATGTCACCTTCCACGGGCCGTTCTCTAACACTGGGGGATGCACTGCGAAATTGAGATGTATTTGTCTCCAACCTAATGTCTACAGCACAATTTGTATAATATTGGGAGATTTAAAAAAATTCACATATTAAAAAAATAATAAGTGAATATTACATTCAGTTAGTGCTGAAAAATATCACGAAATAAGGAACATTAATATTGTTATTTTTCTTATTCGTGTCTCCTGTCCAACATATATAGTCTTTTGCAAATATTCTGCACAGGTCACCGCTTTTGGTGTTGGCATTGTCAAATCTTGAGGAGTAGCATTGTGGTGCTGCAGGACATCGCAGGAGATAATCCATAGTTTGCTTCTCCTGACAAGCACAGTGTTCGGTTGCGCAGAAGCCATATAATTAAAAAAAAAACAGGACGCGGATATGCAGTATTAAAACAAACGGAATGCTGTATGTATAAATGTGGTTCCTGATAAAGAATAAATCAGTACATTATACAACTTATGTACCAGCTCAGACCTTCTGTCCTAACAATTGTAGAATATTCGTACGCATTACAGGAATACATCGTAAGCCTAACACGATTTTCATGAATTTTTACATTAAATGTAGAGTATTTAAAAAAGTATGAACTGCGAACTGTTGTATATTGTCTTAAACGAACAGCTGGTATACATAAGGTACTTTATAATATATGAATGCTATATAGACGTACACCAATCAATGTATTATCGTCTCATTGATCAATATCGAGTCACACGAACTATACATGAATGAAATTGCGTGTTTCAAATTCGATTGTTTGCGAACATTACTGTATATTTCTGGATTTGAAGCTTTCGTGACTGCAAGGATTCATACTCTTTGTTTTTTTTGGTAAATTCACGTAGGTAAAAATTTAAATAAATGAAAACAACTAAATTAAATCACGACGTTTCGGGCGCAACCACCTGATGACGGACGCTTGTGTTGCGCCCGAAACGTCGTGATTTAATTGAGTTGTTTTCATTTATTTTAGTTGATTTTTTACCTACGTGACTTTACCGAAAAAACCAAAGAGAGTATTACTCTATATCTTACGTCAGCCTGGAGAGTGCTTGGATGGGCAACAACCGTGATTTATAACAAGGTTCACATACTGCTGTGGGGCTACGTTTCAGGCAGCAGCAGAACAATCATTGTACCGTACTTCTGTGCTCCCACTCCTATGTTCCCTGCCTTCACCAAACCCGTACTCACCGGTGTGGTGAAGTATAGTCAAATAACCCCCCCCCCCCCCCCACGATCGCAGTGCTTCGGGAGGTTATCATCCAGCAGTGGATTGACAAAGGGGCGCAACATGAACACGTAGAATTGGTGTTTCGCACAGCAATGTCTCGTGTGCAGGATAGACACAATATGGACCTCTGTCCATTATGCCTCTTTGCTCAATGCACCTGTGTCTGTGTGTGTCACGTGTCGGTGTGTGTGTGTCTGTGTGTCACGCTCACAACAACGAGCGGAGCGCCGGGTGGCTAAAGCACAGCAAGTTGGCACAGTAGGGGGCGCAGGTGGTGCATCAGCCAGTCATCTCGGTCATCTCAGTCAGTCGACCCGTGGCACCTGCTGGGTCTGCCCCGTGACCTCCTGCCAGCGGGTGTTCGACACTTCACGTGGCCTCAAGGTGCACATGGCCTGGCACAAGCGTCGTGGTGACGTCACCGCCACTTAGTGGCGAATGGCGGTTGTTGTTGTTGTGTGTCACGTATCGGTGTGTGTGTGTCTGTGTAACACGTATCGGTGTGTCTGTGTATGCGGGCGTAATTCTGAACTATGTCTCTCTCGTCGCGTGACTAACTTTATTGCTGGACGTTTTCAGCGACTATTGTTTACCCATTAACTGTCTTGACATTCCTGCATTCACACGTTTTAGCACGCTGAAGCTGCCATTTGATCTCCGTGAACGCGTCAATAAATGATGGGTGCCAGCAGTGTGGAGAGACCTCATGCATCTGAGCAAGGCGGTGCGCTGTTTTCACGACACAATCGCGAGCCCGGTGCGTATGGAGGAGGCAAGGGCCTGGGTGACGTGTCGCGGGTTACTCTGGACAGAGCCGCCCCTAGAGGACGGCGAATCAGTGCAGCCGCCCCGGGCCCTGCACTTTGGTGGGGGGGGGGGGGGTCCTGCAATTCGACGTCACGGTGTCAGATGGAACACTTGCGGTTTGGTTTGAAGGCGTCGGCTGACCCACACAGTGGGATTTGTACCCCTCGATGGACGGCCCTGATACTGAGCAACATGATATTGCTTAGAGACAACCCATGTGCCTAAGATATGGCTAACATACACCCGTAATTGTTTTAGATATGGCTAAGGGACACCCACGGCATGTTTAGCAGTGACGTGCGCTGAGGTCAATGGCTGGGGAGGCACTGGCTCGTGTCAGAGCCAGATTCACACACTGAGGGGGCGTCGCCTCACTGAGGGGGCGTGGCCTCACTGAGGGGGCGTGTCCTCACTGAGGGGGCGTGTTAGACACGTCCCCCTCAGTGAGGCAGATGTGATAGCTGCCTCCCCTGGTGCTTTTTCATTGCAGTTTCATGACGAGACCAGCGAGCCTAAATATATTAATACACATACGTGAAATAAGTTACCTGGAGTATGGAAGGCGAGGACATGAAATGAAGGGGTCTACAAACATTACATTGGTGACATACTGAGATAGTAACAGGCTTATTGCCCGCGCTCCATCCAGTTACTGAGGGGTTGCGCAATCAGAGGGGAGGCTGAGCGCGTCGCTGCCTCACCTCGTCTCTTTATGTATTTGCTGCGGAACTCCGCAAATTTGGCGATTTTTACTATAAAAATGATTGGAATCGTACAGAAATGACATTTATAGCACAGATCAGTGGAAAAATCTTGGTATCTATTTTATTATTCTTTTTTTTAAGTAACAGCTATTTTCATTGGAGTATGACAGGCGAGGCTCTGCCTCCCCTGCCTCAGCTGACCGCACGTCCCTGACGTTTAGATATGGCTAAGAGGCGCAAGCTGTATATTTATATCGCTAAAAGACGCACCCAGATTTCCTAAACATGGCTAAGGCACACCCACAGGAATTTGGACAAAAAAATCACGGCATTTTGAGTCCTCGTTATTCCCTCTTCATAAAGGTGACACGGTCTGATGAGGCTCAGTAATGGGGCAGTGGAGTGTCCAGTCGTTGCGTAGATTGAGAATCATTACGGTGAAGTAGAACTCGTTGTTTTAAATCCTTTATATTAAGTTCACTTGCTTGCTTGCGCGCTTACGACCGTGCAAAATTTTCGGTCGTTTTTTAACCCACTTCCCGTGATCCAATCGAGCTGACATTTTGCACACAGACTCGTTGTGCGTGAGAATTTATTTTCGTGAAAAAAATTCCAAAATTTCCCACTTTTTAGGAAGAAAAAAAATTCATATTTAATTTAAAATACCAATGTTAAAAATGAAACTCTTACTCAAGAAAAACAGAAATGAATAATAAAATAAAACCGATGCACGCATATAAAGGATTTATAGTGAAAAACTTAGTTTTTACGGGTTAATTATTATCCGTTATGAAGTGCTGGGGGGGGGTGGCAAAGTTCGCAGATTCTATCCGTAATCTCACCTCGCCACCACGGGGAACTCGTTCCCTCTCAGGACACCGCCTCACCCCAGCTTCCACCGCGTGGGAGAGCTGCGGTGACTCCCACATCGCTGCATTGCCGTCGTGTGGCCAGGAGATGGCAGTGCAGCAAGTAGGTTCGTCAATCCGCACGTTTGAGTGGCGTCCTCCTCTCGTATTGCGTGGCTTTTTTTTTCTTAACTACAAAAAACAACTTCCTTAAAGTACCCCGGTTTCCTCCAATTGTTAAATACGATAAAAGAAATTGGCCAAACATTTCCATGCAGGGCCCTGCTGAGAGATAATATTGATACTCGGACTTTCTTAGGTAAATACAATGCAGGAAATTCACCGTGAATAAAGAGCTCCAAACAAAAATCAGACATCATGTTCGAGCTGAACCGAAACTAATTTTTTCGTCAGAAGTGACCTGTGCACACAAATGATAGCTCAACAACTTTGCTGATCGTGTGGAACTGTATAGCAGCCAAATACTCGAAATTATTGTTTCTCAATGTGAAGGGAACCCCCGGAGGGGAGATAGACGAACCCACGGGCTCCTGTATATCGGGCGAGGGAGTCAACATCTCGCCACTGTGCCACTCTTAAGAAAAGAACATTGGCTTGAGCATGGCACGTGACGAGACAGGATGATGGTCAATGGGCGAGACTCGCAATGGAATGGCAGCCAAAGTAGGGATCACGTCCAAGAGGGCGACCACCGTGGAAACGGAGCGTTCAAAGCAGTTCATGTGCAGCAGCGAGATGGGATAGTAGCAGCCTTCGTCGAGCAGTCGAGAGACAGCGGCTGCTGATGCTGATGAACGATTGCAACTCGCCCCGGTGCGATCCGGCCACCTCGGACACGTGCACAGGGGCTCGTCTGCTACTAAATCTGGTTTGCATGGAGAGCGGAAAGACCGTCACGCGTCTTTCAACGCGTGACGGCGCGTGACGGCTGGTGGCCGGCTATGCACGTGGCCTGAGATCCAGCACTGGGGAGGCGAGGGTTAGTGGATCACGCACATGTTGCAGAACTCCCTTCCCGTCGGCGTCGAGGTTGCCATACCCTCGCGTACCGGAAGGCGGCACGGTCAATGTGAACTCGAGCTGTTCCATCTGTACGAGATAGCGTATTGCCCCCTCGCATGCGTGGGTTTTCCCAGGGGGTGGGGAGGGGCGTCTTCCCCCCAATTGTAAACACTCATCAATTGGCCGAACTGCAGGAGGCCAGAGCAGATTGAGACATCTCTCGCCACCAGAGCAGATTGAGACATCTCTCGCCACCGCTGTTTCCCGTGACCGGGACTCAAACTCAACTGGATTTAGGTCGGCAACTCGGAGCTTTGATGGTGCCATGGACAGGAGATGTCTGATGTTGATGTGGCACATACAGGTCGGAAGTTCGACATTGGCATGCAATTTCCCAGGCTTAAAATCATGGTTTCCCCTGGTCATAGTATGTACACACACACGCAGCACTAAACACAGCACAGATTGGTATCTCTCAATCGTCGACTAAACTTTCCATATTCGTTATGAAAAGTGCCTTATACATAAAAAAAATATCTAAATAGGCTGACGTTTTGGGCAATGATGCTTCTTCAGAGCATGGATCTCTACTTTTGGACCCCTACCAACGCAGGTCCCTTCAGTGTTCCTTTATATTTGGCGAAGGTGTTGTGGGTCGAACTGACACAGGAAAACAAACGCAGGGCGATTTCCCGAAACGTGATTCGAAACGTTTACTCCTTATCGGACGGTGTTCATGATGCAAAGCCGTGAATTAAATATCTTCTTTGTGCTCGCCTTCCCCTCCCCGGTATTCATTCCCTACACTCGTTTGCCGTGCATACTTTGCTACGCCACCACGGCGACGAAATGTCAACTGATCCTGACGTCTGTATATCTGGAGTCTGCGTGTCGTTCTCCCCGTGGGTCGCGTGGATTTTTTTTCCCTTCAGGTTTTTCCCTCCACATTTCGAAAGACGCGTTGAGTGTATTTGTCCGCAATGCACGTCCACGTGATACGCCACTTCGTCGAGTTATCCTTTGTGACCAGGTCGCTTCTGAAAAAGAGCTCAGTTGGCCTTACCTGGTATAATACATTTTAAAAAATAGTTTAGTTTAAACTTAACCTGCCAGTGCCGAGTAACCGAATAGGGTAACTGGAGGTGCCGACCACAGCAGTGCTGCCATCATCACCCAGGAAACCCACCACGGTGCAAGGTGTCTGCGGCGCTTTGATAAGGCAGAGCGGAGGCAGATTACCACGATTAAGCTACACTCAGCAACACCCGTCGACAAAAATTCCACGAACCCGAAAAAACCACGAGCGTATGCATTGTAGGTGCATAGCCACAGCATTCTCCGGTCCTGGGAAAAGAGGCTTCGTTTAAACTTGATTTGAAGCTTTCGTGACTGCAAGAATTACTCTTTGGTTCTTTCGGTAAAGTCACGTCGAAAGAAATTAAATAATAATAGAATACGACGTTTCGATTTCAACACAAGCAATCGTCATAATGTGAATGAATGCAAGCTCGGAGAGACACACCTAAACAGAGAGACAGACACGGAGAGAGACAAACACAGAGAGAGACACACACATAGAGAGAGACACACATGAGGGAGAGACACATAGAGATACACACACGCAGAGAGACACACACAGAGACACACAGAGAAACAACGCCTCTGTGACGAGGCATTATATTTATAGAGGGGGGGGGGGCAGAGAAATTAGCATGTCAATGAGAGCGGCAGGGGGAGAGAAATTGGAAGTTGATAAATCTAGTACAATTTTAGAGAGCGGCAGGGGAGAGAAGTTAGAAGTCTGAGAAAACAAACCTAGTAAACTTAGAAATGTAATGCATTGCAACACCGAGAGTCGGCAAACACACCAGTTAACACTTTTCCTGGTTGATTACGTTACGGTAAAGTAATATATAATGTCTCGTCACAGAGGCGTTGTCTCTCTGTGTGTCTCTGTGTGTCTCTCTCTGCGTGTGTGTCTCTCTATGTGTGTCTCTGTGTCTCTGTGTGTGTGTTTCTCTCTGCGTGTCTCTCTCTGTGTGTCTCTCTGTGTGTCTTTGTGTGTCTCTGCGTGGGTGTCTCTCTATGTGTGTCTCTGTGTCTGTGTGTGTCTCTCTCTCTGCATGTCTCTCTCTGTATGTCTCTCTCTGTGTGTCTCTCTGTGTGTCTTTGTGTGTCTCTCTCTGCGTGTGTGTCTCTCTATGTGTCTCTCCCCCATGTGTTGCTGCTTTGTGTCTCTGTGTGTGTGTGTCTCTGTGTGTGTGTGTGTGTCTCTGTGTGTCTCTGTGTGTGTGTCTCTCTCCGAGCTTGCATCCATTCACACCCGATGACGGTTGCTTGTGTTGCAATCGAAACGTCGTATTCTATTATTTATATTATTTTCTTTCCACGTGACTTTACCGAAAGAACCAAAGAGCCTTCGTTTAATACAGTATCACGCACGGGCCCTATGTTATCCATTGCAGTCTGCGCTTATTCAACGGAGGAGGAGGAATAGCAAAGCTACACGAACTCTCTCCCGAAGCCCGCTAGTCGTGGCCAGCAGCAGATCTCCACGTGGGCAGGCTCCTCAGCAACGATTGCTGCTCTTGCTGCTGCTGCCGCCTTCGCACGCAACATGAGGATCGAGTCGCGTGCGTTCCTCTAAGCGCGCTGCGTTCGATGCAGATCTCCAAAGAGCCGCCTTGGATACAACAAAAAGAGAACCGTAGGTAAAAATAAACACATCTCTGGCCGGATGTGGGGGGAGGAGGAGGAGGGTCTCATATAGAGGGCGCGACTTCCCTGGACTCGCCAGGAGACCGAATGTCCACTCCCCCGTTACGCGGAGTTACCCCGCTGCGAGTATGCGCTATTTACAGCAGCGCGAGCGATGTTAATAGATGCATCGCCAGCTTAGCCTGATGCGTATTCGTACGTATGGCGTGTATGACCACAAGAACAATATTATAATACTACCTCTATTGCAATCGGGTAAAACAAAAATTCGAATTTAACACGGAAACAAATTTTACAAAACAGGCAAATAAGACGATAACAATATAACGAGGACTTACGATGAAAATCATTGTCGCGCTCAACCACGTGCCTGCCCTGCTCGCCTTCACGTTGGTGTCGTTAACTCTTCTCATACTCACCTACAACATCCTCGTCGACCCCACGCCCCACCAAGCTCACCCCAAACTCCGGGCTATCCTGCTGCGCACACGTGCTGATCAGGGTCACCCGTCACAAGCAGAGTCAGAGCTTCCGTGGTTGGACGGCACGGGAAGAGGGGATCCGAACACTGCCTTTTTGGGGACTAAGTTCCACCAGAAGCAGCAGCAGCAGCGACACGAGCAGCAGCATCAGCAGCAGCATCAGCAGCTCTTCCCCAGGCTTTGGGACGAGAGCTCAATGAATGGCGCTCCGAGCTGGGACGGCCGCTCCGCTCAGTGCTTGCCCAATGCGACCGTCGCTCACGCCGTGGAGGGCTTCGCCTCGCTGTCTCAGGCCGTGCAAGATTTCCTCACTCACCGCCACTGCCGCAGCTTCGGGCTCATCCTGCAGCCGGACGGCAGCAAGTGCGATTCACGTCCGAACGTCACTCTGCTGCTCGCCATCAAGAGCGACGCGCGCAACTTGGAGCGCCGCGACGTGATCAGGAGGACGTGGGGCCGCGAGGGGAACGCGCGTGGCCACCCGGTGCGCCGCGTGTTCCTCGTGGGGGTGCCGAGCGGGGAGACCCCCGAGAGGCGCGTGCACCTGAACGCCCTCCTGCAGGAGGAGAGCCGCGAGCACGGCGACATCGTGCAGTGGAACTTCCTGGACACCTTCTTCAACCTGACGCTCAAGCAGCTGCTCTTCCTCGACTGGCTGCACGAGCGCTGCGCGGGCGCGCGCTACGTCTTGGACGGCGACGACGACGTCTTCGTCAACACGCCCAACCTTCTGGAGCGCATCGCGGCCGAGGAGCGGGCGGGCCGGGGCGACGGGCACCTCTACGAGGGCTACGTCATCTCCAACGTGGGCCCCATCCGCGCGCCCAGCAGCAAGTACTTCGTGCCCGTGCAGGTGCACGCCGGAGAGTCGTACCCGCCCTACGTGGGCGGCGGGGGCATCCTCATGGCCGGGCGCACGGCCCTCGACATCCGCCGCGTCGCCGGGCAGCTCGCCGTGCTGCCCATCGACGACGTCTTCCTGGGGCAGTGCCTGGCGGCCCTGGGGCTCGCGCCCACGAGGCACCCGGCGTTCCGCACGGCGGGGATCTCGCTGCCCGCGCCGAAGCGCGCGGCGCTGGTGTCCTCCTTCCACCCGTGCTACTACAGGGAGGTGATTCTGGTGCACAGAGTGGAGCCCTTCCAGACGCTCATCATGTGGGCCGCGCTGCGCGACCCGCACCTGCGATGCGGGAGACCTTGAGGCCATCGGTGACGGCAGGAGGGGAAAGACGCGTGGAGGCAGAGGGCTGCTCAGCGTGCGCGTTGAGAGGACGGAGCTGCGATTGACGCTACTCGGGTCGTGTGGTGATACATGAGCGTCCCTTTGCATTGAAAGCACATTGTAATTATGATTATTCAATAATGCCAATTATCTTATTATTACTGGTATTGCCGATGTGATAGTGCCAGCGAAGGGATAGAATTCGTCACTGAGGACTCTGTAACAGTTGCGATAATTAAATGTTGCAAATGATGATACCGATTAATGATTATTGCCGATGGTTAATGAGTAGTGACAGTAGCAGTCATGAAATGGTACGCATTCAAAGGAGATGGAGCGATCGATCAATTAAGCTCGTGTGCGTATGAACGTGGCTCTAAGCATGAGTTGTTGATGATGTAAATCTGGTTAAACGTTGACTTAAAACTTTCGTGACTGCAATAATTCATATTCTTTGGTTCTTTCGGTCAAGTCACGGAGATCGAAAAAATTTAAGGAAAATAAATAAATAAAAATATATAAACTACGACGTTTCGATCACAACACAAGCGATCGTCATCCTGCTAATTTTTTTAATTAAATTTACTTTTATTTTTTTTTATCTACGTGACTTTACCGAAAGAACCAAAGAATATGTAAATCTGGTTGTTCCATATGTCTATATACAGATTATATGTTAATTTAATCAACAGTTTTCCAGCATATTAAAAAGAAAATGTTTCCGCGTAATCTGTCGCTGTAAAGAATATACTTGATACAACTTGTTGGATTAAAGGGGAGTTCGATAGAAGAAGCAGATAGTAATACATCCTCGCTCATTATTCTTGATAGCGGCGCTGACATTGTTAAAACAGTCGATTGGAACCTGTTTTTGTGTTATGAGGTACACATCTTGAGCCTAAAAATTAAGACACTTGTGCAGGTTGTGCCGATGAGAATCGTACCCAACAGCACTCGGTACAAAAGAAAAACATATCGGGGAGAGACATAAACTCACGCCCAGACCATGCCTTGCACGAGTGATGCGTATTAGAGTTACAGTATGTCTAAGTCAGATATGTTTCAACTGTAACGTTGTCTCCTTTGAAATTATTCTCCATACGATGTTCCCAAAGCCATTTTCGTCGTTGTGTTGTTGTTGTAATGTGTGTTAAATCTGCACACAATTTGTGCATTTATTTCGTAAATATGATTATAAATACACATGTATTTATTTTTAAGAATATAAATAGTTTTGAAGTCGACTGTTTTGAAGCTATTCACTTTTTTTTACTCAAGTCTTAATAATAATATATTTTCAAAAATGGGAACTTTCAGCCTGTTGACTGTCTCACTCCCGCACGGTGAATACTGCCCCCATGCGATGTTGGGTTAGGGTTGGAAAGAGGGGGGGGGGGGTAATTCGGCCATACTTCACCACGGCGGTCAACCAAGCTGCATGCAGCGCGTACAAAATAGTTTGACAGGAATCATGACGGGCACCGCGAGACCCCAGCGTGTCCGTCCAGTGGCTTCCGTTTGCCGAACGAGAGCTCGTTATGTCACTCCGTCACACACAAAGTGCCTGCCACAAACGAACCACACCACGTCGCCGATGTCGTCAAGGAGCAGAGACCATCATCGCGGGAACTCCGGTCATGCTCACAGCAGCAGCAGCGGCGGATTTTGGCTGCTGCCATCGAACAAAGACGGCGGTCACCGCGTCGCGCGCTTTCAGATGCGCTTCTGCGGCCGTCTGGAACGCTCTCCCTTCCGAGAGCTATGCACTTTTAGATCTCGATTGAAAACTAATTTCTTGAGAACTGCTTCTTGTCTTTAACGCTCTTCCTTCCGATATTAGAAAGCCACTTGAGCTAGGCACTTTTAAATAATTTACATTAAAAACTCACTTCTTGAGAACTGCTTTTTGTGTTTATTTTGTTGTCTTTCCCGCGCACCCACGATTATCTCGGTTGGCTACGTACGGCGCGAAAGAAGTCAAACATGCGTGTACATACGTACAACGCGGATGGGTGAAGGAGAACGGCCCAAGACGAGTTAGCAACAACATAAAATCCACCGCCACTGATGCTCGCCATGATTCGGGAATCAAACTCAGGTCGCCGGCGCGTTCGTAGCGCTGTAGGTGGCCCACTCCGTGGTGTTAATGCCCAGGACCACACTGGAACGTGGAGGCCTTTCATTGCTTGCGTGCGAGAGCGGCGGTGCAGTGTTCAGCGCCACTGCGCTACGAACCTCCCCGAGTTCAATGATCGCTCACGGCGGATAACGGTGGCCACACGAATGTCAAGAAGTGAAGCGATGGTGTCGTGCAGGGGTCGGTGCCAGAGCCGCATGCGACTCTTCAAGAACAGCTTCGTGACCTTACTTGTTTTTGACAGTCTCGTCTTCACATGCATTGCGGATCATGATACATTGAGGATTTTTTTATTGAATTCGAAGAAAAATGGCCCTCCTTGTTACTTTTGTTGCCGAGACCTTGTGTGGTGGTTAGCACACCGAACTTGCAATCTGGACTTGCAATCTCTTGGCGCAACAATTGACCTCCCTTGGAAGTGCATATTTTTTTGCGGCATTGGTTCACTATACACACAAATTCTGGACCGGTTTAAAAATTCAGTTTCTGTTCACAAAAGACAAGCTTAAGCCAATTGCTGGCGATCTTTCCCTTGTTTATAAGGCAATACAAAAATTATCTCCTATTGTTTACTGAAATGACCGTTTCCACTGTTTGCCAACATCGGGTTTGAGTTATGAAACAGCTTTATTGCACAACCCAGCTAATGTCTGTGTCCATCGGCTGCTGTTGACAAATCAAGGATGATTGGGATCATAGACTCATGCCAGGCGGTATGCATTGAACGAACTAACGACCTATTTTTATTTTACCAGCTAAGGCTATGGAGCAGTTTTTTCAGAAGCGACCTGGCCACAAATGATAGCTCAACGAAGTGGCTTATCGCGTACAAATTTAAAGCAGCCAATGCTCGTGTTGATTCTGAATGCCATCTCAGCATCATGGTCCCAGTTGATCATGTGTCGCATGGATTAGGTGTGAAATACATGAAAATTTTGTCTTCAAAAAACAAACAAGCCAGTACCTTGTCTGCGTGAGAAATACTTTAATTTTTGACATAGAGAGAGACAGATGTATGATAGACACATGTTGTCCACGTATCCACTGAAAACACGTGACGTGCAAACTCCAAATATACAGACGTCAGGGTCGCAGTCGGACATCCTGCATAGTCGGGCGAGATAAACACGCGTGCCAACAAGGACACTAAATTTATTTTAATAATGTTGAAGTTCATGTACAAAACTAGCTACTACTGGCCAAGACAAATGAGAGAATCTATCGAAATTGAAAGAAATAAAAATAATTGTAACCGTTCGGATAGCGACCGATTTAGTGCTGCGTGGAAGCGAAACACACAATCCTGCGGAGGGAGCTGGTAGGAACGTCGGGTTGCTCGGTCAATGGCCTGCAGGGTCAACGGCGGCGTGGTGTATTCCGCAAATATGCCCGACTGTGAGGGCGGGCACAAGCCGGCGTGAGTAGGTTAAACGTTGAGTTTTATAAGGGCACCACGGGGTGACCAGCCCCTCCCCACCCAGCCCCACCCTCCCACCCCCCAGCCAGCCCCACCCTCCCCACCCAGCCCCTCCCCACCCTGCCCCTCCCCACCCTCCCCTCCCCACCCAGCCCCTCCCTCCCCACCCAGCCCCTTCCTGCACGACGGACGGACACAATAATCCCCTATGGGCTGGTGTAACCAGGAGGTTCCTACCAGTATAATACATTGTTTAAATGCATGCCTATGAAGGGCAGCATACTTAAAAAGGGATTACCGTTGGTACGGTTATATTAATACACACAATGGACAGGAGGACATGATCAACAGGCTCGTATAATGCGCATGCATAATGTGCGTTGCCTCAGTAATCCCCCCCCCACATTGTGCAAGAGCGCAGAAGCGTGGTCACCACATCTACGCCTCTATATTAGGAACGAAACAGGTGGACTTTTCCACAAACTTGGCTGTCGCCTGATGAAGCTAGTTGTAATTACTGGCGAAACGTCGTACTCGGATTGTAAATGTTGTGGCTTGGCTCTCCAACACACCGGTGTGCTGTACTAGTGACAAATTGGCATGTTCTGTTGACGTGACAACCCTTACTAGTTGGCTGTGTCGGGTGGTGGCGGGTTTTAACGACACATTTATATGCGGAGGGCGAGATAGTTAACATCTAGACCCTACTTAGCTTATGCCTAAATCTTGCCCTCGCTGATGGTCAGTCGACTGGACTGGTAATGGATCGGCAGCCAGTGGAGAGGCCCTCGATGATGAATATCGTGGAGGTGAAGAGATGACGCGAGATGTGGGGGAGCCTTTCATGCAGCAGTAGATAGAACGTGGCGGATAATTTGGGGATGAAACTTGCAGCACCTTCACAAAGCCATGATCACGCGACGGTTTCACGCTCCAAAAAGCTGGCACGCTAGGTTCATGATCCTCGTCACATTGGCACAGCCAAGGTGAAATGGATAAGATAAAAACGAACATCCGTTACATCTTACACCATCATCTTATTATAGCCCACAACGAGAGGGTGTTTTACACAAATAAGGAACCTGGCATGCAAAGCGTTCGTGTCAATCCAAGATTACAACTGTTGAGATATCCGGATTTATTGGTCACGCTCGATAATGCGAATACGCGACGACTAAACCCGTCTACTCTGCTCTGAAGCTGCACGCAAATACAGCAATGCCCCGATGTACGTCGTCTCGCTCTTTTACGTCGTTTTGCAAACGTGTCGTCGCTTTCGTATTAACGCCGCTACCCGAGTCTGCGTCGCCTCAAGCCCACACTCACGTCGCTGACAGCATCATCAGCATCATCATCCGTCCTCTCTCGATATCCGTCGCCTCTCAGCCTTCGCCTCCACCACCCACGACCGCCCTGTACATCGCTTCGGTTTACGTCGTTTCGATATTCGTCGTCGCACCTTCGAGGAACGCATCCCCGACGTACAGCGGGGTGCTACTCGTGCCGCTGTTCGTCTTCGCAGTTGGGACCAGGGTGAGGGGCAAAAGGCGCAGCGCGGACACGTATCGCTCCTTGTGGACAGAGTCATCCTCGATTTGAAGCTTTCGTGACTGCAAGGATTCATACTCTTAGGTTTTTTCGGTAAAGTCACGTAGGTAAAAAAAAAAATTAATAAAAGTAAAATAAAATCAAATAAAAATCACGACGTTACCGAAAAAACCTAAGAGTAAGATTCATCCTCCTGCACCAAGCGGGCGTCTTGAGATCCGTGGCAGTGCCCACACGTCACCCCGCGACTTTGGCGTCCTCGTGTATCCTGATGGTGGACAGAGATGGGCAGAGCAGGGTGGGGGGAGGGATTTAAGCAACGTTCACCATTGCCTCAGCTGCCACGCCGGGAGAATGAATGATCTCTGAATTGCAAGCCAAGTGCGAAAACCACTGCACCGCGACACCTTCCTTACTTTTCGATTTAAAGCTTTCGTGACTGCAGGGATTCATCTTCTTGGTTCTTTCGGTAAAGTCACGTAGAAGGGAAGTAATAAAATAATAAAAATAAAACATAATAAAACAATTCTCACGACGTTTCGGCCACAACGCAAGCAGCCGTCCTCAGGTGAAAACCAGGTCCGTCGAGGCGACAGAGTCTGAATGAAACAGCACACGGGCTTGGAGCATATATATAAGCTGGGCGCATTGACAAAGGAATTTGCATATCAACAGGAATTTAGCATATTTATGGGAAATGCAGGAATGTAATTAGTACTGCATATGCATGTGCATTATGCAGGATTAACAGCATCAAAGGGAGCTGCAGTTACTGCTGCTGCAGCAGTTGCTGCTGCTGCTGCAGTTTCTGCTGCTGCTGCAGTTGCTGCTGCTGCAGTTGCTGCTGCTGCTGCACTTGCTGCTGCTGCTGCACTTGCTGCTGCTGCTGCAGTTGCTGCCTTATCCATTTTAATATAACACTATGTATTATTCTACCCACCCTAATGTGTATCATACTGCTATATGTTTACTGTACAATTACGACACCATACATTACTCTGCACACTGCACCATGCCAGTGAGTGGAAGGTGGTCTGAAAGTCACCGTAAACGTGAACACAATCAGTTAAGATCCGAAATGGTTTATTACGTCCTTCCAATGATTGCTAAGCCAGAATCCATCTTCTCGGTTGAAATTGTCTCTGTGTTTGTATATGTGGATCGCCTCATGAACGAATCTCTCATGATAGCCAGATGGCTTGCAGAGAACCTCTGTCTTGGAGAAGTCAATGTCATGTGAGCCCACTGAATTGTAACAGTGATCTGCCACGGCTGAGGTGTTTGTCCTACCGTGTTTCAGGTCTGCCTTATGTTCACGGATGCGGTCCGAGACATGTCGTTTGGTTTCTCCAATGTAACTGCTACCACAGAGGAAACTTAGTTTGTAGACGCCAGGGTACTGTATGTCTGGAACCACATCTTTTACAGACGGGACCAGATCACGGATTTTATGTACTGTGTTGAATCGGACCTGGATCTTGTGTTTAATCAGGATTTTGGAGATCTTTTTTGTGACCCCAGCAATGTAGGGTAAGGTGATGGTCTTGAAAGGCTCCTCAACAGGATCCTTCTTGATGGTTGGAGTGATGGCCTTGCGGATTGTGTAGTCGGAGTAACCATTAGCCTTAAGAGCTTGGCGTACGTGTTTGAGTTCACTGGAAATGTGTTCATGGTCGGAGATGCATTGGGCTCTATGATATAGAGTCTTGATGAGGGAATTCTTCTGGGATGGATGGTGGTGGGAATCCGGTTTTAGATAAGCATCCGTGTGGGTGGCTTTCCTGTAGACAGAGTGGCTCATTGAACCATCAGGTCTCCTTTTGATTAGGACATCCAAAAAGGGTAGCTTGCCATCATTTTCGACTTCCATGGTGAATCTGATGGCTGGGTGTATGGAATTGATGTGGTCGAGAAATTGGTCTAGAGCAGGCCGGCCATGTGGCCAGATGACAAAAGTGTCGTCTACGTACCTCTTCCATAAGGTCGGGCGTAGAGTGGCAGTCTGGATGGCGTCCGTCTCAAATTTCTCCATGAAGATGTGTATTATGTTTTATTTTTATTATTTTATTACTTCCCTTCTACGTGACTTTACCGAAAGAACCAAGAAGACCTTCCTTACTCTTGATAACGTCGCCTTTAATTTGTGTCAATCGTGGAAGGGAACTCCTTTCCGACTTCAGCTCCTGCTGCCTGGAATTCTCTTCCTCTTCAACTCCGTGCAGTTGACTACTCTTCCCTCGTTGCATGCACGTACGCTGAACTTATTTCGCACCGTACACAGCCGACCGTGTTAATGCGAGGTGCCGGGTGGGGCAGGGGGAAGACCCATTTGTGTCCACGTGCATCTTTGGCAATGACTTCATTTCGTATTCCTTGCGAGGCGTCTGGAGATGCGGTTGCAGTTGGACGCTCCGTCGTCAGTGTGTATCGCGTTGCACTTGTTCGGACCTGCATGCAGCGAGGCCCGTGCGGCTACTTGGGGACTTGGTCACAGCCAGGATGGGAACGGAGTGATTTACGGGGAACACGCTGACGAATTGTGACGTCGCAATGACATTTGTATTATTTGCTCATCATTAACAACAAAAATTAACTTGCATTTGTCAGTATAAATCATCTGGCGCTATGTGGTTAGCCATGGAACAAAGAGGTTGGGTTCTGCATCGCGCGCTTTCAGATGCGCTCCTGCGGACGTCTGGAACGCTCTTGCTTCTGTTTGGATTATTTGGCTGCAATACATTCCCACTTGATTCGCCACTTCGTCGAGCTATTATATGTGGTCAGGTCGCTTCTAAAAAAGTGCTGCATAGCCCAGTGGGCCTTACCAGTAAAATACAAAAACATAGTTTAGCTTAAATATGAGCAAGCTACTGGAGCTATGCTGGGCTAATGCACGTGGACTTCCAGTGGGTCAGTCCACTGCTGGACGATACCGTCTGCAGACTGTGTTGGTCATGGCGGTTACTTGACCATGCTTTCACCACACTGGCCACGATGAGTGGGTGCAGGTGGTGAACATAGACGTTGGAGCATGGCCAAGTACAACAATACGATAAACGATGACATACTGAAACGGTTTAATCAATCGATACCTACGGATAACGTAAACCCGCAATGTTCCATGTTCCTTTGCCCTCTACGGATAACGTAAACCCGCAATGTTCCCCATTTCCAACTTCGACATGGATTCTAGGTGCTACTCAAAGTATATCCACATGAAAGAGAGCAGAATGTATCAGTATCGATTGATGGAACCGTTTTAGTATGTCATCGTTTATTGTATGTATTTCATTTCTGTTACTGATTACTCTACGTGTTGTTTACCGAACGCGATTCAAATACGGCGCAGGGCTTACGAAACCGGTGAACCCAGCATCAACCTGAGTTCGATGACCACTCACGGCCAACAAACGCACCAGACGATTATCTGAACCGGTCTAGGGCCTCCCCTAAGTTAATACAGCGAGCGCCCTGTATATTATTTTTTATCGTTGTTCTAATCTTAATGCAATCATTAATGCATTTTATACGCTTGACTTGTAATGGACCATGTAGAAAAACATTAACCGAACAAATGCTGTTCTGCCAGGAAAGTAAACCCTTACCTCTGGTTAATAATTCAGGTGAATTCCATTTTAATAAAACAAATGTTTATTTCCTTGTTCGCCATTTACCACGACGAATTTGTACCCAGTAATTAAACAAACCCAGAAACTTGGGGCTTTGCAGCGTTTGGCAATCGTTGCAGCTGGGAGCACGACACCGTGAATGAGCGGTGGGTTTTTTTTCTCCAAACGCCAAGCGAACTCCTCATTAACGCAGTGCAATTAGCATTTGAATCGGCGTTCCCAACACACACACACACTGTAAATTGTATTGGATTATTTTTCAGTGGGTTAGTTTGTAATCTTATTCTCACAGGTGTCTTTTTTACGACCGGCTTTAATGACAATGTTTTTTGGTTTGGCCATGTTTGTTTGTTGTAGTACGGAGTTAGACTGATGGCCTTAATCTAAGTTGTCTTGTGGTTGTTGTTGTTTGACTTGCATCCCACTGGGATTTTTTCACACGGCGTTGGTGTACGGTGCTTTTTCTGCAATATTTTGCTGTCTTTTCTTGGCTTTTCTGTTTGCACTTAGTCACACAGTCACTTTAAGATGTTTTCTTGTTCAGGTTTTTGTTTTTCGTTTGTTGCGGTTGCACCCGATTCAAGAGCCGAATGGCTCACAGGGCTATACCTCATAAATGAACTTGAACTTGACAATGCGAGATGGGCGACCACGACACACAAGGCAGGTTTAATAGGCTGCGGGGGCCAGACCGGGGGCATCAGAGGGCAGTGCCACAAAATCCATTGTTGGTTGGGCGCCGCGGTGGCTGCCATCTGCCTCGCCGAGTATGCAAGAGGTGCGTGGGTTCGATCCCGACCTTGACGCCTGTATATTTGGAGTTGGCATGTCTCTCTTCCCGCAATCGGGTGGATTATTCTCCGGCTCCTCCGGGGGTTTCTCCTCCACATTTAGAGACATGCGTGTCGAGTATTTGGCGGCTATCAATTTGCATGTGATAAGCCAACTTCGTGAGCTATCATTTGTGGCCAGGTCGCCTCTGAAAAAGAGCTACATAATTTGGACATCCGTGTTCCCCGTCTCCAAAATGAAAATCGTGGTGGAGTTTGGTCAACCAAACCCATACAATTGGGTACCACTCAATACGCGTATGGAAGAGTGAATTTTCAGTTTTTTGGGATCACACCCTCCTCTCATTTTGCTGGTTTTGGTGTAAATGTCAACTGCTGAGAATCTCAAGCTAATCTGTTAATGTTTACAGGTTGCTTAGGACCTCCGATTAGCACAGTTGGCTAGGTACGTTGCGAAAGCTCAACATACACATATCCCTTCTTTCTCTGCATCGATGCCTCGATTATGTTAATGCATTTTTCAACTCTGTTGAGAAACCAGTAAATACTGAATTGTTTATTTTAAACTCGCAGTGCTTCCGTTTAACAGTAAAATTATAAAATCAGTAGGCGTGACCATGAAAATAACTTGAATTTTGAGTGGCCCCTATCCTATGACTGTACCGCGTGCGGAGGCCACAATCCAGCATCGGATTTACGAAAGGGTTGTACGTGTTATTATAAAGCAATGGTTGATTTTTTGTAAAACTTTTCTTGCAATATTTATTGTTACATGTGGAATACATGAAAAAATACATTAACTGTGGTCCAGTGATCCTCTTATTTATGGACAAAAGCCTTTGCGTTATCCGAGTTACACATTTAGTGTGGACAAATCCACAATTTGGAAAAACATTTTCATCTCCATAATAAATTAAGTGAACTTAAAAAAAGTTAAGTTGTCCATGAATATGAACATCTTCCACATTAAAAAATGTCAACTCATTATCTTCATTTGATTTAATTCTGCAAATGTTACGTGGAATTTAGAAATGCAGGCAAATCATTAAAACTCCCGAGTAAGAAATCAAGACAGGCTATACTACACATTTTACGAAGGGGACAAAGTTACTTACATGAAATGTGTTGTACTTTATTTAAAAATTCACTGATAATTATGACAATACACCGCACTGTAGAATGTTAATCTTTTACTCATTTGTTATGCAGTTTGTCTGACATTGTATACTCACGAAGCGTGACAGATGGCATCAATCAAGCAACACGGCCGTCTCGTGTTTCGTCGGAGTTATTCTCAAATTATTTAATTAGTATGCAACCAATTTTTGGAAAGAAAAAAAACTATGACCACAGGCCAACGAGTTTAAAAAAGTGAAAATGCACTTTTTTTCACTTCTGAACACTGTAACAACACTCATTTCTAGAAACAAGGTTACAAAGAATATTCGCAGGAGCAGACTATTCCAAAGGTTACAATGGGGTCACGCTACAAAACCGTGATTACACCATCAAACCAAACCCTGTGGCCTCCAATATCTCAGTTACTGCAAAGTGTATCAGCTGTCAAGAGGAATTAACATTACGCTTCCCACCACTAAGCACAAACTTATTTTCGTTTTTTTTTACAATTTCAAGTGATGTAGGTGCGTGCCACGGATGACCAATTCTCTCGGAATACACTCAATCCCGTCAGACCTCAGAAGCTAATTACGGTTGATCCCGGATCGTGTTTGTATGGGGGACCTCCACGTGTACAACAACAGGTGTTGTAGCCTACTGCAGGGGACCATTGCACTATGCTCACCACCTTCACCAACCCACGATGACCAATTTGGAGAAGTATGGACATACAACCCACGTGAGCCGTATCGCATGGAGGGTGTCATTCTGCAGTGGAGTGACAAAAAGGGCTGTACACGGAACGGCCATTGTATTCAAATTAACAATTAAAGACCTGGACACATCACCTGTGCATATAAGCTATTTTAACTGTATGAACAAGACCGCCAACTAAGTGAAACGTGGCACAGTAACTACTGTAAGTGGAAAGAGACATCCGTCAGCATGGGTTGTAATATTCAGAGTTTAAATACATCGTGGGCAGTGCCCTGGAGAGACTGGCAATCTAAGTGGAAATCGAAAACATAATTTGGTTTAATTTATAACGTCAGAATAAAACAGCTGTTGCGAGTCGGTGCATTGCAACAATGGCAGTTGACTTTAAAACAACGCAGAGTTCACGAACGGCTCAAGCCTTCTATAGACTGGCACCATTGAATGGTAGCTAAGCAAGCCAACACAGATATTGAGAATTCACTTATTTAGTACAAGGCGATGGTCCATCGAAACGGACTATCTCTTTCTTTACAAAGAGACCTGCTCAAAAAAGAAAGCACGTCCTTTGTCTGAATAAATAATATCAATGTGCGTTATTCTATTGAGACAAAAGAGATGCAGAAAAAAGTGGGTTATCAGCATCCCTAATACTGCAAAAAGCTGTATTATGCTAGCATGGAAGGTTTGTAAACAATAACATTGGATGTTCTTGTTATTCCAGGACATATATATAAAGAAACCAGGGCCGCATGGAGTACTGGGAAACTCATTGTAAATGCTGGCGTTCCCCCAACAAGGCAATTAATGCCAATCTGGGGTTAGGCATTTTAATAACCCAGAACGGCTTAATTGCTTTCTGGAATATTGGTACAACATATTCCACTGAAATTAACAGCCTTAGTCGAGTCTCGTACATCAACATTTGCAGTTGTCATGGCCTTTGTTGAAAAGCGTCGATTCCCTGACAGATCAGGGTTGCTGTGTGCAAGGCTTCCACAGGCAATTGTGCCAACATACATACACGGCGCTACATTTTAATCTAACACCAAAACAAATACATTTAATCGACCACAGAGTACAATATAGGCATGGACAGTATTGGAAAAAACAGGATTATTCCCAGTAACTAACGATAGAATTTCGCTTAAGAAACCGAAAAATAAAGGGGCGCATCCTTTTGCCCCAAAAAACTTGCAGCGCTCCACCGAGAGCATCGTCACTGCGTGGTGATGAGGTGCACGATGGTATCGATGATGCGCGAGCCGCGCGGGCACGTCGACAGATCCATGGTCGGGTTCTTGATCTTGTCTTGCAGCAGCAGGTCAAGCTCCTGCTTCAGCTCGCGCACCAACTCTGCCACCTCCAGAAGAAACAATATTGGCAAAACGCAGACACGTAGGAATTACAGGGAAGTCACAGCGAGGCCAGTGCAGTTGCACTGAACTTTATCAAATAAGTGGCATCAAAGGGCAGCAGCTTCGTTGCGTTGCATTTTGCTCAGACCTGCTGCGAGGTGGCGGCAAAGCGTATCCAGCCGTCGTCCAGCGACACGAGGAACTGTCCCTTGTGCAGCTGCACGTCCACCTGACCTCCCGCGAAGAGCAGCAGGGGGTAAACGGACACCATGCTGCAGTCCCGCACGTACACGCGAGTCGTCTTCACCTTCTCGTGGTACACCAGGTACGGGCTCTCAAAGTAGCGCACCTGCATCACGCACCATATACAGACACAGACAACGATCAGCTCGGTTAGCCTTACAAGACTGTTGGGGTGAGTGCTGTTAGCGAGCACCTATGAAGGCCGCCACGACGGGTGAGTGGCCAACACCACGCCAAGCTGGCTTTGTCTCTCCAGTGGCGTTGTTTATACATCGCACCAGGTATAACAACAACCGCCATTCACCACTAAGTGGCTGTGATGTCACCATGGCGCCTGTGCCAGGCTAAGTGCACTTTAAGGCCATGTGAAGTGTCGAACGCCCGCTGCCAGGAAGTCACGGGACAGACCCAGGTGCCATGGGTTGACTAAGATTACTGGCCGATACACCACCTGTGCCCCCTAATGTGCCAACTTTTTCCACTCTTTGTTGTGAGCATTGCTCCTCCGCCCTCCGTTGTTGCTGGAGGGCAGCGACTGCCTCCAACTGCCCAGTAGCGTCCTTCACAAGCCTCCTCCAGAGGCCGATGTTGACACAGCGGGTACCAGTCATCGGCAAGTCCACTCAGCTCCACAACCTCTTATACCACATCACTCCAACTTCCCTCCCTCTATCCACCTGAACAAAATCTGTTTAAGCATGCGGTGGCTGGGCATGCCGGCTACATGACCCAGCTAACGCAGCCTTGCCTGCTGGAGGAGCTCACACATTAGACTTTTTCCAGATCTTTGAAGGATATGTGAGCTCCTCATACAATCCAGCCTGGTTAAACCAAGGATGGAACATAAGCAGGCCAGTCTGAATGTCATAAGCACACTGCCCAGGTATGGAAAACTCTCCACTCTCTCCACAACTGCCTCATCACCAATGGCAGGTCGACTCAGCCTCAAATGAGAATCTGGTGCGATCTGTAAACGCCGCCACTGGGGAGACAAAGGCAGTCGGGCGTGGTGCTGGCCATCCCCTCCTTCGTGTACTGTGCCGCCCCTCACAGGTGCTACTCGCTAACAGAAATTGCGCCAAAAGTCTGCCGAGACTCTACGGGGGATCTTTGTTCATGGTGGTGACAATGTTGATGATGTCCGATGGTGAGGGATGTGGGATGTGGACCCCTATTCAAGCCACCGGGCCACATGCGTCCTGGCTGGCGGCAAGCGAGGGGACTTTCCTGTTGGCGCGGCGAAATGTGACCCGGGATCCCCACAGCCAGGGGTCCGAGTTGTCAGGCGCCACATTGTTCAGTTAAATACCAGATATTACAGTTATGTTTTAGTTGAGAGCCCATCGAGGTTTGATGGTCATGTTGTGAGGTAGACCCGTGTGGGGGAAAGTACGACGGTTTTAGCTTTCACGAGGGTCGTTTTATAATTTCAGATCTGGGATGTGACACAACATAGAATTGCCTGTCTCTGGGAATATTTTACTCTGTTGTTTAAATGCCCGCTACGCAGCAGATAATGCGCTTAAGTGATGGCCCACAAAGAAAAATAGACCTGGAAATGCTCGCGCCAATTCTCAATGCAAAGCGGGAAGTCCAAATAAATGGATATGTACATTACAGGTTAAAATTATAATTACACATTTTTTGTAAAAAATCCAACACCCTTCGTGATCAATACGTCGTAAAGCGAGTGCTACGTTACACTTCATCGTGACCGCCAGTTTGCCTCGTAACGAAAACGATGAGCCTCTTGGAAGCACCTGAAAGTTGACGGAGGATGGGTGGATGTGCACGGGCCCATCCGACTTTGTGATGAAGCGCAGCTCCTCCGACTTGGAAGGCATCCGCATGGCGCCCGTGCTTGTCTGCTGGAACTTGCCCTCAGGAACTGTCATCCTGCAACGCCGTCGCCACATTTCCAGACGAGTGTAAAGGAAACCAGTGACGACACAATATACAAGCCATCGCAGCGCCTACACCGCTACACGTCCAATGAATTATGAACAATATTATTATTGGGTCATCATGCGTCAAATGGACCAATGTACCGGAAGTCCCACACCTCACCACCTCAGATTCTCTTGAAAAAACGATTCTAGGAGATACATAACTCTGAGATGTGAACAGTCAAAAATTAAGTTCAGTGTGACAATTTTGGCCGAGATATGGCTCTTGAAATATCTGACCCGCGATCTCTTATACACTAATAACCCCGATGATCTGAACTGCATAGGTTAAGCCGCATCAAGCAGTGCATTGACACTAGAGCTGTACATATCAAAATCAAGATAGAACCTTAAAAGCAATACTTATTCAATTTGACATGATCGTTTCAGAATTTATCTATCTTTTATAGCGGGTTGGATATTAAATGGCAACCATTGTGAAAATGTTTTCCTTTTTTTCAATCTCTCATGATTAATGTTTACAAAGTATGAGACCCAAGACAAAAGTCAGTCTACCTTTTCTACCCAGTGGGTCACGCTGAGTGGGTTTCTGAACATATGGTGTGCCACACCTGATATTTTCCATCGATCTTCATGGGCTTACTTGGTGATGTAGATAGCGAATATAAATTAACAAAATTGTGAACACATCAAAGCATATATATATTCATCCAATATAATTGTAATTGGTTGAAGCATAATTTGACTCCATGTTTATTTTCAAATTGTAAAGATTAAAACTCCATAAAAAACTTTGGATATCAAATTATGCACTCGGTAGATAGATGGATAGATGGACTTAAAAAGCTAAAATATCCAAATGGTGGTAGTGACTAACTTAAGGGACCATGAAAAATGAACATTAGCTTTCTTCATTTCAGGATTCAATGACCATGCAGTGCCAAAATGACAGTTTCTATGATGGAAACGCAACAAACAAGAGTGAAATAATTCATGACCATTGTTGTCATAGCTACATAATTGACTCGTGACATCTTTAACCAGGAGGCATTGGTGCTGGTTGGCAGACTGCAAATGCTTCCGTTCATGACATGAGAGTTTGTTCAAGGTCTCACCTGCACAACGTTAGGGTAGAGGGCAGCACACAGCATGGCACCCACAAGCTTCAGATTGTCTGCGTTGGAGTTGGACTGTAAAAAACATATATCCACTTTAATAATATTGCAAATAATTCATCATCCGTGACAATATGATTAGTTGTTTGTGTTTAGTTTGTTGTCCTTCCCCCACACCTCCTCTTAGCACGGTTGGCTACGTACGGTGCGAAAGAAGCTCAACATAAACACATACAAAACGTGTGTTTAGGAAGCGTCAATGACTGAGAATCACTTGGAAAGCGTCAAATCACATCAGATTTTGGTTGCTAAGCTAGCTCGAGCAAGGATTTGTTTGGATGGGCGACCGTCATTCGCTCCATTCTGTCATGGACTGCCGCGGGGGTGGTGTTACGTTTCATTGTTGTAGTGTACCCCTATCCCCACGTCAACGCTGCCAGCCTTCAACCGCCGCTGACCGACGTAGTGCATTACGGTAAAAAAACACCCTAGGATGCACAACGATGTGCATTGACAAAAAGGGCTGTACATGTGCGCATGCTGGCAGTATACGCATGCGTAAGGAGACAACAATCACAAAGGTCAGCAACCCACTTGCTGCCCTGGCATCAGCTGGCCACAATGCAGCTCTGCAGGTTGTAAGTCACACACAAAGACAAATATCCCCCATATATAGCCTTGACAGACTGTTGGGGCAAGTGCTGTTAGTCAGCATCTATGAAGGCCAGCATGGCACACGAGTGGGTGGGTGGACAGCGCCACACCATCATGTGGTCACACACAGACACGATGACATCTACTCAAGTGACCAACTGCACCTCCAGAGCACTGTCTTGGCGGGTGCACCATCATGCCCCAAATGTCTACAACGCTAAAGTGGGGGGCGTAGCTTTGTCTTATTACAAGCGTACCAGTATCCAGCGGCCACCCTGGTTATGACTGCGGGTGTATTAAACCAACAGTAGGAAAAAAGGTAGTTCTAAGCACGGAAAACAATTACATAATGCTACAAAAGGAAAATAATTAGGTCACTACAAAACATTCCCTTTACCTTAATCCTAGTGAAGCTCGGCTCGGTCAAGGCGGTGTTTTGGTGGAGCGAGGCGTAAGGCGGCCCCCCGCTTTACGCCTCGCTCCGCGGTATTCATCCGCAACCTCACCGCGCTGCACTTCTCGCGCTCACGTAACCAACGCAAACGTTTCTGCACATTGACATTTCTTCTTATGTGATTTGTGGGACCATTTCCGTAAGGTGGGATATCCGTAAGTCGGGTCTTCCGTAACCCGGGGAGACTTTCTAGATTTGAAGCTTTCGTGACTGCAAGGATTCAAACTCTTAGTTCTTTCGGTAAAGTCACGTAGGTAAAAAAATGAAATTAAAATTAATAAAAATAAAATAAAAATCACGACGTTTCGGAGGCAACACAAGTCTCCGTCATCAGGTGGGACCGTCACAGCCAGATTTGCTGCATCAAGGGGAGACTTGCTGCACGCGCGAAATCGCACACAAACAGGGGCCCCGCGTCGAGCGAGGGAAACCTGCACTGGGGTCACCGGTGCGGTGAGCGGTGCGTGGAGCGGTGCGGTGAGCGGTGCGGTGAGCGGTGCGGTGAGGGCCGCTACCTCGGGCCCCGTGGTCTCGAGAACCCCGTCGCCGCCGTGCCGTGCCGCTCGTTCCATGTCGCGCGCGCGAAGTCCCTCGCGCACGAAGCCGATGTCCGAGAGCAGCTCGGCGAACTGGCGCTTGAGGCTCGATATCTCCTGCGGCGAACAGCGCAGGCACAATGGCGGCGTTGGCGTTTCACGTGCGTTGCGCGTGCTCGTCGTTTGCCGTCGTCACAATGAATACCGTAATGATCATCGCTCGTTCACGACTTTTGCATCTTTCCCTCGCACCGCTCGACTTTGGGATTCCCTCCCATCGTCTCGGTGACAATGCCCAGTTCAAGAACTGCTTACATGTTACAAGTTTGAAAAGGTTGTAAGCTGTTTGGCAGTTACATCCTTTTGGTCTATTCTGAGTAACTGTAATTAAAAGTTATTTCTTACCACAATTTGATTGTTGTGGTTTTTTATAGTAAGGCTCTATTTTTACAGGCTCCCCTATAAAAAATGATCTCCGATCCGTTGTTTGCTTTAGCATGACACATGATTATTTATCGCACTCGTGTAACTTGTAATGATTAACCACTACTTTAAAATAGCTGGAGTTATAAAACTGCACACAACCCGTGAATCAAGCACATGTGCAGGTTTTTTGTCAATACACTCTTGGATGACAGGATACCCACAACGTGCGGGTCATGGGAGATATTTGACCGTACTTCACCACACCGGTCAATGCGGGTTGGTGAAGGCGTGGAGCATAGAGTTGGGAGCATCATGGAATAGTACAACAGAAATTCCTGCACTGCCCTCTGCTGACAAGGCAGACATGCATTAATATCATTCCAGAAAACATTGAATCACTTTAATCTTACCAAAGAAATCATCATCAGTTTTAACCCTTATATTATACCATCATGACCATTTTACCTTTATCCTCATCAATATAATACATACCTAGAATAAGCCATTTTATCACCATTGCCATCCGTATAACATTGATAAATGTCACTCACCTGCAATTCATTGCGTACAAGTGCTAAATTTAGGTGAGGTTGATAATACAGCGACCGTCATTGGATGCAAAGGTTGATACCGATGTCGATACCAATACCAAAAACAGCACTTGTCCTTCCCCAGCCACTAAAATTAGATGCTTGACTAAAGGCTTTGTACTTAAAAGAAATACCTTAATGCCGCAGCCAAAGGTACTCTCATAACGTCGCGAGACTAAAGTTATATTTAAAACCTACCAGAAGGGATTCCACAGTCACACCACAAGAGCTTGCCTGACAGTGAGCTTAGGTTTTTTAATTCGTAAAAAAAAGTTCAAAACTGCCAGCCATGGAGCTACAGCTTATGTAATTCTACACAGGCTGTTTGTGTCTTGGATTGCAACTTCATTCAGGTTGCACATAGTCCTGCCACCCTATCTTCACGGCCGAGCTGCCACTTATTGCAAAAGGTTTCCGTTTCAGGCACAGCAGCCGCCCTGGTTAACGCTTCGGTTTAATAACCATGAATGCATGCCATCTATTTTACAGTGGATGCTACAGACGCCGTAAAGTTATTTGGAAAAGAGTAGACCACTTGCGCATGAACGACGGTCGAATTGGGAAAAATTATTTGCAAATTACTTAACTGGCTGGTACCACATAGCAACATCGCACCCCTACGGGCAAATCATCCTCGTCTGTGAAACATAGCACCGTTGTGGCAGTCTTGCGTCATACGAATGCCGCGAATACCAAATGTAACCATCCTCACCTGCAAGGTCCGCCACGAGAGGAAGTTCTCACGGCAGAAGTGATGGCCTTCGTGGACTCGATCCCTCATCGCGCCGAGCCAGCCCTGTGGCCAGAACAAAAACATTGTCACTCAAGCGCTACCGTACTCCTCCACCAACCCAAACGCTCTTGTCATACGGCAATGGTGATGCTTGACTATAGCCTACAACCAAATCAAACCGAATGACTGAGGAAGCTTAGCAGATTTTGAGCCTGGTTAGTACTTGGATGGGAGACTGTTAGGCAATACCAGGTGTTGTAAGCTTGGGCAGCGGGGTGAAATGAATATGGCAGTAAAATAGATTTGTGAATCTATCTGTGCGGAGCTTTGAGCATTGCCGCCTCGTATGCGTGGTGGGTTTTCTCCGGGACTTCCGGTTTCCTCGCACATGAAGCCAAACACTCGTTCATAATTCATCCCAATGCATGAACCTTCTAGAAGAGTATTGAGGCTCAGTGCCCTTGCTGAGTAAATAATGAACATTATAAAATTTGCAAGAGAGGCTTACTTAAACAGGATTTTTAAAAAATACATACATAAATCAGTTATCTATATTTAGCCATTTTGAGGAAACCAACGTGGCCAGAAAAATGCATGCCAATTATAGCAGTGTGGCTCAAACGTTGCATGTATAGGTCATAGAGTTGCCGCATAACATTGCTTCTTAAAAAGTAAAAGTTCCGTGTAATTGACACACTTTCCGTAGAATCACAGGCGCGTGAACACACAGGCAAGTGCAGAAGCAGCCAGAACTGGAGCCAACAATTTCCCAAGCTCTGTGACCCTCAATTGGGATGTCTGGCCAACTCATATAATGTGGAAATAACCCGAAGCACGAGGAGAAAACCCACATGTCCGAGGGCAGAAACACTCTATCCCATACAGATGAAAGAGATGGGATTCTACATTTGCTGTACCGCCTTATGGCAAGCCAGGGTAAGGCACCTCGATGCCCACGGGAAGGGAGTTTCGCGGGATTGGTGCGATCCACCAACACTCTCCATCCAAGTCGCTGATATACAGACGTGTAGCACCATGCAGACAACACGGACTCAAACACGGATGGTATGTGGGTGACAGGGTCCGACACACATTAGGGCCTGTATGATTGTGTGGAGTTGAGAGCACAGTCCTCACAGACAGGACCCTCACCTTGTAAGCCTTCAGCAGGGTCAAGTGGTCACTCTTTGCCTCAGCAAACTCCAGCTTCTTGGCATTTGCTTCTTGCCGTTTGTCCCATGGGGAGACCTTACAGAAACGACATTGAAACATCAGTAATGTTTTCTTTGAAACCAAATCTATGAGGAATAGGTTTATCATTGCAATAATTGATAGTAGCATACGTATTAGACCAGTCCCCAATTCCTGTAACATGTAACCGATACTGTTAATATTGTCACCTATGTAACCATGATTGTAACGAAGGTCTGTATTGTGCAACATCTGTACCATCGCAGGACACCCATGGAACAGAGCCTAACAGCTTATGGGGCCCTTGCTGCTGAAATAAATAACATCTATCTAATCTATCAGAAAAATCAGAAAATAAAAGTTAGGAAAAATAACTTCACTCTCATATTCGTTGGGTCTTTCGGTAAAGTCACGTAGATAGAAAAATAAAATAATAAAAATGAAAATCAAGTTAATTGTCATTTGTATTATTCTATCTACGCGACTTTACCGAAAGACCCAAAGAATATGAATTCCTGCAGTCACGAAAGCTTTAAGTCAAGATTTAACTTCACTCTCGTTGTCTATAAAGGGAAAAAGATTATTATAAATAATTAAATCGCCACCTGTTATCCACAAGACACACTGATTCACCTGGTTGTTCAATCGTTCCGGTCCTAGTTTACAGACGAAGGCCAAAATCAACACAACCTGTTGTGGTGGTGGTGGTGGCGGCGCCCTTCCTAATCAGAAACCACTGACACAGACTACCGCTTCATTAACTAATCGACTAATTTATTAATAAATGTATCTATTTATTTATACAATACTATACAATTTGTATTCACGTGATGACTATACAACTGCATTTCAAGACGTTACATACAAATGGAGAACATGTATGCATAGAGGAGCAAACTACAGCACAGAAAGGCACAGCAAATGGAAATGGTAATGGAGCGAATGAAGACAACTCGCAGAAGGAGGCAGTTATAGGCAAAGGGTAACGGGGGAGTCTGCAGCCTGAAATTGAATAAGGTCCTAGTCTTGGCATTCTACACCACTGGAGCACCAGCGCAGAAAGGGCATTCACCCAGTGAGCAGAAGTTGCCTGGGGGTTTTGCCTTAAGGCCATGATAGTTAAGAGCGTAGAGGATATAAAAGTCAGCATCGTGACATAACAAGGGTAAGTTGCGCTGGGAATATAGTCCATGGAGGATCCTAAATCCCCACCACCCCCAGCGGTCACAAAAGGGCCAAGGTTGACTCACAAAGGGCGACTTGAAGGCAAGGCTGGCCGCGATTGTGAGGATGGGGTCGAGACAGCGGAAGATGGCACCGAACAGCACCAGCTTGCCGATGCGCACGTCCACGGGCAGCGAGGCCAGGTGGTAGCCCAGCGGCGTGAGCGACTCCTCCTCTGTGAGCGCGCCCAGGTCTCGCAGGCGCTGGATGGCGGCCGTCAGGCTCTCGGGCGCCGGGGGCTCGATGAGCCGTGAAAACACGCTGTCCAGCTGCCGGTCCTTAAACAGGTCCAGCATCTTGATTCTGCATCGCAAATACAATATTCTATCGTTGTTCGCGAGGGATACGTTCCGGAGAAGCTCGTCAACAGAAAATGTCATGAATAATTCATTTAGGCGTACGAAAAGCATATCTTTTAAATGAATTACCGTAACTATATATACGTAAATAAGCTATTAAATACGTGGTAATGATAACGCGTCTATTTATCTCATCACTTTATCTCTCACCACTTTCTTTCTCTCTCAATTTATAGTCGTGCAGAGTTACAAAAGCGCTTCACCCATATCCAAAATCGTGAATAGCAAGTTCGTACAAAAAAATTAATAACAATGTCAAAATAGTAAACACACATCTCTTATAATACTTATAAAGCGGCGCCATGCTCACACACGTGTTGGGAGGTAATCAAATATATTGTATGTATAGAAATTTAACTTCTTTCACACCGTACGTAGCCAACTATGCTAATCGGAGGAGCTGAGTCACAATAACATATAAAATAGATACCTGTACGCAAACTTCAAGTACTTTTACGGGTCATATTTGGAGCTTCACGTAAAAACATACAGTAAGATTAACAGACAGTAAAGTTCCCGGGAGCGGAAGACCCGACTTACGGAAATCCGACTTTACGGAAATGCTCCCATAAATATTTTTTACAAAATCTATTTCCGTAAATGTTTGCGTTAGTTACGTAAGAGCAAATAGTGCAGCGCAGTTAAGTTGCGGCCCGCCTTGTTCCCTCGCTCCACCTCGCTATGGGATTTCATCTCGAATTTGGGGGAAAATTCGTTTCCGACATGTGCAAAATTCGGGTCACGGATCGTTCTCGGGAACCTGACCCTCCTCCTGCATCCCAGAGACTGCCTGAATTGCCTTGGCAATTTCCCTCGTTATTGGCAATGGAGACATGGGCATGTCTTTGCCAGGAAATAGAGGGAAATTTACATTCACCAACATATGCATTGGGTTCCAATATTAGATATGTAAATTTGACTCAGCTGAACAGAACATTATGAGCTGTGCAGCGTGTAGTACTGCTGTTGGTGATGATGATGGTGGTGGTGACACTGCTGCTGATTAAACCATAACATCCCCCTCGAATTCAATGAATTTCCCGCAATTTGGGGTTGCGATTCAAGAATTCGTGTTGTTTTTACCGTCTAGTTTGTATTTTCTCAATTTGTTTGCCTTATACGTAGCTTAAATGTAACATTCGCATATCATTTGCATGTATTTAAAATGGCAAATATTTCATTCTTACTCAGCACAATTCAATGCAAGTGTCATGAGTTTAAGAATGCATTATTTACATATTATTATAATATTATGCAAATAATGACAGTGAAAACTAGTTCCACCCGTGGCTGTGGAGCAGAATGATAAAGCACAAAGTCAACTAACACCCATCAATCAAGACCAGTGAACGGCAGAAACCAAAGCAATTCGTCGGCTTCCAAACCAACGCCGTTGAATGGCTAAAGAGCACAGACACCAAATTATAACACCTGTTGTCCTTACACCTGTTGTTCTTACACCTGTTGTTCTTCCACCTGTTGTTCTTACAACACGCCGTACACACACAAAAAATAAAGAGGATGACGAAAACGATGACGGCACTTACTGACCTCAGGCACAGCTGCTCAAGCGGGACGCGCTGGATCTCGGGCAGCTGCTGCTCGTCCAGGAGATGTTCGAAGCGGTGGCTTGTGAACAGGTGGAAGCAGGCGCCCGAGGCGACGCGGCCCGCTCGGCCCCTGCGCTGCACGGCGTTTGCCTTGGACACCCACGTCTCCTCCAGGCTCTCCATGCCCTTGCCCGCGTCGTACCTGCGGTGTCAATGATCAACGCGTCCCACTAATCAGCTTTCATTTGCCTATCAACCAAAGGAGATTGTGCAGGGTCAAACATTTGATGCTCAATCAGGGTTTACTTTGGAAGTGATTCTTAGCCAACAGTCATTATGCAAATATCTCCATAAACGTGTGAACAAAGATGGATAGTTTCAGGCCTTGACATCGCCAACTTGTCGTGACTGACAGTTAAAGTGTAAAATAGTTTGCACAGAATGTCCATCTGGATCCCTGAAATTAATGTCCACCCACCCCAAAAGCATAGCATTTGTGGGAGTGCGCAGAGGAAACAACCCGCTCCACTGCCGTATTTTCTGATGCGACTGCTGTAGCATCAACAATCAATGAGAGGTATACCTGCCAATATTGCGTTGGCGGTCGAGGAAGGAGCACCCCTAATAAACCAGAGGAGAGCAGCACCTTCCTAAACGTTGCTTTGGCACAAACCAGGAAATCAAACCTATAGCGCTTCATCGATGTATGCAGCACAGACCAAGTGGTGACCATGCAGATCTCCTCGAGGGGAATCCTATGGGCAGTGGCCAACCAGACCACCTCCACTCGCGTAAAGTACGCTATGGCCCTCTGACGTGGCCAGCTCTCAGAAACATCATAGTCAAGCCATAACATTGAACTCTGAGAAGGCCCTCATCTATACATTCAGCCCTGCGCAGGTACCAATTCAGCACTCTGGCTGGGTCCAGACGATGCCTCTGCCTCTTTCCCTGTCTGTCGTGAAAGGCAGGGACAGAAGGGCAGGTGGGGATTTCTTGCTTTCTATGAAATCTAGAGGCTAGCACAGAATGTCGTGCGCAGGGTGCAAAAACGCACCTCTTCTCCTTCATCTTTCCACAGTCGATGACGTAGACCACGTCGTCAATGGTGATGGAGGTCTCGGCGATGTTGGTGGAGATGATGATCTTGATGACTCCCTCGGGCGGGGCTTTAAAGACGGCCTGCTGCTCCTCGCTCGAGAGGCTCGAGTGCAGTGGCAGCAACAGCGCCCTGGACCCAAACAAAAAAAACATCGCTGCTGCTGCAGCCTCCACTGCAACGTATTGTGTCAAGGTTCTCCCGTTGTGACGTACCTGAATGGACCAGAGGTGAGGTTCGAATCTTGGCAGCTGACGGTGATTAAACTGGGTTCTCATGTGAAGTGAGTTTGTGGTGTCAACCCGGTCACTAGTAACTCTAGAAAATAACGCCCATATTCTACAATTTGGTTCTGCATTTTATTTCATTGAGTACAGTGTGCTAACCATTTACCTGTAACAACATGCCCGTGCCCTTACAGATGTGTGAATTCGTTCGGCAATGATTACCTGTTTCCACGGCGGTTGTTAAACATGGGATTCGTCTGGAGTTTCTCAAAAAGAGTCTTTATCTCCCCGAATCCAGGCATAAAGATCAGGACAGCTCCTTAACACACACATGGGCACAATGCAGACAGATGCAAACCGCAATAAAGTCATAATGCAAATACCATACGCTTGTAGATACACTGCATGCTATTTAGACTTGACATGCAATTTAAAGCAGGTGTTTAAAGTCAAACAGCCAGAGGCAGCAAACAAAAACTCTGGGATTTCCTTCCACCAACAGCCAGAGGCAGAAAACACATACTCTGGGATTTCCTTTATCCACCACCTGCTTGACTTACCTATCTGTGTGATCGACTGCCAGTGGCGAGATATGTCAGCAGTGTACCTGGTTTGTAGTCGTGCTTTCCTTCCAGGATCCACTCCAAAAGTTCCTCTATGAGGTCCAGGTTTATTTTCTCCAGGTCCATGGCAGCAAGTGTCTTTATTGTGGATATTCTGCACTCTGGGGGGGTCATAAACAAACACGAGTTACATCAACACCTGTAAACCCTGCCTGAATTGAATATGTAAAATGACCAATATGGTAACAGATGAAAGATGTTATTTTAATCAGTTTTCACTATCAGCTTCTTTAATCTAAACCTGCAATTCTTCCATGGCAATTTAAGCTAATGACCATTAGCATATGAGTGAAATATGGAATAGAGTAGAACGTGCATTGCATTGCATGGTGTGTATGAAGTGTGTCGACTTCCTAAGGACATGATGCGATGAGGATCAGTTATGGTAAAACTAAACTAGACATTTCTGAGCATTCAATGGAGATACTGCCACTACAGTTATAAAAACAATTTATTAAAGGCACATGCAGGTGTGCTGTTCATTTTCACTGGATGGAATTTAAGGCATGGGCATTTAGCCATGAACTGAGAATGAATCAGCGATGATCAAGGTGATGATTCTAAAGGTGCTGCTCATGACCATTAGCATTATGTAACATCTTGATGATGACTCAAGCGCTGCGAATTATTGTTTTGGCTAGCAATTAAACAAAGACAGCCCCTGCATCGCGTGCTTTCAGATGCACTTCTGCAGCAGTCTAAAACGTCCTTCTGATATTAGGAAGCCAATGGAACTATGCACTTTTAAATCTCGATGGAAAACTAATTTCTATAGAACTGCTTTTTGTGTTTGGTCTGTTGTCCTTCCCCCGCACCTCTGATTAGCAGGGTTGGCTACGTACAGTGCAAAATAAGTTCAACATACATATATAAATCATGCTGTATGATGATGAGTCTGCTGCTGCTGCTGATAATCATGCTAATGCTGTAAAAACCCTGAGAGAGTAGAACAAGGTAGTGTGCCGTCTCGCCTATGTATCGACTGTGCAGTTGCTGGATGGAAAGCGTGTGGTCCGGAGCCTTTTCCTTGACAGGCACCGCGTTTCTCGGCGAGAGAGTCAGCGAGCGCGAAAGCTCTTCCTCCAGTTGTCCCAGGATGCCACCTCCTTTGCCTCGGCGCCCTCCTGCTCCACTGGCACTTGCGCCCTTCCCTTTGCCACCATCTGGGCCGCCGCGCACGGCCGGACGCATGAACGGGCTGCCGTGTTCAATGATGTAGCTGCGCAGAGAGAGTGGGGATACGGACGGCAGTGACGTTTTAAACATTGACGTCAAACCGTTCAAAATTAAAACGTCATCCAAGGAACCTATGTAAAGGTTTTCGCAAACAGCACTTCACTGTGCCTGTATCCAGGAGTTAAATTACCACCGTACACCAGCTAATCTCTATGCACTCGCATCTAAACCCTTTGGGATCTCATTTCAAGCTACCATAGCAACTTGCATTCTCTTGACATTTATCCACATTTCCATTTTAACTAGCCCAATTCAAATACTGTACGTGTATTGTCTTTATCCACCTGGTACAGCATTGCTTTGTTGAGCTTTCTTATGTCGCGTGCACATGACATTTTTATTTTACAGTTCCTCCGTTATGCCTTGCTGAATACTCATTTAACCTGTTTGTTCATTAATTAACTTTACTTATGTTTAGGTTTCATGTTTAGGTGTCATGTTAGCCGACTCTCTGAGTTGCATTACTAAGTTGGATGTCTTTGCATTGACAGCTTGGATGTCCTACTCGCTCTGCCACCGATGCATCATTGACATTCTAATCACTCACGATACAATGGCCACTTCCACAGCCTCAGGGAGACCATCTCCAGCCCCACCCTCTCACCCTGAGGGGACTCCCATCTCAGGCCTTGACAAGACCTTGTTTCAGTAGCTTTCTCTCTCTCTCTCACCTCAAGACGACTGCTCGTGTTGCAATCGAAACGTCGTGATCTATTAGTTTTCTATCTACGTGACTTTACAGAAAGACCCAAAGAGTACGAGTAAAAATAGTACAATCTTGTTTCTGGGTGTTTTGTATACTATACTTTCTTCAGCATTATGCAATTTATTTCTTATCTGACCTCTGGGCAAAAACGGCTTCTAACCCAGATGTAATTAAATGTAAGATGCATTTGCATGTTGTATGCACTCAGGGCTATGCACATACGTGGACACCCTGATAATCGGTTTAAATAAAATGGTGGGGTCTTTACACTTTATACCACCATGATGTGCAAACCTACCCACAGTGTAAAACCATGTAATCACTGGAGAAAAACCAGAAGCACAAGTGAGAATAAACACAACCATGATCTCCACAACAATGACCATGCCTTGAAATAGCAGCTATTGATTCCACCCCATTACGTGAAATTCGATACAATGAAAGGAACGAAGAGCACTGAACTAAAAGGTTTTCTTTTCCATGTTTGTTTGCACCTTTACAGCACAGATCCAGATTGCATTGTGAGCAGACACAGCTAAGGACATATGAGTAAGGCTGCCTGTGGTAAAGGGAGCTGTTACCAACCGTCACTTTTCAAATTATATCTGTTTTGCAGGAGAAAGGGTACCAACACATCAGTGATCATTCAGTGACTCACCCAGTAAGGTCAATGATATCTTCAAGGAAATACTGGTCCACTGGAAATGTTCTCCCTGAGTTTGAAAGCAAACATAACTTGTTAGCATTTGATTGATTAAATGTAACGTCATTATTTTATGTCATTTCAGAAACAAAACACCTGCATTAGAATCTATTATTACTGCAGTGCCTACAAGCGTTATAAGGGCTGCTATGAGCATGATGTGCATTGGCCTGTATCATTAAAAGGATGACGTGCAATTGTTAGAATCAACATGAACTTCTGCCAAGTTAACATGAACACATAAATAAAATTACATTTACATTGATCACCTTAGATTTTTTAATAAATATTTTCCGAGCGATAAACCGCCATTTACACAACATAACCAGAAATATTATGCTCATGTTACATTTATTATAATGGACCTAACACAACTGAACAAGAGAGAAATTCATTATAAGACAAAACTTAAAATAAACTATTTTTATTTTACCAGGTAAGGCCCACTTAGCAATATAGCTCTTTTTCAGAACCCACAAATAATAGTTGAACGAAGTGGCTTATCATGTGTAAATTTATAGCAGCCAAATACTCTAAAAGCATGTTCTAAAATGTGGAGGGAAAAACTGGAGGACCCTGAGAAAATTCCACGCGACCACGGGGAGAACATGCAAACTCCAAATATACAGGAATCAGGGTCTTGATCGAACCCACAACTTCCTGTATACCAGGTAGTTAACATATCGCCACAGTGGCATCCCTAACAATGGAGATGGTAAAAAATAAGACAAATAATAAATCAACTCTTGGATGGACTTGCAGCCGATAATCAATCGAATGTATCGGCTCGCTGGGAAGGGTGAGGGTATGTCATTACATGCCGAGTGAGTGTGCTTGAAAACACTGCAACGCATCTACTAGGCTAGTGCTTCACGTGAAATCTGTCGACTGCGCAGGTCAAACTGGGTAGCCACGTGCCTGGTATGTGCACGACTGGGCAGCCATAGAGGTACTCGGAAAAGAGCTGTGCGTTGAGCGTGGCACTCATGAGCACCACGCGGAGATCACTCCGCTGGGCAATGAGGTCTTTGAGCACCATCAGAAGGAAGTCACTGCACACACGGAACGGATAACAACACGGCACCATCTTCTGAATCAAGACCCGCATAGCAGTCAACATATAATAGCATTGAAATTCCTTTGACCCAAATCAACTCAATCATCAGAGTGCAATGATTGCGAGCATACGCATTCATTTTAATACACGCATCTTTACATGCCAAATCATAATATAAGTGTATTTTTCTCCTACATTGGGTCTAGAGATGCAGATGCTTACATAATCCAAATTGTATCGCAGCATATTGTCCTTCTATAATGTTACGTGATTTTTGCATCTCAACTGTTTGTATGCCTGGTCTGATTAATTATCAAACTGGCTTTCCCATTAGTTATGTAATGACGCATTAATAAAACATAAATTAAGACTAACGTTATATGCATCCAATTGTGTTTAAAATGTTTTAATTTTCAGCTCGTGCAAGTTGTACACCCCGACAGTCACTAAAGGTGCTACCCATTAATTTTTTATCGAATTGCCACACCAAATCGTGACACTTGAATCATATCGAATCGCAGGAGGGCAAACCGCGACGCGCCTATCCCTTGCGTGTGTCGAGTGGCTCGTGGCGATGCCAGCCCAGGTGGTGGTTAGTGGGACCGGGAGTCCTTACCTCTCCTCCGTGCGCTCGTGCACCTCATCCACGAGAACATGCGTGACCCCCTGCAACATCGGGTCACCTTCAAGCCGCCGCAGCAGCACGCCCGTCGTGCAGTACAGCAGCCGCGTCGCCGACGACTGGCGGGGGGCAAACGTACAGCGGCGCACCGACAAGTCAAAATACAGCAACAGAGGCATGTGCAATCGGATACCCCAACTAATACCAAGACCCTTTATCCAAGCCTTCAAAACCTCATCACGGACTATTTTTATTCCACGGCCTCACCAACTTACAACCGTACCCTCGGTCAACCCTTTTGTCAATCCACAAGTTGTGTGGTTTAGTTGCCTATATTTCGTCACATCGGTAGGTGTGACTTTGAGAAGGCGGGCTACACAAATGCTGCACTGCTCTCATTGCCAGAAACGATCATCTCTGTTGCCACGTGCTGATGATTTCTTGGCTTCTGCAGGCGGCAGACTCGGTGCACAACCTGAAGCAGGAGCTGGGAGCATACTGCAGCTAAACATTTATTTTGCTGCACTGCCCTCTGCTGCCCACAATGTCACCCCAGCATCTTTATTTGAAAAGACAATTATACGAGGAGTCTTCCTTAACACATTGACGTGACAAAATAATGAATCCAAAATATTGCCCGTCGGCACTTAAGCACATCACGCAAATCGAGATGCCACGTTGGCACTGGAGCAGGTTCCTAAGCGCCCCCACCCCTGCCGAGCACGAGTGCAACTCCACCACCGTCACCTGCACGCTCTCCAGCCGGATCTGGTACCCGACGCTGTTGCCGAGGCGTTCGGCACGCTCGCGGGCCACGCGCTCTGCCACGGAGATGGCGGAGATGCGGCGCGGCTGCGTGCACACGAGGTTGCAGACGTTCGCGGGCGAGCCCTGCAGGGAGGCGTCCAGCACGAACTGGGGAACCTGCGTGGTCTTTCCGCACCTTCCGACCGATGCCAAAACAAGAGAGCGCGGTTAGCCGCCGTCAAAGAGGTCAACGGGCGTGCGACATGTGAAATTTGGTGATGCTGCGTTAGCAGTGGTGCACAACCGTTGTTAATAAATAAGCTCAACACATTCGTCAATACCACCGTCATAAAATGAACAATATATCACAGGTCATGTTCGTGGCTATAGTTCTTTCTCAAAGCACTTAAAATCAACAATAAGCATTGTCCAACACATCACCTATTATAACATTTTCTTTTCAAGGCATTGATACTTATGAATGAACATGAAAGCGTTATGATCATTAGACATGCAGAGACGCATGGAGGAAGCGTTCCCATTGTGGATACTGCCAGATTCCTCGTAATCTGCAATTCCTTCAACACAATTAATACCAACATCAATAACGAAAAAAAAGGAATTAATTAGACAGGTAACTATTCATCAATAAAAATGTATTAATATACCCATGAAATATTCATATATTTATGCAGAGAAGAACTAATAACTTAATGTGGAGGGAAAAACCGGAGGACCTGGGGAAAAATCCACGCAACCACGGGGAGAAAAACATGCAAACTCAAAAGATACAGGTGTCGGGGTCGGGATCGAACCCACAACCTCCTGCATACCAGACCAGGGAGTTAACGTCTCGCCACCGCGCCATTTATTCGGCTGTTTGTGGTCTCTGGTGACGTCTACGATCGTGATTCACGCGAGCAGAGGGGCTGTGCGTGGACGTACCCCGTCATACCGCTGACAACCAGCACCTGGTGCAACTGCAGCAGCTCCAGGATGAGCTCGCGCTCCTCCCAGGCAGGCAGCTTGCTCCGCTCCTGCAGCATCGACTGGTACTGCCGGCTTGACTGCCACGCACAACGACGCGAAGCGCACATTCAATTAGGACGCACGTCAAACGCACACGCCAACCACTGAATCGGTGACTGGGAGTCGGGTATGTGAATCATAGAATACAATTTGAAGGTGAATGAGCATCTAAATTCCGACTGCATCTATAGATGCTGTACTGCAACAGTGCAGATATTGATTTTGTAGAGGAAAATTTAGTTATAAGCAAAGACCTCCCTGATATGGGGAGGTCATCATTCAACAGTAACTATTATGTTGAATTAATTATTTAAATGTTACCAGGTTAATGCCCACTGAGAAATATTGCTCTTTCTCAGAAGCAACCTAGCCACAAAATGACAGCCTAACAAAGTGGCTCATAATGTGGAAATGTTTTGCCGCCAAACTGAAGAAAGGCTGCAAGTCTGAACAATTGAACACCTGGGAGGAAAATAAAAATCCAAAAAACACACACGCTTAAAAGCGATAAAAGCAAATGCAAAAAAAAAAATGCTGACCATTTTCTCCCGGTACTGGCGGCAGAGCTTGGCATTCTGCGCGAGCGTGTCCTGCTGGCGGCGGTCTCGCCGCTTGCGCTCCTGTTGCCGCTGCTTGAGGCGCACGTAGCTCTCGGGCTCCACGCCGACCGTGCTCGCGTCGTCTCCGTCCTCCTCCGCGGCGTCGCGCGACGACACCGCCGGCGACGTCATCGTCGGCCCCTGGGCTGTGCCGCGCACGCAATCCCTGGGGCCGTTCCGGTTGCCCCGCTTGTCGTCGCGAGCTCGCTCGCCGGGGCCGTTTTGGATGCTCGGCTTCTTGCCGCGCGTCTGGTCGACGGGGTCGATGGCGTTGGCCGCCCTGGTCTCCCAGGGCCGCTGCCTCCACGGCAGTGTCTCGCTTTGGGGGCGCGGCTCCAACTCTTCTCTGGGTCTGGCGGTTGCAGTGGCAGAGGAGCAGTGTCAGCAAGCAGCATCACATTTCGAGTAAAGAACACAAACCCCATTACATTCGTGATCAAGACCACTACAACTATACCATTGGGAATTGAGCCTACATTGACCCAACAAAGCTCGAAATAGGATTATAAATTACTTAAGACGACTACTGAATACAATATTTACCGTTTCATTTTACGCAGCATCCACAATGATAGCTTTGCACTTTATCAACATTTACCATTGAAATTACACCTGTGATAATCCATGGCACATCATCTTGTAACTGAAAATGGTGATTCATAATAATTTCAACTTGTAATACGAACAGTATTCACTTACTCTCGAAGACAGAGAATGGCACGAGGAACCAGAAATGTCGGAAAGGCGGCCAGGCGATGAGGAGACAGCACCAAATTCCCCTCAAAACTCTGAAGCCCTCGAAACATGTGTTATTGTCTAATGAGTGTTTACATGTGGGAAGAAACCCGAGCGCCCGGAGAAAACCCACGCATGTGAGGTGGCAACACTCTATCCCATATAGATGGAACAAAGGCCACAGTTTTCTGTATCAACTTCTCCTGGAAAGATAGGGTATGGCTCCTTGATGCCCACGGGAAGGAGGTTACACAACCAACCCTTGCCTCCAGTGCTGGATTAAAGGCATGCGCCACGACTGCCCGGCTAATTGATGATAATGGTAATGATGATGATAACGACAATTATTACTACCACTGGACTCACTCACCGGGGTGCTCTGCTGGCGATAGCGCTCTGCGGCGGTGCCTTGACGACCGAGGCCGGCTGCGGCGTCTTGATCGGAGCCAGCTGTGGCGCGGGGAGGCTAAAACTGTGCTCCGCCCTCTTCAGGAGCTCCGTGACCCTGGCCTCGTTCTCCTGCAGCAGCATGGCGAGAGTGAACACGGCCGGGAGCCGTTCTGCGGCCAGCGCCCCCGCCTCGGCGTACAGCAGCTCGCTAGCGTACAAGCAGAACGACGCCGGCAGCAGGACGTTGCTGGACACGAACGCCACAAGAGGAGCTACGCACGGGTAGCGGTTGTTGGCGGGGAAGCGGATCTCGAGCTGGTACATGGACTGAGGCGGCTCGGCGATGGAAGATTTTCCTCCCGAAGTACCGTCGGCTGTGGGCGCCACGTGCCTCTGCCGACAGCGTGTCCCGAAGCGACAGCCGCCACCCCGTAGGTAAAACCTGCACACGGGCCCAGCGTCTTCCTTGAGCCTCTCGTCGGCCCTCTGCATCTGGTGAGGGGCCTTGTTCTTCAGCTTGTCCGTTAGGAAGCCCAGCTCTAGGCTGACGAGCCACACCCTGTTCGGAATTCGCTCAATGAAGTTTGAGCCGAAGATGGACTCCAGGGCGAAGGCCTCCTCCTTCCGTTGTTCCAAGCAGTCGTCCAAGGAAATGTCAGCGTTAGCATAATTAAAACTTCCTGGAAATCTCTCCTGGAAGCACTGGGTCAGCAGCAACTCCAAGGAAGCTCCGATGTCTCCGTCGCATCGGCGCAAAGTGGCCTCGCAGCGAGACCTGTCGAAGCCGTACCTGACAGGATAAAAAACCTGTTAACAATATTGTAAACATTGCGGCGATATTCTCACATTGGACGATTTTATAGGAAGAATTCTGCTGGAAACGTTACATTCTCACTTATATGTGCATTAATCTGCATGTTGTGCTGCTGCTCAGAGTCAGGAGTGGAAATTCGACATTCATATGGTAGGAGTAAGTTGACCCGTAATAATAACCACTGTTGACTTCCCACATCTATATGTAGAGCCCTTTTGTCCATCTACTGCTGAATGTGGGCCTCCCCACACCAATTGTGGCAAGGGGTTTATTGACTATACTTCACCACACTGGTCAGTGTGCTTAGGTGAAGGTGGAGAGGAAACAACATGGGAATATAGTACAGCATAACAATGCATTTTTTTTCTGCACTGCCCTCTATTGCTCATAATATAGCCCTATCGTCGCCTATAACACCTGCCTCATGCATGTTAGTTGCCCATCCAAGCACGATCCAGCACAGCCTTGTTTAACTTCTGAGAACTAAGGAGATTGGGAGCATTCTAGGTGATTTATGTCATCTGTGTCTTCCCACAATAGTACTCATTATACTGATCCTGGGCTGAGCTGACTGAATGAGATTTGAGGTTGCAGCGTTCTAATTACGAGCTGCACAATCTGACAACCAACACATTCCTATCGATGGAGACCTTTTTTGGCAGTATTAAAATGATGAACTCAGAAAAATAGGCTTTAACCATTCTGGCAATAACACAGGTATTAAGATGTTCAAACACCAAATCGACACCTATTGCAAGGCATCACATCTGCATTAATCACACATTCTTGTGGCAAAAACATGTAAACAAACATGTGCTGATAATGATATATGCATCGTCTTTGAAACTGATTGGCCCACACCAGAGACAGCCTTGTTTTTGGCCTTGTCTCACCAGTGTTAGACCAGAGAAAGCCGAAAGGCGAACAGCACCGCTATTACATTCTGCTAATGTAAGAATGCTAGAAAAACGACAGGTAGATTGCATGCAAGCCATGCACACTGATACCTACAAGTGGTGTTTAATGTTGACATGGCACAGCAGTGTTTTGTCCCACACCTGGTGAGGTTGTGCACGGCGAAGGGGGACACCTGAGCCTGAGAAATGGGCTCAGGCCGAGGGCTCTCGCAGTGGTTCACAACATCTTCCACCAGCAACTCCTGGTCCGCCTCCCAGTACTCCTCATCGCCTCGCGACTCGTCCTCCTCGTAATCGCTGTCCCTGCTCGCCCGTCACCAACCAACACAACATTATCACACCCTCGACACGCACAAACCATGCCGTGTCAGTGCAATGCCCTGCCAATCCACACTGCAAGAACTCGGGTTAACCTTCGTGCCAATGGGTCCAATTCCCATGCAACGTGAACAGCCGTTTAAATTTAGACAAAAAGACAGCCAGATATAGAAATCAGATGTCTTTTTTATAAGAGAGAGCTGGGATAAAATAAGCACAGCAAAAGAACATATCAATGCCAAATAATTAATATGAATTATGATTAATACATTAATTATTTACTCGTTTGTAAATATTTAATGAAACAAAAAAGAAATGACTCAATTCGAACACACTTAATATAGAATATATGTCATTTACAGCCCTTTATCAAATGACGACCTCCCCACACTGCGATAGTCACCAGGCTTGTTTGACCATACTTCAGCACATACCTCACAATTCACCAGGCATTTAAATTCACAAAATCCCCCCAAAACCCTTAAAACAGCACTTTAAAAACGTTCTTGTGATAACAAAAATTACTATGACATCTGGTACAATAATGACATCAAAGGCAATCATGGAAAAATATAACAATGCCAAAATTGGCCAGAGAAATTAAAACCCAGTTTTGAATTACATTAAACACAAAGATGCTACCTGTCTACACATACAGTGGATATATTTAAAATGTCCTGTATTGTTTAAAGAGGCACTCACTCTGTCTCAGGCTCCTGTCCTTGAAGCACCCGGAGCAGCTCTTTGACGTGCTCCTGGTTAGCACTCGTCATGCGCAGCTTCTGCAGAGGTACCCGCGACTCCTGTCGCCCCCCCCCACGGCTTTTTCCTCCGCCACCACCTCCTCCCGCACCGCCACCACCACCGCCACCACCGCCACCACCACCGCCGCCACTGCCACCGCCCAGCCCATTCTTGCTTTTTGATCCAGAGCCTCCACCTCCCGCCCGAGCTCCACCTTTTCCTGCACCACCACCTCTTTCACCACCACCACCACCCCTTTCACCACCACCACCACCACCACCCTGCCCTCCTTTACCAGCCCCAGAGGACCTAAATAGAAACATGATCAAAAACATGGTTACAAAAAATACTTAAATACGCTTGTCAACTTTCATAATCTCAAAGCAATGGAACTTTAAAGCAATTTTGTAAGTGTATTAAGATAACATGTGCTGTTACACCATCAGGCAGTGTCACTCAGTCTCTGCGACCCTCCAAAGTGCAGCATTATTTTCAATATTATCCATTTATATTACAATACAGCTGCTAAATGTTGCACATAACCCGGTGGTTGATAATCATGAAAATGTGCACTAAAGCGGATCTTGAGGACTGGCGTTTGAGAAACACTATTCCAAGACATTCGTCCGCTGTCAGTTCATACATCTCTTTCAGAGGCAATATTCATGTACGGGCGATATTAATATCACTCATCAGTGCAGCCTCACTGACCTAGGCATACCGTCGAACCTCGGCGCTAGCACAAAGTCATCGTCGCCATCATCCCAAAAGTGGCTGGTGTTCTTTTTTGGACTCGCACAAGCCCGGCCACCGCCCCCCCTGGAGGCACTGCCTCTCGGCTTATTCCCGCGGCCACCGCCGCGGTTGGGCCGTGCAGCACCACGTCTCTTCACCACCTTGCTCATTCTCGGTGTCGCACAACTGCAAGCAGAGAAAACAAAATGACATTCGTGAAAGATTCTACTTTTCTTGCAAGTTTAAATTTAGTGAAGGAGAAAACCGATTTTGAAACAATGGTCAGGTATGCTCAGTCATAGAGCTCTGATGATGTTACTACATTAATGTTGTGATAAAATGGATGGAAGTTAAGTAATTGGGATGTCACGTCTGAACAATTCCATGATTTCAAGTATATTCGAGATGTGAAAAATCCTTAGTTTCGTCATAAAGTGGCTTTTCACTTGGGCATATGACAAATTAAGATTGAAATTGATTGTCCATTTTTGTTTTTAGGCAGAAATGCTCACAAAACACCCTTGACAGACCTGCACAGACAGATTTATTCATCCACGGTGGGATGGTGATGGTGCATTCAGTTGTGTATGTGTGAAACCATTGATTTATTCCACGAGAAAATATTTTCAAAAACAATAGATAATCGATGCTGCCATTGATGTGATCGTCAGTACATGCAATCCAGAGCTCGCCGGTTTGATCTCCCAGCGTGGCAGTTGAAAACATTTACAGCTTTATTAAATCCCCCGAGTTCTATGCACCGGGCTATATGAATGGGTACTCCACAGTGGGTTAAGCTAGTTGCATCCCATCTCTTCCAAGCAGTCTGGCGAACATGGACGGAGGCCAGAATACTCACGAGAGAGGTTCTCCACAGCATCCTCTCATTGAGGCCCATCAACCAGCAATGGCTTACCTTAACCAACCTTAAACAAACAACTACCTTCCAAATTCATATCCCTAATATTGTATTATAATTATTTTGATACTGTTACAGAGGTTGCGAAGTTTGTAAAACTTCTCTACTGCACTACATTGGTTTCAAGCCTTTTTGCTCATTACCGAATCTTCAAACTCAAATAAAAACGGGGACAAACAATTTACACGCGAAGATATACAGTGTATGGTGTTTTATCTTCCTGAGATGCGTTTATAACAACATTTTAAACCATTAATCATAGAAATCTGACCACATCCAAAGATCCTGTGCAAGTGGGGGCACACTGGGAGAAGGGGGAAAACAGAGGAAGGCGGGCCCTATGACGGCAACAGGTTTTCAATGATACGTGTAGGAAAGGATTTGAGCCAAGTTGCGAACATGGAAGGAAGTTAGCAGTACACACGGCAAGAGGCCGGGGGGTGAGGTCGAGACAGCAGGGGTGGCAAAGGAAGAGTTACATAATCATGTAACTCGCTGGCTGACGCCCTTCACCCACAAATCTCACTTAGGTATCAACCTATCACCATATTAGGCTTTTTCGGTTTAAAGCTTTTGTGACTGCAGGGATTCATATTCTTGGTTCTTTCGGTAAAGTCACGTAGACTTTACCGAAATAACCAAGAATATATATTAGGCTTTGTGAATGCCACTTTACAGGAAGGCTAATTGACTGTGTCAGTCAGCAGCGACTAGTAACTGGTTCAAGCACTATGACACAATCACACCCAGCAAAACAATGTCCGAGTGTGGCAGTAAACATGCAGCCTTTGTCAATCCACTTCAGGATGAAGACCTCCCTACGCCGTGCAGGTTGTGGTCATTTCACCATACTTCAACCACGCTAACCATACTTCTCCAGTGCGGATGGGTGCATGCAGGGGGCGTGAGAGGGAGGGATGGTGGGGAGGGACTCAGGAACTGCTCAGACATGAATCGCGACTGATGTTAGATTTGGCTGGGAATTGAACTTAGGTCACAGAGGTCACTGTTTATCCCCGGGAGTAGTGTCGAGAATGTATAATGCTTTTAAACCGGGCGAAATTATGTTTTACATCCAAAAAAGACTGCGAATTATGGTGCAGTAGAAGCTTGCTATAATGCCTTATAATGCCTTATTATCTAAGTGTGCTTGTATCAGACGTTTCCATTCGCATTCTCCAAACAGAGCTTATATAATAACTGTAATCATATCAAGTGTGCGTAGACGTTTCTCTATCTGATATATTTGGAACACAGCCATTACAAACGTAAGTACGTCCAACTTCTTTCGCACCGTACGTAGCCAAACGTGCTAATCGGATGAGAATGACACCGTAATTATGAACCCGGCATGGCCATTATGAAGCCTCGTAGCCTCTTATGAGCCCAGGCACCCATTGTAAAATCGTGTATCCCATCACCAATCCGACATTGCCATGACGAACCCGGCACGGCCATGATGACCCGATATAGCCATTGTGAATGAACACAGCCACCGCGAACACGACGCGGCTGTCGTGAAACCGACGGAGCCATTACCAGCCGTCGTCCCCCACCACCACGCCGACCGAGAGCCGCTTCCCGCGGCGGTGAGACGGACAACGAGAGCGAACAGGAGCCCGAGGGGGTTCGGCAACACGAGGCGGAGGCGGCGGCGGTGGCGATGACACAATGCAAGCCGCGGCGGCGGCACAAGCCGATCGAGTAACAGGACAGAAGCTACACTTCAAACAGGAAAACCCCGACGGATTATTCGCCGTTTCGTGCGCGTGTGTGTAGTAGTAGTAAATACAGGGGGGGGGATCGATAGTTGAGCGAGAATGAATTGAGAGACGCGTCACCTCACGCTGCTCCAGACGCCGGCTTCACGCGAGCGGCGCCATGCTGCCGAGACCGGAACCAATTTTTTTTTGTCCGCGGAAACAATCGGCGATCGCGATCGTTCAGAACGAAGCCGCTTCAAACTAGGGAGCTAAAACGCTCGTTTATTATCTAGCGCTAATCAACCGTACGTGAATACAAATCGAGTCTTTATGTATCCGTAAATGTTACGCGAAACGCTCTTTACCGTTGTAACAGTTATTGGGGCACGACTTTGCTGCGCTTTTTTGCTCTCTTCCACCGCCCGGAACGTCTTACGGTGCCATAATTGCGCGTTTCCGCACGACGAAGCACCGACGACCGGAAGCTGCCGCGTTGCCACGGTTACCGAGGGCCCGAGGCTTTTGTTGACAGCGGCGCCGCCGCTTGAACTAACAACTCGGCGGTCAATTACAGAGCCGCGAGGGAGACGACGACGACGACGACTTTAACCTCCGACACAGAGACGGCGAAGAGGCCGAGCTCGCGCGCTGAACACAACGGCAGCGATAACCACAGCGGCGGCTACAGCCTGGATAGGTGGTGGTGGTGGTGGGGCGCGTTAAAGCTCGAGTCGATGTCGGGTGAGTTGAAGAGTGAACGGGACTCGGGGAGAACGTCGCGTTTGTTGCTCATCACGTCGCGTCTCGGGCTCTACCAGAAGACGCTTCTGGTATCGGCAAGAGTCCGAGGGGCGGTCGGTGTGGAGTGGAGACGCAGAAGGCAAAGAGTTGGTGTCGGGACGGCGGGAGATCGACTAAATAATTAAATACGCAACATGCATGAATACCGTCGTGTTAATATTACAACAGTGATATGTTTATCGGGAAGAATCTCATTTGTTGGTTGGGGGTGTGGGGTTCTGGAGAGCACTGCGTCGGAATGTTTGACCAATTCCTTCATAAGTGGTTTTGGATCCGAGAGGGAAGCTCGATTCAGCTGAATAAACCCCACACCGAACAAGACGATGGCCACAATACGGGACCTTGCTTGCCAGTATCAGAATAAAACAATAGGTCTTCTTGGTTCTTTCGGTAAAGTCACGTAGAAGGGAAGTAATAAAATAATATAAAATAATATTATTTTATTACTTCCCTTCTACGTGACTTTACCGAAAGAACCAAGAAGATGAATCCCTGCAGTCACGAAAGCTTTAAATCGAAAAAAAAACAATAGGTTTTACCCTTTCTGGCAATAAAACAGGTTTTAAGATATTTTTTATTCTGGTTCTTTCGGTAAAGTCACGTAGAAGGGAAATATTAAAATAATAAAAATATAAAACAATAAAAATTCTCACGACGTTTCGACTGCAACACAAGCAATCGTCATCAGGTGTGAAATCCACAGCAAGAAAATTTGAAAAAAGTGGCGGTTTTCAAATTTTCTTGCTGTGGATTTCACACTTTTTAAAATTGTATAATTTCCCTTCTACGTGACTTTACCGAAAGAACCAGAATATGAATTCCTGCAGTCACGAAAGCTTTAAATCAAAATTTAGGTTTTAAGATGTTAAACACCAAATAATCTATTTGCAAGGAATCCTGTCTGCATTAACCACACGTACTTGTGGTGAACATGCAAACAAGAAACATGCTCTGATAATAGGGGATTACCACAACATTCCTTACAGATTGGTCAGCAACAAGCGTTTTTTCCTGTAAAGCTTCTATTTATTTTTTAACAACGTCTATCTCAAGACGAACAGAAAAAGCACGCCCATGTACACGAGTAATCCATGGGAAAAGGCAAAAATGTATGTTGGTGAACCACAAAGCTCCAAATCAAGTTTCTGTTGGTGAAGTTTGAGAGACTGACAGAACAGGGTCCTGTGGAATTACATTTTTGACCAAGACATTCGGACACAGTATAGTACTGTTTATATGTCAGTCACCGTAGTATCGTTGATGAAAAGCCATCTGAGATGATCAGGTTGGGAGTTTAACAGCAGACCATGAGCTCTGTATGATTCACCAACCCTGCAGCTACTGATATTCTGAGTTTTCTAATACGTAAAGTTTGGTTATTTTATGAGGATCATTGTTGCGTTGTTGGGTCCCAGTACGAGCATCGGCATTTGTGTGAAATTTCTGTGAATGGATCTCGGAAGCTAAACATGTTTGAACCTGGTTCTCTGATGGGCGACAGCCTGGGAGAAACCAGGTGTTGTAGGCTTCGGATTTGAGGGAGGCAGATGGCAGTCTAGCATTGGATTCTTGACTCTATGCAGAACGTTGCATGTTACACTTTCATGCTCGAGTTTATCTCCCATACCAATGAATCATGTGTGAAATTGACCAAACATCCTAATACAGGACTGTCATACCTGTCAACCCCTTATCAGTGCCTACCTTATTACACACCACTTTAGACCGTATTGGTCACTCCGTGCCCTTATAAATCTCAACGTTCACCCTACAACGTCCCATCACAAGAGAGAAACACAAATAGACACAACAAATTGCCCATATTGAAACGGCTGCACGCTGTATGGACCCAAAAACTCAATTTCTCTGTACAATTCGGATAAATAACTACTTAAAAAGTCTCGAGCCAAAAAGTGAGGCATTCGTTAAAGGGCATTACAGAACTGTACGTGTATTAATATTTTCTCATAAAGTGTTTTTTTTGTAATCAGTAAATATGTCATTAAATTACGTTTTCTAAGTGTAGTGTTGTTTTTTTTTAGGGCAAGTTATATTAAGTGGTTCATATGTCTTCCCCAATGGAGACAAATACGGTAAGCACAAATACCTCGCATGTAAATGTAAGTTGCCTTACACCATGTGTTATTTCTCTACTCATTTTAAATACACCCTGAGAACTTGTTTAAACATTTTCCTCCCATCTGACTCATCATTCTTAGGATCCATCAGACACACCCAAGTATGTCATGCGCATGCACTTTGAATGACTAACATAACATATACAAACAAAATACACGAGTTGTTTCTATGACACATGACAATCCTACAAAACATCAATTATGCTTTTATGGTATGGTGGGTCTTGTGCTATTTTTTGCTCATCTATGGATTTATATGATTTTATTAATTAAAAATAACCTATATTATGGATGATTAATCACATTCAATCATGACGATTCTTTACAGTTTGTGAGAGTTTACGGAGACGTCTATTTTGCAAGAGAGACTTCGAGCACAAAGTACAGCCCAAGATTGCAGTGCAGAAAATGCATTCAAAAGATGAGATATTTGTTATTAAAGAACATTGCTATAGTTGCCTGCATAATTGTGTGGGTATAGAAAATCTTAAGGAAATTGTTCCCCAAATTGTACTCAATTTGTGTTTTAAGAATTATCCAGTTCATAAACATTTGCTCCTTTCTGAATGTATCTGTGAGCTACATGACCCTGAGTTTACAGGAAGGGCTGATGGCAGAGGTAAAACTATATTTGGACCATACTTGCCACAAGGCTGCTTTGCCCACATATTACAATTATGTTTCGACTTACACTGTAGGATCACGGTATTATTTGGAGATCAATGATTTCCTTGGGGCAACAGTTCTCTACACATCTTGCAGAGGGTGAGTACAGCAAGAGTGAGGATGGTGTGATGGAGCGACATGGCACTGGGACGCATCGCACGGCAGGGGGCAGCATCTACACAGGCCAGTGGAAACACGACAAGGTGAGCACTAGGTTCTTTTTTTGTAAATAATAGTACCCTGAACCTGTAGTCTTGTTCGCAAAAATCACTGCTCTTTTCTTTTGCATATAGCTGAATACCAACATATTAGTCTACGTCCAGATTATTCAGGAAATAGCTTCCTTTTGTGAGCGGTGCATTGATTGAAATTTTGGAGATCAGTGATTCACAATATGGTTGATGAGACATGCGAATTAAATGCTGGCCAGTCTTGGAGATACATTCTGGAGATATTTCGTGGATCAGTGATCGGAGGCTTATTTGGAATAACGGTGTTCGTAAAAATGGTGAAATGTCCAAGGTGTTAAATAATTAGAAGGGCTTGAGCTGCACTCAAGCATTATTTGCACAATTGCAGGCATTTGCTAGATGTTAAAATGAGCTTGTAGTCTGATTAGAAGTGACTCGATTTAAAAAATGCTAAAATGTTTTATCCGAACAATGCCACAGATGGAGGGGACAGGACGGCTGGTTTACCTGTCGGGAGCCGTGTACCAGGGAAGTTTCCACGACAACATGTACCATGGCACAGGCACCTACACGTGGCCCAGTGGAGTGAAGTACATCGGAAGCTTTCAACACAACAAGTAAGACAGGATTATTAACCTTTGTGCTGGGCATGCTATGGCACATGGCCCAGCTCTTTGAATCTGTTTATGATAGTTCAGCTTGCCAAAAGAACTCCAACCTGCTCTCTGCTGTACCTTTATGGTTTTTTAATCTCATAGTCTTGTCTCCATAACTGATCTGGTATACATGTTCTGCTGGTTTCCAGTTGTGTCCCTCCATCAGATATCTCAATTTATTACCAATCTTGTTGTACATGACTTATGTTGTGCATATTTATCTCAAACCCAACTGTGCAGCCTTCTTCGGTAATTCTAAAATTTCCTGCAGGTAATCTTCATTGGACATGTCATCAGCAAAATCTGAAGTGATTTTATAAAATTATATTTCTAGACTACCTTCGACGTTCAATTCTTAACGAGACCAACATTTTTTAGTCCTGCCCATCTGGGCCTTATTAATAGGTGCATAGGAATGTGGAAATAATTCAAACTATGTGTGCTCAGCATGCACATAATTGAGCGTTGAACAAAATGCACATTACCAGTACATATATACATCTTTGGAAATATGCTGCCCTATTAAATATTCAAGAAAGCTCTCCTCGAAATATTTGTCCAGAAGTCTTTTCTTTAGTAGCTGACAGTGTACAATGAGTTAAATGACAGTAGTCGGCTTGTAGTTCTGCATAGCATGAAAAGACCAAAGGCAATGTTTTACCATGGCACACTAAGCAGTTCACCAGTAACAACAGTAGCAAAACGTATTTTAAAACGTTTAATTGAGTAGTAGTACACATGTGAAAGTCTGGAGGCTCATTAAGAGGTTATAATTTCATTAAGAAGAAATAAAGAGATGTGCGCATGTTACTGTTTGAACTCGTTTACTTGTGTTTCTTTGCTGCAGGCTAAAAGGGGAAGGTATGTTCACAGACACAGAAGGACAAGAGTGGACAGGGATGTTCCACAAAAAGGCTGCACCAGGCCTCAAGCTCAAACTCAACATGGGATGACTGCAGTCGTGCAAAGCATGTCCCTTTGCCATTATTACACCTGAAATGAAGTGGGCACCTTTGGAACATTTTAAAAGTGACATCAGTGTAATGGAAATCTACAGTTGCATTTGGTGATAGAAAAGCACCCGTATGCTCAATGATGAATTTAAAAGAATGTAAAAGTTTATTTTATTTATTGCAAAATACATTATGAACCAAAAATAAAGAAACAATGGATGAACCGTGGCTCATGAGATGCTTATACGTGTCAAAACAAACCTTCAAGCACAACCGTGTACATTGAAATAGCCCTCAGTCAACAGACTTTTAAAAAATGTAAATCAAGAGGACACCCTCAGAAATGTACAACTGCCACTGATTGCTCCCCACTATGCCCGATTTGCAGTTACATATTTTCACAATTTATATACAAAAAGGCTTGTATGGATATGGTCCCTTGGCCGCGCTGCATGCAAGGTGACGTGTGTCAATTGCAGAGCTTGCGCAAGTGCAAGATGTTGATGTCGTCGCTGCAAAACTCCTGGTCGTGATTTTCCACTGGGATTTTCTCCACCTCAAACTCTTGCTCGATCAGCTGTGCCACACACAGTTTGAGTACAATTAGTTAAGTGGCCTAAATATGTGCACACACTTGTACAGGAGTTAAAAAAAAATTCTACTTCTAGGTTTGCATTAATCTGTATTGATTTAAACTGACTTATGCTCATAATACCGTACATGCATCAATTTGTGCGTTATAAACATTTAATATTGCTGATTAATGTACATTGCAAATTATATGTTTAACTTACATTAATGCTAATGCGGTGAACAATATTTTATACAGTAGCTCCTTCTTGAATACAGAAAAATACTAATCTGATCAATTACAACTTCTTACACATAAATTACTGGGTTATCAATTAAACCCAAAGGTATTACAGGATAAATTTTGACTTTAAACTTTCGTGACTGCAGGAATTCATATTCTTTGGTTCTTTCAGTAAAGTCACGTAGATAAAATCACGTAGATAGAAAATAAAAATAAAGTGAATAAAAATATAGAAATAACCAAATAATATCACAGGATTGTTGTGGATCACAGACCACACCAAGATTAACCAAGGCCACATGTAAACACGCACGCACTTCACCTGTATAAATCTGCTCTGTATTAGTGGATTGCGTCCTGCTGTGCGCTCTTCATAGCAGCAGATCACAAGGGTGTTTGGCCCAGACAGGGCAGCAACAGTCCTTACCAGTGGCTCCAGAGACTTAAAAAGGACAACACTTTCTGGTAAAGATATATAACCACACTTACACAAAAAGCATCCGTAAGACAACTTTATCTGAGAGGTATTTGCTAAGTACAGTATTACCATTTTAATTTCGTAGCATGTCAAGGCATCTCAAGACCCTAGAAGGCAACCATACACATTAATAGGAGATCTGTTTATATTTAGATGTATACATCCGAATTCTAGCAATCTAATGTGAATATTCAGTTCCTGAAGAAGCTCCCAGAACGTGCAGTGAAATGTCAGACGTACCGGACAATGAGGTATAATCCGAAAACACGAGACGGCATAACTGAGAAATCTTATGCAGTAGCGAAGCCGAATTATATGAAAACATCAGATACATAAACATAATAAAACTAGCATTACACTCAAATTCAGATTATGAAGCATAGCCCTGCAGATGGTGAACTGTACAATTAGTCATAAAATCTAAATATAACCCCTTACCCAAATAAATGACTGAGTTGAATTATGTTACTTATGCCTGTACTAATGAAGACCTGCGAATGAGCATGACGTTGATGGCAGTTATCTGGCCATCCATTACCTGTTCATAGTAGATGCAGTCGGCCATGAGAATGTAATCAGGAGGAGGAAGAAATTCTTCTATACTTTTTCCCCTGCGAGGGAAAATGTTCACAAGTTTAAGAACTACAGTATTTATTCAATGTTGGTCAAGTAAAGAACATTTACATCACTGGTAAAATAAACCACATATCCTCAGCAATAAAGTAGATTTTTTTTTCTATTTTAATCAAAAGCAACTTGTTCAGTCTTCATAAGTTATTTTAAAATTATCTTGGACCTCTTGTTCGCTGTAGTGATTTCAGCATTATCATTTATGATGTAAGCAGATGTTGTTCCTTGCAAGATTTGAGCCCTTTGAGGAGATTGACATTACATGAGGACATTTAAATAGGTAGTTCATTCAAGTAAACAATACGATAAAGAGCATTTACTAAATATTATTGGTTCTTTCGGTAAAGTCACATAGAAAGGAAATAATAAAGTAATACAAATAAAACAATAAAATTATCACGACGATTCAGCCACAACGCAAGCAGCCGTCCTCAGGTGAAGAACAGAGTTGTCGGAAAGACAGCGTCCTAATGAACACTGCTAAGCTTGGCAGCGTATTTTAAGCTGGGTGGGAGGAGAGCGCCTTGACAAAGGAGTTTCCATATCAACAGAGGAATTTAACATGTTGATGACATGCAGATATGGGGTTTGTCACTCCTTGTGGAGTGTGTAGGCGGTGGGGGGTCTCAAAGTCATTATGCGAGAGAATTTTACTGTTTTAACTTTTAAATTTAATTATTTCCCTTCTACGTGACTTTACCGAAAGAACCAAGAATATGAATCCCTGCAGTCACGAAAGCTTTAAATCGAAATTTACTAAATATCTTAGCGATTTTAAGGAGGCAAAAATGCCATACAGACCATTCGAGTACCTTGGCTTGTGCCCTGCCCTTCAACAATGCAGAGTTGTCCTTGATGTTTGTCTCAATCAGGTCCATGAACTGTGGGAGATCCGTGAGGGTCACGTAAGCCCTGCACAAACACAAAGAGAGGACTCATGTATTGTAATATCAAACTTGTAGAAAATGTCGTATATAGTATAATATTACAACACACTTACAATATTGTACAAGCCTCACTCAACTTAAAACAAATATCAATTAGATATGAAGGATGAGGTGGCGTACGACTTGAGATCCAAGGATTTGTGGATCACGCATACAGTACTTGTGTAATTCCAAAACCTGTTGGATTGCGATGTTGCCAGATGATGTCAGTACAGAAAATGTGCGAATGAACCAATCTGTAGATATTTGAGCGTTATCCCCTCGTGTTTTTCTCTGGGTACTCCAAGAATTGGACAAAAATTAAAATGCAGAAATATAAAATCTAGTCTTGAGGTTTAGGCTTTCTTGGATACATTATTATATTCATGCGCAACGTCCAGCATCTGGCTCAAAACCAACAAGGAAGATTAAACTTGACTCGAGACGTTGGATCGACAACCAAAATCACAAGATACATTTTTGTTCGAATTCGGTGAAAAAAATTCAATATAGTCATATGGATATTGGTCGACAGATTGCCTACCTCTGTCCTGGACATACTGATAAAAAAATACAACCATGCATGATGGCTTGTAACAGGATGTGTGTGTGTGTGAAGGGTTAAGTGGCTTTAACTCCTGGCACTGTGCTGTACAGGTGAGGTCAAAAGAAAGTCGTGTGCGGCCCCCCGGTTCAAGAGGGCCGTTTCAACACCGAGACAAAGACATGCAGACACACTGAGACATACCCAGAGACAGAAACACAGCGAGGCAAAACAAGTGAGGCGGAGACGTCGAGACACAACTCGATAGTAAAAAAGATACGTGACCAGGGGTACGGAGTGACACAGGCGAAAGAGAGACGCAGAGGCGGCGGATACAATGCCCGTCAGGCAATGCCATGTCTTGGCGCCTGTGTCAGGCTCGGTGTTACCGTCCTGTCTGTTGAGGCCACGGGGATACACAACACGAATCACAGACAACGGAAATAATCGTTACTTTATCGTCGATGTGCATCCGATTTTTGTCATTCGTTTAATGCTGGTCTCCACGTGAAATGCCGAATGATCGCTGGCAGGTTCACGGGACCAAACACACACACACACAACAATACCGTCATGTAACATCACGAGTGACAAAGACATTGTAAGAAGAGAAACAACGCCTTCCACCCACTCCGCATGCCGGAAGTACAAAGTCATCACCCCGTGTAACGATCCCCGTGGGCTCCATCCTCTCAGCCAGTGCTCATCGCTGCAAGGCCCGCGGGCCACTGGCGGCCCCCCTCACGGCCTTTCGTGAGGCCCCTGACGTGCGGCCCCAGACAATACACAAAGAGTGACCCCCCCCCCCCCCCCCATCATCGTGCCGCTGTCAAATCCTCTCCCAATGGTTTCGAACGTGTGGCGGCCCTCACACCGATGATGTCTTATCGGCGAAACTTGCCGCCCCCTTCTAAACATTAGCGACGAACACCGTTCTACGGGTTCATGCATTACCCGCAGCTCGCAGCCACGAGACCCACGGCCCCGGTCCCAGCTCCCAGCTCCAGGACCCTGCGGCCACGCAAACAGCTGCGCTCGCCCTCCCCTCCTCCTCCTCCTCGCAGGCGGAAGGCGTCCGTCTCGAGGTACTTGGCCAGCACGATGGCTGCGTCCCACACCACACAGCCCACATCGCCGACGGCTCCCTGCCTGATCCACACAGGGCCTCCTCCGCCCCTGCGCTCTATGGAGCGAGGCAGCAGCCACACGCAACCCTCCTCCTCCATGCCGGCTCCACGTGTGCCGGGGGGGGCGGGGTCAGCCACGGGGGCGGGGCTGGGGGCGTCACTTGGCGCGAGTCAGCGAACTCCGACGGCCATCTTAGGTGGGGACACTGCAATGACTTCTTGACGTAGGGAATGGAGAGGACATCTTAGGTGGGGAATTGAGAGGCCATCTTAGGTGAGGAATTGAGAGGCCATCTTAGGTGGGGAATTGAGAGGGCATCTTAGGTGCGGAATTGAGAGGCCATCTTAGGTGGGGAATTGAGAGGGCATCTTAGGTGCGGAATTGAGAGGCCATCTTAGGTGGGGAATTTAAAGAGCTTCTTGGGTAGGGAATTTAATGGGTTTCTTTTGGTAGGTAATTGAAAGCTTCTTGGGTAGGGAATTGAAAGAGCGTATTAGGTACGGACGTCATTGTACAGTGTGGTACAGATGTCTTGTGATCCCCATTTAATTCTCAAAAACTTAATATGTTTTACAGCAAAGTGCATTTAAAACATAAATGAATGTGCAAATGAGAAACTTTATTTTGGGGGTCAATTAATTTGACGTCACAAGACATCTGGACCACACATGGTTAGTGAGGAGCGGTCGTACGAGTAACGGTG